AACCTACAACCAGGTGGCCTGCATCAAGCTCTCTTCTCTTAGTACCAGTAGGAGAGGGAAAGACCTTCACTTCCTTTCCAGTGGAGTTTATCTCCTTCAGTCTCTCCTCCCTTGCCTGGATTCACATGAGTCTCTTGTTTCATGTCTGCTGACTGCCTGGTAATGACTCACCTTCAGCTCTGCAGTGGATTCTAGAACATTCCTCATTGTTTATTCACTTGGTCAATTACTATTCCAAAGGTAGGTAAGGGGAGGCGCTTGGGCCTGGGATAATCTCAGCCAGGGCATCTGTACTGCAATGCCAGCATCCAGATGAACTGGGTTTCGGCTTTAGCAGAGGCCTGCAGCAAATCACAAGAGGGAGGCCCATTTCTCTTGCACCTGGATAAGATGGAGTTGGTACGGTCTGAGTGGCCACTGAGGTCAACCATATCACCCTCCACCTGGTCTGTCCACACAGCCAGCACAGAGCATCTCTGCAGTCAAGAATGGCACACCAACAGTGCTTGGGCTCCTGCCACAGGAACCATAAAACACATGTGTGGCTTTATCAGTCTGAACTATTTTATTTATTTAGGAAATTTCTATGCTGCCCCATTTGCCAAAGCCTTGGGGCAGCTCACAAACATAAACTTCCTTAAAATAATATAAATTAACAGTATAAATTAAGTCGCCCTGGCCAATGGTGAACATTCACTATGGTGAATAAGTAGTTGGAACACTACTTGGATCAAGGAGGAGAAACTCTACACAAACAATTTAGATGCAGAACAAATACAGGAAGAGCAGGTGGTTAGTGGTTGTCTTCTCAGAACGTTCATGGGTGTCCCACACCACCCAAACCTCAGCTCCAGTATTCCAGCTGGAATGCAAGCATAGGAGCCGGTGAGAATTTTTCCAGAGGCTGCATTGCACAGCATTTTGCACTGCATGTACATCATGTACATTCTTCCTGTGGGTGCTTTGTTGCTTAGCATCATGTTCTGTGACAGTCAGAAGACTACACAGAGTAGTAGAAGGCCTTGGGAATTGCAAGCACTCCTGCCTATGGCCAGTTGAGCTCCACTGAAGGCAGGGGCCAGGCTCTTAGCAGCTCGCCAGCCCCACAGTTAGTGCTGGTGTGACAAACAGTGCAATCAGACGATGGATGGTTTGGAGTAGAGATACAGCCAAGGAGACTTGCAGGAACAAGAATCAGCTGGATCTACTAAGCAAGCATGGAAAATGGTGTGGCTGGATGGGATGGGATGAGTTAGGCACTACAAGTGACTATCTGGTTCATGTGGGAAAGTGTAATAGTATCCTCTCTGATCAGTTTAGATGCTGCACTCCCTTGGGGATATTTGTGCTTGGGTATTTTCTAGCCCCCTTACTCTTTTCTGAAATATTTGCTCGGGGATCCCCGCAACTGTTCAGTTTTATCAATGCTCTTATTCTGTTCTCAGGGTGCTCTTATTACCTGCACCAGAGAGGCTATCATGCCTTCAGCAATTGTGGTATCTTTACCTTATCTGTGTGTATGCATGTGTGTGTGTTGGACTAGAGCAGTATCAGGGTATGCCCATATTGCTGTGTAACATCCATGGCTGGCTGGCTGGGGTGAGGGTGATGTCAACATGTCTTTCTGCAACTGGTGGAACTTGATGTCGGATGCTGAGGAAGCGGCCAGTGGCATTGCTAAGCTCTTTGTAGTTTGCTCTGCTGCTATTTTCTCCTAGCTTGGAGACATGATCCTGCATAGGCTGGGTGAAGGCACACTGCCCCCATGCTGAGTAGGAAATGCTAGGAGTTGTAGTCCAAGATGTATGAAGGACATCAAGTTGGGGGCTCTGGGTTAGAAGATCTCCTTTGACATATAAAGTTAGCTGCTTTATTTTTTGTCACCATATATAAAAATATGAACACATGAGAACAAACCCTCTTCTTGAATTCAAAGAAAGAAAAAAATCTAATAAAAGAGACTGCCACTTGATATATGAAGCAGATTTATAATCACTTTCAGTTCAAGAGGGACTTATGTCCTTGAGAAGATGTGATGCTGCAGAAAGCTGCCTTCCCTGAAACCTCCATGCATTTGCTAAGCACATGATTTGCTTCAGAGAGACCTTTTCTGGATCTGACAATAAACAAATGCTGAGTTGCCCTTTTGGTGTAGTCATGATGACAACCCAAACTACCGAGTGCAGCAGTCTTCGAAAGGCAATTTCTCCTTCTTGAAATATTGAACAGTTTTAATTTTCTCAGTCTTAAAATAGTGAAGACTGAAATAACTACACCTGATGCTTTAAGCCACAATATATATTTCCCTTATTATTCTGAAAGGTCCAAGTTCTGTTCAGAGATAGATATTCTGAGCTTCCACTGAAGCAAGTCAGCTCACAGCATCTACTTTCCATGGTATCCATAAGTGGGGTTGGCCTTTCCCACTGTTGTGCCTGTTTTTACTTGATTATTTATTCTTACATTTATACCCAAGTGGCCCAAGGCAGCACACTCATCCCTCTTCCTTTTCCCTTCTGTCCTCACAACAATCCTGTGAGGTAAATTGAGCTGTGAACCTTCATTTGATGAAGCTGATTGGTGGGAAATGCAGGAAAGATAAACAAAAGTACTTCTTCAGATACCACATTGGCAAACTATGGAATTCACTTCCATGAGATGTAGCAATGACCTCCAACTTGGATGACTTAAAAAGCAGATTGGAAAAGACTATCAGTGGCTATGGACTAGCTCTGATATCAGAGCGGGTATGCCTGTGTACAGCAGTTGCTGGTGAGCTTTGGGGGAAGGAGCTTCTGCACTCATTTTCTGCTTCAGGAATCCTGTGGGCAGCTGGCTGGCCATGGTGTGAACAGAATGCTAGGCAGGATGGACCCCTGGGCTGATCCAACATGGACCTCCTTCAGGTCTTGGGAATGGTTCCCAAAGTCACACAGGATGAAATGCAATGCACCCTTACCCTCCACGCAAGACTCCAAATTCAGCCTATATGCATCTAATGCACAAATGAGGTGTGGCAGTGGTGCATTTCATTGCCATGGCTGTTTTCAGCCATATGGATGAAGCAGTGCAGAGGAGAAAGGTGTGGTTGGGGATATACCATTGGCCCCAACCGTCTCTTCTTCTCTCCTTACTTCCTGTCCCCCTGCCAAGCATGCCTTCTCTTTAAGGCCAATTTGTGAGCTTCAAGAGGCAGCTGATATGGTTCTTTCTATACTGGCTGTGAGGGGACAAGTTGAGGGTTTAGCCTTTAGAGTCCCAGCACTGAGGTCACAAGCCCTCAGGGCTCAGACTCCACATATCCCTACTACTCCCCACGGATGACTTTATCCTTCATCAGCCTCATGGTTGAGGGGGAACTTGAACCTGGATGTACCCAGTCTTACTCCCACATGCTACACCATGTGAGGAGGGTATGGAAAATAGATGAACAACCACTGCACAGTTGTGTAGAGTTGCACATCTGTGCTGCACAAGCGGTGTGGCATTCTGTGACTATTCAGACCCTTTCAGAGCAATGGCTCTGTATTTCACAACTCATAAATTTATTTGGACTTGTTAAGATTTACCCACAAGGGATAACAGGTTCTGTATACTGACTGGAGTGGTAGGTTTGGATGTGAATCACAAGTTCAGATCTCTGCTTAGCTATAGAGCTCATTAAGGCTGCAATCCTATAGGCCAGGATTAGGCAACTTCTGCACCTCCTGAGTTGCCCTACAACTCCCACCAGCCCTAGCCAGCATTCCCAGTGGTGAGGAAGACACAATTTTAGGGGAGCTACAGACACTCTCCTGCTAGCAGCCAGCATGGTGGAGAGGAGGAAAAGGTGGCATTCCAGTGAGTGAGGAGGAGAGTAGACTGAAGAGGCCAGGATACACGTTATCCAGCCCCTTTTCTTCAGCAAAAATGCAGATTTCTATTAAGACAGAAACCGTAGGAAAACATGGGAGAGTTACAAGCTGAAGACAATGTTGCCTGGGTGACCCCATTCTGGTAAAAGTTTGAAAAAAGATAGGGTGATGATGCCATAAAAGCCTTTTCTAGAACCACCTTAAATTTTGTTAGGTGCTCCACTCTACACCTATTCTTGCTATCTCTCTGAAATCAGAAGCCTTTCCCCAGCCTAATCAGCCTTTGATTTCAAGTGCTGGCAATCTTATCAGCCTAGCCTACTTTACAGAGTTGTTATAAAGCTAACAAATGCAGCTTTGAGCCTCTTGATTGACAGGAGAAATGCTAATCAGAGGAAATATCTGAAAACTCTTACTTTTCAGGTGCTGCAAAGTACATTATGTACAATGTACATAATGCACCTGTGGACTCCTGAAATATTTTCATATTGAAGGTTTAATCACCAGCTTTTAAATACTGTGTCAATGCTTACAGCATAACACCCACTCTTAATTGTGCGTAGTTGTAAACTACTGAATGACACGTAAAGCCCCTACTTCTTTACAGTGCCTCGTTGCTTGTAGCCCTTTCTCTTGATTTCACCAGCTTCGCTTCGATGCCAGTATAGTTGGCAAAACACGGAAACAGTGCCCAGTGTAAAAAAGGCAAGTGGCTATCTTAAAACACACGCAAACAGAACCGTGAAGCTGTTTAAAAATAAAACTTGGTTTTGCACTCGTAGTTGTAGAGAAGAAATGGTGAAATCCGCAGCGTAAAGGATCGAGCACATTATCTTATTTCGAAGCGGGACAGTTGCCGAGCTTGGGGGAGAAGCCTCTGGGGTCTAGAATGGTTCCACCAAAGCTTCAGCTTTGGGAAGACCGGCTCGGCTCGAAGACTCTAGAAGATCAAAGCGAGCAAGCAACAAGCGTTCAGAAGATACCAGGCGGGCACGAGCGACCTTTCGGACCCCCGAAATCCCGCGCAGCCAGGTGGGAACCAAGGACGTGAGGTAGCGTTTCCGGCCGGTGGAGGGGGAACGTTGCACAACGGACTTGGTGCTGTTTGCCTCTTTCCTTCCTTCCCTTCGCGGCTGCCGCCGAGATCCCAAATCCAAGATGGAGTCTCTGAGTAAAGTGGGGCAGGAGATGAGTCTGGCGGCCTTAAAGCAGCACGACCCCTACATCACCAGCATCGCCGACGTGACCGGCCAAGTGGCCCTGTACCGCTTCAACCCAAAGGCCAACGAGTGGGTAAGTGGCCGGCGAGACGGGGACCTGTCCGTATGGAGGCGGGCCGTTCTCGGCGCTATCCTGTGCCCCCCGCCTTCTCCCCGTCCTCGCACTGCCGTCCCCGCGCCCACCCCCTGGCCGAGGACTTCTCTCAGAGTCAGTCACGCAGTGCCTCCGGCCTCGTGGGGAAGGGGCGCCCCACGGACCCCTCCCGGAGCGCCTCCTCCCGCCCGCCCGCCCACCCACCCGGGGCAGGATGGGGCACTCATCCCTTTCTTCCCCACCCCCCACCAGGCTTACAGGCTTGGTCGCTTGCTCAGAAGAGCTCCTCGGGGAGACGCGAGTGGCTTCAGCCCATTTGGCTCCCCAGCTCAGAAACACGCCCACCTTCCTTGGCTTTCCAAGAGGCAGTTATTCGAAGCCTGTTTGTGCTCCCTGTTTCTCCCAAGATATTATGGGCTTATATTCGGCGCAGTTGAGTTTTAAGCTGTAGCATGTTGAAACTCGCCATAATAGCAGTAATTCTAAAATTGGCTGGTAACTAATAATGAACTTTTTATTTGTCTCCTTCATTAGTGTTTTTTTATTTTTTTGCTCCCTAAAGCCAGAAGTGGCTGTAGTTGGCCAGTTCACAGGTTATACACACTGAAATAGCTTAAATAGGCACATGCCTAAAGTAAACTTCATTTAAAATAAAAAAAGATGGTGACATACACAGATAATATTGCTAAAGTTACTATGACATGTTTCTGTTTCATGTAAATTTGCTTAAAATACACTGCTTTTAATCTTTCTTGCAACTTAGAAGGGGAGCTTTGCACATTAATGAATCTTGCTTTCTTTGCCCCCATTCTCCTCTTTTCCCCATCAGAAATGAATTTTTTTGGCAGGATTTCAAATCTGCATTAGTTGCTGCAAGTATGGAATCAAAGGATAGTGGCAAGTGTGTTGGTGGAGCCACACCCCCAAGCTATCAGGCTTACAATTATATCGACAGAATTATGAAAGGTGGATGTGAACTTCTTCTGAACCAAATAGGCTCCATATTCCATAGTCTTCTGATTTGTACATAATACTCATCCTTCTAATAAATCTGGTCTAACTTTATGGTTTTCCACCAGATCTTTAACTTGTGTAATTAGAAGGGCATTCATATGCATCAGCTCTTGTAGGATTAGGAAGACCCACATTTTGATTTTTCTTATCCATAAAGTTTGCTAAGCAACTTGGGTTCCAGCTTAGCCAAATTAACATGTTTCTTGGATACAATTTGGGGAAAGTTCTGCCTTAAACCAGTGTGGCTTGGTAATTAAAACATTAGACTTGAACTTGAGAGACCTGAGTTTCACTTGGCCATGAAGCTTATTAGGTGACTTTGGGCAAGTCATTGACTCTCAGCCTAACCTACCTCACAAAGTTGTTGTGAGATAAGATGGAGAGAAGGATTGTGTAAGCTGCCTGGCTTCCTTGCGGGAGAAAATGTGATATAGAAATAAAATAAATGAAATCATTTGTTGATCCATCATCTATTTCAATAGGTAAATGTGCCTGCTTCATTAGCTCAAAACAGCATGGCCAATGGTCAGTAATAATGAATTTTGTTCTTCATAACATCTGGAAGACACCAACTTGTCTACTGCTGTTATAGGCAAAATGACTGTGCAGATAATTCTGCTGCTGTTCTCACCATCTGCCCATGCAGGTATTTGCACAAACATTTGCAGCAGGAAGACCCAATTCCAGCTGTTCCCCCCTCACTCCCCACTATCAATACTGCTGCTCTCAACAAGCTACATTAATGCAGGAATAAAATTAGCATGCAAGAGGAAATGTATCAAAGGATAATACAATTGTGTTTGCTAAGGGCCTGCACAGCAAGTTTCAGGACTGTGGCATTGTAAACATACTGAGTGCGATAGTATATGGTATGGTTCCCTTTCTAAGTGGACTTGCTGGAACCAGGATTTTTGCAGAACTTACTTCTCCCTATAAATGTATCCATACTCTCAGATCATTAGTGGAGGCTCTATTCTGAATGCCCTTGTTGTCAGAAACTAGGAGGGACCTGTGTGGGTTAGGACCTTTTCTGCTGTCATTTCCAGGCTTTGGAACTCTCTCCCCCTTGATGCCTCCAACTGTGTCCCTTCTGTACTGTTGCTTTACAGTGGAATCCTTTTTATTATAAGGAATCTCTGTAGGATATTACTTGCTCCTTGCTCCTTCAACTGTTTTGTATTAATTTCTTTCCAGTGATATATTATGATTTGATTTTGTTTGGCTTGGTTGTATGCTTAGTATAAGCTATTTTGGACGTTTATTGCAAGCAGAAAAGGCAGTCTACAAACATTTTCATAGGCTTTCAGATCTGTAGTTTACATTTTTTAAATTCTTTTGAATCTGGGAGATGCATTGTGGTCACTCAACTGTTTTCTTAAAACAGATGCATACACTTGCTTATCTCCCTCCCTCCATCCCTCTGTGTGTGTTCACAGCTTGGATTCAAAATTCTTGTTGGTAGGGAAGTCTGTAACCAGGTTTAAAATAAATTAAAGTTGGCAGCTTTGCAGTATTTTGACCTAGAAAAAAGCAGGTTTTGTGTATTTATCCTAATTACCAATTGCAGAATGTAGTTAATATAGAAAAAGTCACTCTATCTCTTCCCAATATATCTGAAGAAGATGTTAGCAAGACACTAAAATGTTATATTGGCTTCAACGTAACTGTTACAGAGCAGGTGACTTCTAAATCCATGCTCTCGAATATCTAATTATGAACATTAGTATCTGTGCATTTTTCTAGACCACTGGGTTAATATTATGCCTGTAGACATTCTAGTGTAGATGCTAATATGTTCAACACAAGCACTTCCTTATCAACACTTGAGTCTTTGGACCAAGCCAGAGCAGTTCTGTCTTTTACCATTCAAGTAAATAGAACTCATTAACTGTATTGTAGCTAGAATTTCATTCATCCGGATTTTAAGGATTTTTTTACATCTGTCGCTTTGTAAGCCGCCCCGAGGCTTTTTGAGAAGGGGGCGGCATAAAATTGCTTTAAATAAATTTAAAATGTGAAACTTAATTCTGCAAAAGCTCTAATGCATAAGTTAATTTATTGCTTTAATTTCCTGTTGTCTGAATAGGAGAAGACTGATGTAGAAGGTACCTTATTTGTCTATAAAAGGTAAGTTTGAATTAACCTTATTTGTGGGCATTCTTTGTACTATATTATTAAGCATGGCAGCTCATCCACTGCATGAATAAAACATAGTTTAAGGTGCATGTTTTGTTTTCTAAACCATGGTACTATATAGTAATTTTACTTACATGTTTCTAAGAAACCAAATTTGGTGCTTCATTTGAGAGAGATAAACTTTACAGAAAAAGGCTTAATAGCAATTTTGAATTCTAGGTACAGTTAGTTTTGTACTAACAACCATGGATGTAATGAATTTTTAAATTTGTTGCCATATCCCCGCTTTTTGATAAACTAAACAATCCTCCAAATATTTAGTCTTTCTTTAAAAGGAAGATGCTCCAGTCCTTCAATGACTTCTGCACCTTTTTCAAAATACAGTATCCTTCTTGAGATGGGGCACCTAGTATCATACAGTCTAAATGTTTCTTCATTGTTTTCCAAACATCCTTCTTACTAAACTTGCCTCATCCTCCTTAACTTTGGCTCTCTGTGCTACCCCTGCTCTTTCTGTTCTTATTGTCCATCATATACCTGCCTGTGACTTCTGCTCCTCCATCTGCCTAAACATTTTAGCTATGCCTAGAGTTCTTTCTTCCTACAAATTCCTGCAGATCCAGTGTTTTCATTGTAGCCTTTTCCTTAAGGCCTTGGTCTTTCTTAAATACAGCTTTCATATGTGTAATTGCAATTACTTATATTATTCCCTTTTCTCATTGTCCTTTCCTCTCCCTTCTCTTTCTACTGTTTGTCTTCCCCATTGTCTAGATTTAGGACAAATCTCTCTTAAGATTTCCTATAACATGCCATTTTTGTGCTACAGATAATAATAAAACCATCCTTTAGAAGGTGACAAAATATATCCTGTTTTCAGAATCATTATGCATTTCTGATGATACAGAGAAAGTCCCACTTTCAACCATATTTTAAAATCAAAGTTGTAGTAATCTTGGAGATTAATTCTTAAGATTCTTAATTTGATTTAAATTGTTCAGCTACTGTCTTTGTGAGTTGACACTTTATGGTTCACATCCGCAGTTGGGCCTAAGGTGCTCCATCTGAAATATTACATGCCAGATGAAATGGAATCAGTTATGTTTCCTGCCATCTTCTCTCCCTTTCCCCCTAAAGAGTAGCCAGGGCAGTGCTTTTCAGTAGGCATATTGTGATAGAAGCAGCTAGACTACTTGCTGATGAGCCTCCTGGAACTCAATTGCCATATTTTTATGGAATACTTTAGAGAGACTAGAATTTGAGATTAAATTGACTATTTTAAATTATGCAGGTGTTAAATAATAGAGATACTAAATCTTGAAAGAAGACTTCTAGGAGAACATCTTTAACTTACTGGGAAATGTTTATGAGGTGGATTTGTCATATTGCTGATAAAGCAGTTGAAATTTATAGTTTTATGTAACATAGTGGATTTATTTGTAGTCATGAGGTGTTATCACATGTGGAGAAGTAGTTAGTAAATGGTCCTATCATGGAAGAAGTTAAATCTCTAGTTTAAATTCTTATAGCTGGGTCTAATCTTTCCCACTTGGCAAAGAAAGTGGGAAAGGTTATCATTTAATACCATGCTTTTTAATCACTCAGCCTGATTTTTTAGAGTTTCAGTTCTTTTTTCCAGTTCTGAACCTCTTTGTATTTTAGAGGACAAGCCCTTAAATACTACTTTAGGATGAGTTGGAGTACCAGGTCTAAACTTGGAGACAGAGTTCCAACCTTGGAGCTGGGAATCTTTGTTCCAATCTTTCTCCATCTTGCAGCTACTGCAGAGAGAACCATGCCAGCTACCTCTCCAACATCAGAAAATAAACCCAGGAGAGAGTTTAAAAGGGATGTTCTGTAAACAAGAAGGGGAGAATACCAAGTGTAGCAGCAGCTGTTGGTGCTCCAGCCTCCTTCTGTCCCCCTCTCAATCACATCTGTTGCATTCAGTGTGCCCTGGATGGTACTAAATCTCCAAGTTCAAGGGCTTGCAAGCATCATGTGTGCAATTAATAGGACTGTGCCCTTAATGTACTTGTGAGATGTCTATAGAGAACTCTGGGATACTTTGCATACTTTATTTGATCAATTTCTTTGCCACTTTTGAAGACCATCATCTTTCCAAGGTGGCTATTTCTTGGGAAGTATAGCATGTGACACCCCTTTTCTGATTCACTGGAATGTCAGTAGAAAACTAAATGGGTGAATCATGGTCTGTTCTGATTTTGTGTAGCTTTCCAAGCATATTCTTTAAGTCTGAGTTCCATGGGACTACATAAATTTATACAGTTGTTGGAGTCAACTATAACCTGTCCATTTTTAGTTTCACTTCAGTGTTAGCAGCATTTTAAATGCACAGCTGTTGTAAACCATCTAGTATCTTTTCAGCAATAAGTATCAATAAACCATAAGCTTTTTTTACAACCATTTTTTACTTCTAGAGAAAATAAAAACCAAAATCTCTCTCTCCTTATTTACACTGTTGCAGTGCCTTTGGGTTGTCTATGCATAGTATTTACTGCTTTAATCATGACTTAAGTTGAATTTTTAATTATTTTTGACATACTAGCTCAGGCTGTTAGTCCATCTGTTATAACATATGCAAAAAGATGAAGCAATGTATTGAAGTGACCTCTTATTTTTTTCGACCCATGATGCAGTGTACTGTTGTCACTTAAGCTCTGCTAACTTTACGTTACCTTAATAGGATAGCATGCTTCAAAGCATATTGGACTATAGCTTGAGTGATTTGTCCATTGCATTCCTAACATACTCTTTGAATATACTGGCATTCATCAGGGGTGACTAAACTGTAGTACATTTTTAAAAATAGACAAATAATTGCTGTGTTTTGGTATTTAGATGCAGAGGTACAATACGATATATCATGGGTTGGATCAGAGGTGCCTTCTGCAAGTGGAAGGCTTCTTGCATGCAGAAGGTAATTTTCTGAGTTTGCAAATGATCCTTGTATAAGAATCATACCCAAAGAAGTGTTTCTCTTTGTATAAGATGTTGCACAGTATTTGCACAAAATCTAGAAAATGATTGCTGGCGGAAAACATTGCAAAGCCCCTTTCCCAAGCCCTTGACCAAGAGTTTACAGACTACCATGTGATTTTCTTCCACTTCACACCTCTGGATCCAATCTGTTATGTTTGAATTTCAGGCAGTGCATGACATTCTAACTGTAGCATGTGATTGTTATGAGTTTGCTATTGATTTTTCTTTAAGGTAGATTGTTATCCATAATATGGGTGTCCTTAGTTCTCTTGGTTTTTCCCTTGAAACAATAGGTCTGCCTCACCTTACTATGGCTTTACAATTGTGAATCGATTGAACATGCACAACTTGGTTGAGCCTGTAAACAAGGACTTAGAATTTCAACTGCATGAACCCTTTCTACTATACCGAAATGCCAATTGTAAGTATTGCACTTGAATATATTGTTTAGAAAAAACTTTTTGAACCTGGTTATTTAAGCAGTGCAAGTGTGGCATAGCTTCTGCTCTCCATCAGTTTCAGTTCAGAAGATGCCATTCTTCAAGCTATGTTCTGTTCATGCTTATGCTGTTAAACAATGTGGATTCCATCTAATATGGTCTAGTTGCTGTTCTGCTTGAACATCTTCCTGGTATCTTTGCTGCTCTGAACATTTGTTTCCATAATCCTAGTTGATTGACTAACAAACAGGGTACAGTGGTTCTCACCTGGTGTGTTGGAATGAGATGCTAGTGAGGTGAGAAGGCATTCAGTCAGGAGAGAGCCTGCAGTGTGTGCTCTATATCTTTTACAAATAATTGACCAGGGCATGCCAGTCAAAATAATTGTCAAAATATCAAAGAAGTCATGATGCTGATTGAGTTTGAAGAATTGGCCTGCTTCTTTAGCACAAGTACTTCTAAAAACTGACTTTCATTTTTAATTGGTTGCTGTTACCTTGTTTTGTTTTTGTTTTAATTATCTAACAAAATAAAAAATGCAGGCTGACCTAGAGTTCCAGGATAAAAGTCTGAAGCTTCTTAGTTTAGAGATAATGTAATATAGCCATCAAGGGTTAAGTTAGTCATATCTAGAAATGAGAAGAAATATTCTTCAGCAAAACCTTCACATTTATAGAAAACTCACATAACATTTGCTCCAATCTTCTGCATACTTACCAGGTAATAAACACAGTGGGATTTGCTTTTGAGTAAACCTCTATAAATAAGATTTATTTAGTTTTTACTTTAATTGTTTCAGCATCCTGACTTTCAGTAAAAATATATTAAAGCTAGGGAAGGGATAATAGCAAATTATAGAACGATACATGCAATGTGATCAAATTTCAATAACCCTACTATCACAAAGGATTGCACTGTTGGATCAGCACAGGTCTGTTTCCTTTCATTTAAAACTTGAGTGTGACACTGAAGAAAGACCAGATTCAAACAACAATTTTTTTACCCTCAGAAGTAATGTTTGCAAATGCTTGGCAGTTAATTTCAAACATGCAGCGATCCTGTGAATGAGTGCAGATATATTTGGGGTTTCTGCCAACATAGGCATGAAAGGCTTGATCAGACCCTTATCTTGGCATTTTTATCTGAGAAAGACAGTTTGATTTTTAGTTAGTTTACTTGTTTTAGCAAAATTGGTGCTTTGCTTGAAAACAACAGTCAATCATTCTTTACATCTTAAAAAAAACACAAACCTAGTATGTCAGCCAGGTACCTCTTAATCTGTAGTTAGAAAGCAATTACAGTATGCCCCATTGAGTTAATGGGACTTATTTTCAGGTTGGTGAGTATATGATTGCAGCCTAACTTAACTTCAAAAGGGCAGGAAAAGGCTGGTATGTAATTCCTGTCTTTTTATTCAGAATGTAGTGCAAGTTTTTGTTACCCGAATTTTTAAAAAATGAACGTTTTCTTTGATAATTATACTAATTAAGGTGGTAATTCTGTAGTTACCAGACTACATAATGGGAAGCAATATAAGACATCTCAATAAAAAAGGAATGACTGCAGGTAGAAATATTTCTAGTGTCCTGTACAATTCTTACCCACTCCATAAAGGACTTAAAATCTAAGCATTTCGATTCTGTGTTAAGCTATTATAATAAATTTATACATGCAAATGTAATCTAAACAACATCTGAGATTCACATTAAAAGAAATCAAATAGTATAGAACTTACCTCTAAAGGTCTTTAAGAGGTATGCTTCTAAATCAGTTTCACTCACAACTTTCCCTTTATACCTGATATCTCTGTCTTGATGTAGAGAACTAATTTCCATGGTGTTGCAGGATGGATGTGGTTCACAACTCTGAACTCTAAAATGGGGAAAATGCTTGCACTTTTCCTGGTTTTTCTTCTTTTTCTTTTGAGTCTGTTTGCTTATTTTCCCACTTGAAATGCCACAAAGGTTGAGTCCTGCAAGATGTATCTGAAGTGTTGTTACCTTTGCTGTAACCGCAGATTACATCCTAAATAAACATCTTTGTAGTCAAGCAATCATCCCATTTCTTTAGCAAAAATATTAAAGTTTGTTCAGCAAATTGAAGAAAAGCCACCTGTGGCTATCAGCAGTCTTGTCAGAATGGCATGTGTTTGATTGTGGAAGGGAAATGGATCTTTAGTAACTGCTTTAACTCAGTGTTGTCAACCAAGATAAGATGTGAGACTGCTTGATGCTATTTCTGTAGAGAGAAATGGTAAAATTGCATTTAGGAGTTTTATAATGGAGTTTAAGTTGAGGGCAGCCAAACATGTAGTATAGTGTAGTGCATGGAGATGATGTGTTAACAGAAGCCACTTCTTGTGTATTCTGTAGCAAAGTAGTTATCTCTGTTCTGCCTTCAATAGCCAGCTTTGCTTAGGACAAATCCATTAGTACTTGGCTTTGATATGCGCTTTAGACAAAAGTTTTCTTTCACTGAGCTAGCAACACCAGAATAAAACGAAGACTTTTCTATCCAGTAGAATAATGACTATTTGTATCGCATTTCTCCAGCATTCCTCTTTGGTAAAGTGCCTTCAATTGTCAGGAGTGATCATTATATAGTATGCCACTATTGGCCATTTTAGTTAACATTTAGGTGCAGAACAATTTCTAGTTCTTGCAGGTTTTTTAAATTAGGCAAGGAAATGCTTGAGGGTATCCCATTTTCTAACAGGCTAATATTTATGTATATTTGTAATTATAGTGGCAACACACTGTAACCTGCAATATTTCACAAAGCATAGGGCAATGTTCTCTCAACTGCTGCCAATGTAAATTACATTGCGCTAGCCTATTTATTTGTTTATTCATTCATTTCATTTTATACTGCCCAAAGCCAAGGTTCTCTGGGCAGTTAACAAAAGTTAAACACACAAACAAGAAAAAAACAAACATAAGACAAAATCACAGAATTACAACCAAGTCAGCACAGAGGTATTGCAGTGGTAAGGAATAAAATGGAATATTAAAACTAAAGTTAAAAAGTTAACTGTTAAAATACTGGAAAAATAAAAAGAGTTTTACCTGGCTCTGTAAAGACTACAGAGCAGGCACCAGACTCAGTTCTTTGGGATGCTAATTCCATATCTGGGGTGCCATAGCTGAAAAGGTCCTTTGGTGGGGGCTCCTGGAGAAGGACCCCCAGAGATGTCCTTAGGTTCCAGGTAATTATATATGGGATGAAGCATTCCTTCAGATCACCTGGTTGGAAGCCATTTAGGCTTTGAATGCTAATACTAGCATGGATGAACTGTAGAACAATGCCAGTAGTGCTTGCAGGAGCAGAGGGTTTTCTAAGTCTGAACCTAGGAACAAGAAAGAAAGTACCTGGCAACGTCCACTTCTGTGGCATTTACAATATAATATACTATAGTATAGAGTGAGATTCCTTGGTATTCCTAGTCCAGCCAGCATACTATACGAAGCCCTTTCCTTTTCAGCTTTTTGATCAACTATGCCTCTTTAATTTGTCCCTGTACCAGCAGCATGACAGCTTCTGCTGATCCCTGGTGGTATTTTTCTTAATCCTTTTGTCCTTGTCCTGTCACCCCCTTTGCTTGCTTCACTCATCCTTTCCTCTGGTCAGTTGATTTTAGCCCACTGCCTTCTTTGTCCCCCTTTCTCCAATTTATTTCTCCTCTGATTCCCTAATCTCCTTGATGCAAGGTCTTTTTAGCACCTGACAAGTAGTAGATGTTTATAGTTAAGATGACAAAGCAACAACTCTAGTTGTCAGAATAAGAGACTACAGTGTAGATTCCAGAAGGAAAAACCTGTCAAACTTACGGTTTCTTTAGACTTTCTCTTTTTTTCCCCTCCAGGTTGAAAAGTATACACTTTAAATGTTCACTCACTGAGATATCATTTTAACACTATAATCTTATAAATGGTTAACTAACTCCTAAGCAATAAAGTGGTTCATAGTTATCATGGATGCATAACTAGAATGAAGTGTATGTTTTGGCACTGCTTTCATGTGTCTCTCATAATTTAAGTGCTATTTATCTGCTTTGCCTAAAATGATTCTCTTTGATTTGGAATTTTGAACAAACAACCTTTTTGTGGTTTAAGACTAAAGCTTTGTTTGAACATTTATTTTAAATATAGTTTGTACATATTCAACTGTTGACTTAGCAACTACAATTCCATAACCCAACATCTGTTTTATTATTGCTCCTTCTGCATCAGTGCTAACTGTTACCTGGTTCTATTACTCATTCTTACAGAAGTGACTTAAAGTAGTGAATCTATAATATCTGTACCCTGTTCCCTGAGGTTTCCATTGGTAATCAATTCAATTGTTGACAGTAATACAGTCTTGTATTAACCAGTTCCTTTTTTAATATTTTCAAGTGTCAATTTACAGTATCTGGTTCTATGACAAGAATGACTGTCAGCGAATAGCAAAACTCATGGCTAAGTAAGTACCAGTTCTATCACAAGTTTATGTTTCTTGTAACTCGGTTTTATAGAATCTCATGGCAAAACCATGCCTTTTCTCACACACCTTTCTTGTGAAAAATACTTGATAACACTATTTCTTTTAGCAGACCTTTGAACTTGGTGTTTGGGGCAAAAGTGTACAGGCTGTACCCTATTGCCTGGAAGAAAGTTTCTTTAAACTCAACAGAGCTTGCTTCTTAGTTGGATATGTATAGATGTTTATGAATATCCCACAAGAAGGATGTGAATACCCATGCACCCTACTGTTCCGCATTACGAGTAACTGGTATGCAGACGCATACTGCCTCGGATAGTGAAGGCAATATATAGCTCTCATGATTAAAATGAAGGCTGCATGGGCTCTAGGATCTTCTGGGGAGGCCCTTCTGTTAGTCCCACCACTGTCACAGGCACGATTGATGGGGATGCAGGAGTGGCTTCCCCAGGACTTTGAGATACCCTTCCTAGGGAAACTACATTCATTCATTCATTCATTCACTCATTCATTCATTTTTAACATTTATATACCACCCCATAGTCCACAGGGCTCTCTGGGCAGTTTACAAATTTTAAATTCTTAAAATACTCAAAAATAGTGCAAACAATATGCACCTAAAATACTATAAAGCAACAATATAACAATCAACAGTCAGCAAATTACAAATAGTATTTAAAAGGTTCAATAACAAAAAGGGCTTTGCTTGGCACCTAAAAAATGTCAGGGATATGCCAGTTGCACCTTTCTGAGGAGCATGTTCCAGAGATGGGCTGCCACTACTGAGAAGGCCCCTCTCCTGATTGCCACCCCCCCCTTCTTGGGGTGGGATGTTCCATGAGAAGGACCTCGACAAACAATCTTAAGGGCCAGGCAGGAACATATGAGATAAGGTGTTCCTTCAGATAACCTGTCCTCAAGCCATTAATAGCTTTAAATGTTAGAACAAGCACTTTGAATTGGGACTTTGACTGGCAGCCAGTGCAGCTGACAAGGACTGACATGTGATCTCATGTGCCAGTTGGTACCTGCCCTGTTAGGGTCCTGTAAGCAAGCTTAAGCCTTTTTATTCCAGTGGGCATTAGGGAATGGCCTGTGAGTTTGCATTGCATTAGTTTTACTGCTTATTTTAGAGATGTTTTTAGTCTAGGTAGTAGTCTAATATACAATCAAATTTAATTATTTTAGCTTTTGTAAACGTTTGAATGTTTTAATTACATTAAATTTAATGTGCTCTACCTAGAGTCCCAATCAGTTAGGTGGGCTGTAAATGTAATAGTAATACTAGGGATTTGATATCCCTTTCTTGCCATGAAATTGTTTAATCTTATAATGCTGTGCAGGCTGGTGGCCATTGTGGTGCAAATTGTAATCCTTGTGGTGCAAATTCTATATTGGGTCCAAGTATGTGCTCTGTGAAGAAGTTCTAGTGCAAAGAGGCAAGGATAAAAACATCTGTCTAGCTGTAACATATTTTGTTAAAAGAGCAGCACCTTCACATTGGAGTTCTTTAGATACTCTTAGATGCATCCTATCTGGACTTGATGATAGTTAACTTCAATTTGCCAGTATGGATTAAAACTTCATCTCTTGTCACCACTCTTTTCCTTAGTTCCTCAAACTCCCTTCCCAAAAATGCCAGTTTGGCCATGGATATCTGTCCTACATCTTCTGCAATGAAGACATACGAAAAGAATTCATTAAGCTTTCTGCAGTCTCATCTTTCTCCTTTAGTTCTCCTTAACTTTCTTATCATCATGTAGTGCAGTTCTTCCCTAAGTTTTTTCTGGCTTCAGATGTAAGGGCCTTAATATTAATATTATTAATATTAATATCATAATATTAATATTATAATATTAATATTATATTATAATATTAATATATTAACATTAATGTATAATATTAATATTAATATTATATTGATATTAATATAATACAACATTGTTGTAAGCCGCCCCGAGGCTTCGGCGAATGGGGCGGCATAAAAATGTTTTAATAAATAAATAAATAAATAAATAAATAAATATTATTACAGATATGCTCCTCAAAATGGTTTTTTGTATCCATGTGAACAGTTTTCACAGACTTGCAAATTTTATTACTTTTTATTCTTGTTTGGGAAGGACTTCAATTTTCTGAAGAACATTTTTCTTGTGGGACTTCCTTGACAAATTTCCACTTACATTTGAATTAAATTTGATAGCTCTGTGGTCACTACTGTATCTGAACCTACCCTTGTGCTAATGGGGCTTCTAATGTGATGAAGAGCTAATGGTTCTAAAGCAACCTTGGAAACAGAATTGTTTATTTCTTATCTCTTTGTCTTGACAAAACATGCATTTATCCAGTCCATGTGGGGGTAACTGAAGCCACCCATTCCTGTAATATTTTTTTCTTTAGACGCCTCCATTATTTTTTCCCATCTCAGGATTGCACCAAGCCTTTCATTCACTGGGATGGAGCAATTTGGTTACTATTTTCTTAGTGACAAATTAGGGTATAAATATAATAATAGTGTAATAATGTTCCTAGTATTCCATTATTTTTGGTGTTGATGTTGTCACCACAGTGATTCTGTGGCAGAGTGTGTTCCTTTTGATGTTTACAGCTTTTGATATACAGAGTGGTGGCACGCCTAGTATGTATGCTGGAGAGAGGATGAGTTAGTGACAACTAGTACATGAGCCCATGACTGGTTGCCAGTCCCTTAACCATAGTTAAGATTTTAAGACAATTATGCCTGCACTGTTTCAGTGACACAGAATCGAAGTAACATCTGAGTTACTCAGTTTAAGAAAATTAAGTCCTTGAACATGTTTGTAATTCTTGATACAGAATTTGGCACCTTTATTGCAGAGTATGCTTTGTAGCCCTTGTTATGTCTAGTGTAGTTGTGAGAATGAGACACACTCAGGTTTGGCCTTAAACAGGTGAATCAGCTAAACTTCTGTGCCTCTAAAAATGGCCCACCTCACCACCATCCTGTGGAATTTAATGTTTTTTGTGGCTTCTAGTTTCTGTGAGATTTTCATTCTAGACTGAGAAAATATTAATGAAGTTGTGTAGCTAGCAATACAAGCTCTGTTAGGAGCTAATTCATACTGGCATTATTTATAAAGTGAAGCTATAGAATGATTGACATCTTGTGTGATTGGTATGATACCACCTTTTGGCTTTCCCATCAGCTATCTCTTATATAGCTTGATGCTTCTGATATGACATTTCCTGTTCTTAAGGCAGAATTCTGCTTTAACAGACTGCATCCCAAGCTTATCTGTATTATTGACTGTTAATATGTGTTATTTCAAGTAGCTTTGAACTAACTTGTTTGGAGTAAATAGACATTTTAAAGCAATGAGATTTTAAAATTATTTTGGCTATTAGTGAAAAGACCTGACCTTACATGGTTTGGAATAGTCTTTAGTTTTACAGTGAGGTCTTCAAGTAAAGTTACTTTAGCAGTCAGAGTAGGACATGTTCTGCTTGCCCTGTCTTGAGTGAAGAGTAGCCACTGGTACCCCCTGTGATGTTGCACCCTTGTAATAAAGCTACATAGATGGCAGACTTGGACATATTCTGACATATTATGCCCATCTTGTCTGAGTGAAGCCATGGTTGCTAGCATCCCTAGGCATGACCCCAGGAGATGTGTGCCTATGGCCCACTGAGCCATTTTCTGGAAAACCTGGAATAAGAAGAAATTATTCTGGAAAATGTTCTTATTCAAATAAGGGTAATTTGCATCAGATTTACACTGTGCTTTGGAAATTTTTATGATGTCCTAGGGAGTGATCTAATTTAGTATGCTTACTTTATTCTTGTTTAGTAAATACAGCTTAAAAAGCTGATGTTGTCTCCCAGTGCATCTCAAGTATTTAACCTGAAATATTTGATGAAAGCATTGAAGCATACTTAATGTGATTTAAGTGTTACATTATACAGATTTTTTCTTGCAAAACTTATAAAAAGTAAAAGACAATAGCAGATGAAGCACTTAAAATTTGAATGTAAGGAGGAAAAGGCTGCTGACAGTGGATGCTAATTATCTTCCCCATTCTATTGCACTTCAGATATATAAGACTACAGCTCCCAGCCATGCTGCCTGCAGATGCTGGGTGTTGTGGACCAACAGATCTGGGGGGCATTGTGTTGGGGATTTGAGCAACCCAAGGAATTGTACATGATATGCTGGCAACTGCTCATGCATTTCAACAAAGTTCAGCTCTCCTGTGCTAAAGTTGATTTAGACCCTCTCAGTTGCCCTGTCACTATGTATTAGTTCTCTCTTGTACTGCAACTTAGACTTATTTCAATGATATGTGTCTCCTCTTATATAGCTGTTAGGAATAAATCACCTAAAAGATATTAATTACACTTGTGAAACTGCCAAGCCTGCTGCATACTGTCTTTGTATTTGGCATCCATTCGTTGTCACTAATGAACTTAAGAAATAGAAAATGTTCCACGTCGTATAATTAATGAAATCATATGCCATAATAAAAAGTGTTAGTCTTTAAGATGCCACAAGATTTTTCATGTTGGATCTTGTATTTTGTTGCACCAGGTAATACTTTCTGACCTTGCAGTTTTTTCCCCTTCTGCTCTATAATAGAGTGGTACAAGAAGAAACACAGAGATCCCAGTTACAGGACAGAAGAAGTATCAGCAAGATTAATGGTTGCACTGATATCCTGGAGATGCTTAGCAAGGCCAAAGTTGAATATGAACGGGTAAGAAAGGTATGTATGTTATAAAGCTAATACTGGGCTGACGCTGCATATTTTTCTAGGTATTTTAATGGGAGCAAACTGACTTGCAAATGTTTAGTTTATTTAGAACTGTATTGCATGGTTAGCCTCAATGATTTCTTGTCTGATGCATTCCTTCTCTTGTCAGCATATGGGCTTCCTTTTCTAACAGTAAGCACTGCCAGATGAGGCTTTCTTCCTGTTCCTCGGTGAATAAATGATACCCAGATTTCCAGCTGTATAATGTTCTGTGCAACTGTGTGTAACTAGGCTGGGGGGGCATATTAATTTTCACATCAAGTGCTATCATTCTTGAAGTACCATAAGGTCACTAGATACATTTCATGTGTGATAACACTGTTACTCAAAGTTTATTTCTCTTGTTCATAAATTTGATCACATAGCCCAGGAAAAGTGGGCAACTTTCAAATTCTTGAAATTTCCATATTCCCTAGTCACCACAGCATAATTTCACATTCTCTAGAAACCTTTTTACAAACTTACACTACAATGCAGTCTGTTTGCTTTCTGCTAACTCAGACTCACTGAGCGAAATAGAATGAGCAGTGAATCATCATCATGCAATCTTAAAATGCTTGAGGGGATGTTGAATCATGAGGCAAAAGGCTTTCAACTATCCTGGAACAGCAATTTTAAGCACTGATGTTCAGCCAACCCAGAATAACTTGCTGCAACTAAAACAAAGAAAAAATGCTCCATGGCTTGTAAATGTTGAGATGGGCTGCAGTCTGCTTTAGCTCTAATACTATTGACTGACAATCTTACTTTTCTCCCTATAGGTATAGTGAGTATTGCCACTTTGCTGTTGTGTGAAATGGAGGCATAGTTTGTATTTATGTTTGAATGGTTTAAATGCCCTCACTTTAAATATCTTTTCTTCTTTGATAATATGGCTATATAATGTAAAGTTACGAAGAAACAGAGCAAGTCAGAAAGGGTCTCCTAGGCCATCTAGTCTGATCCCTGGCTTCAGTCAGCTCTGCTCATGACATGCCTACCATGTGCATGTCCAGCTTATCCTTGAACACCCTCACCGAAGGGGCTTCAACCACCTCATGCGAAATCCCATTCCATACCCTCAAGGTCCTAACTGTCAGGAATTACTTCCTGGCATTCAAATTGAACCTTGGTTTCTTGAGCTTCGCTCCATTGGAACATGTCCTGCCCTCCTTTGCAGGGGAAAAGAGCTGCCCCTCATGTCCCTATATGTTGCCAACAGATCCCCTCAGAGTCTCCTCCTCTTCAGGCTGAAAAGACCCATCTCCCTCAGTCTCGCTTCATATGGCTTTCCCTGCAATCTGGTCACCATCCTTCTGGCCCTATGATGCACCAATTCTAAACTGGCTATATCCTTCCTGCAATGTGGAGCCCAGAACTGAACACAATACTCCAGTTGCGGGTGCACCAGCGTTGTCCAGAGTGGTAGTAATAGCTCTCTCGATCTAGAAGCCATGCTTCCGGCTATGCATCCAAGGATGGTGTTCGCCCTCCTGACTGCCACATCACACTGCTGACTCATGTTTAGCTTGCAGTCGACCAGTATTCTGAGATCCCTTTCACAAGTGCTGTTCTTCAGCCACTTGTCCCCTAACCTATACTTATGACACCCATTCCTATGCCCCAAATGAAAGGTCTTGCATTTATTCACATTGAATGCCATCCTTTGTCCCCTGCCTGCTTCCTTAGTCTGTCGAGTTACTAAATTTTTCCTGCAACTTTTAAAATTCTACATGGCAAAAAATCTGTTACAGCCTAAGTGTTCAAGCTGTTCTGCCCCCTCCCCATTCCCCCACCCAAAGCATAAGCTAATGATGGTGGGATGCCCCATCCTTAAGAAATGTGGCTACTGCTAACGTGGGTCCTTCACGTGGATCCAGTGTTGTTATTCTTTGGAATGGAAGCCACTGGCAGAACAGATCGCCTCTGCTCCCACATGGCCTCCACATCTGCTTTGAAGTCCCATTGCATAAGTGGACAATGCTGGAGTCAAGCCTTTGCCTGCTTGATCCTGCCTATCTGGTTTCCCTTTTCCCACCAAAGGTAGATTTCCTAAATAAACTAATTCAGCTGGATTGAGGTTGGAACTAGCCACTTTCCTCAAATTGGTGCCCTTTGAACTCCATCCAGTTTAACCAATGGTCAGGATTGCTAGTGATTATCATCCTAAACGTCTGGAGAGCATTAGGTCAGGGAAGGCTGGACTAGTGGTATTGAGGAGGTAGGAAGAATCTCCTTTAAAAAATAAGGAGGATTTAAGGAAATAGAATGGCAGTAAAAGTCATGGGGAAGGCAACTTGTTGGTACTGTATGTTTTCCCAGCTGATTGGTATCAGTCACATATTGATTTGCATGCCCCTGAACAATGAGGCATTAGAAACAGGTGCTTTTCAACCAGCTTCTACTCTGGTACTCCATGAAGCCATGGAAGGTCCACTGTCATGTACTGTCATGCCCAAGTCTTTGATAAATGTGGATTCCAAATGTTGATAGTAACCTTTCCTAATGGCTGTAACCATTCATATTTGCTTGGGTATACAAGCAGTTTTTTCCCCACAAGTACCAAGGCTCAGATAATGTATGACTTTTAAAGCAGTTGTTCTTTGCAAAGAAATGATGGAACCAGCAGCCCTTTCATGTGCTGCTGAACAGGCATTCAACATATTTGTGGGGATTGCACTCAAAGCTTTTGGTCTTCCCCGTATGTTCATTAGTTGGATATGTATTCTTTTAGGTCACATCTAGCTTTGAAGTCAAAAGAAATAGTGCTTTCTCATTATAGAGAAGTACATAATAGGATGCCTGCTTCCCCCTATCTGTGGAGCTCCTGACTTGTGTGTTTCAAAATTCTGATGTACTAAAATGCTTACATTCTGATGTGATGAATCCCAGATTGGGCTTATACATGGATGGTGTGCATGTTTTTATCTTGGATCTAACCAAAATGCTTTCTGCCCTGATAGAGCTTAAAACTTAACCATTTATCAAATTATTCTAGCAAACCCAAACCTAAATCTCCCTGGGGAATGTTTTGTAAGTAGCATTTAACTATGTCTGAGACTTATCTAGGAATTATGGTGCCAAAAAGCTTCCTAACAAAGGTGCAAATGAACCGTGATAGACTGCATGGTATTAAGTCATGCTTAGGTAGGTGATCTTCCCTTCCCTTAAAACTTCTAGGGCAAAAATAGATGTGATTGGAAGCATAATCCACAGGTGGTAAATAGGATACATCTATCTGCAATCTGTTTTTTAACTGCTTATTATTAGGACTTCCCAAGTCAACCTTGAAGGGCTTCATTATCAGTACCAGAGTTGATCCATGTGCATATGAGAACTCATATTTGAGAATATGTGGAAAGTGGAAGTTCTGGACAGCTTTTCAGGTTACAAATTTTGAATAACTTGTGGTTTGGGAAGGTGAATTCAAAGGTTTTCATAATCTGCAAGAAGAATTTGGCAAAGCAAACAGGTCCTATTGTCAGTTTCTGGAATTTAAACATCTGCTCACATCTATTTTTGGAGCAGCTGCTTGTGCAGCATCTGTGCTCCCAAACCTCCTAGAAGACTTTGTTGGCTTGCTAGGTCTACTGGCTTTGTTTGTATCAGCAGTTCTCACACAGATTTTAGGACAACATATCTTGACTCCGTAAGAATGGAATAGGGAAATGTAGTATTCCATTTTGCATAAACAGGAGGCGTATAGCATTCCTGGTTATTGAACAGTTCTTCAGTCTGATGCAAGTTAATATTGTGGACATTTTATTCTCTAGTAGCCCTACTACAAAACTGTTATTCCATCAGTATGAGGTTTAAAGAAAGTTCTTCATTTAGATGATGTGGAATTGCCCATTTAAAAGCTCCTTTTGGCATGAATTTTGTTACAGTTTAATACTGTAAAACTGGTAATTAAGCACTGTTTATGAAGAGAAATAATAAGTTGTGGGGAGGTGTGGAGGAAACGGTAGTTGAATGGCATGGCTTCTTCCATTCTTAGGAATGTCATAGTTCCAGTAGAGGCTCCCATTCATGGTATTTTTTATGATTTTCCCTCATACCTCCTTTGCCACCTACCACTCTGCTCATGGCATTTCTTGATCTGTTGAGTAAAAAGTGCATTATTGCTGCCCCTCCATAATAGGAACATGCCTGCTTGCTAAAGGTACAGGAGTTGCCTGGGAATTATTTGACAGCCTTAAAATATGACCCACTCTGGAAAAATATGCCTGCTTGTCTGTCTTGTAAAGTCCTCATAAGCCAGGTTTCTGTCTAAATCTGCCTGCCCTCTTGTTTCTTCAGTCAGGGGGCTAATATAAATAGTCTGGACAGGCTGAGTTAAATCAACTGATTAAAATGTATACATTACTCTGTAAGCTCAGGGTGGCTTGCATTTATACTGCCTCTGCAGTATGTGGGAGGCAGCGGCTCAGACGCCACATTGTCTCCCATACGTTGTAGAACTCCTCTGGCTCTTAAAATGTTCCCTAAACCATAGCTATCCTCTTTGATCATCAGAGATGATACTCAGTTTCTAAATGTATAGAACTGGAAAGATAATGGAAGTAATGTTTATCAACTAATGGGCGAGTTTGAGAGGGAAGTTTTAGAAATAAACTGTTTCTGATCTCGATTGCTGTGCTTGTATAGTGTTATGTAGGTGCTTCCTGCTTTTGCATCATGGTGATTCTCTTATTAATTTCTCTGCAAATTATGCAGGGCCACTTCATTTAATTGTATGTGGATTTGCATTTTAATATTTAAGAAATAAGACCCTTTTCTTGTATATTCCAGATGGATCATAAAATAATCTGGCTCTGTAACTAAGATGAGATTGTCAGAGTCAGCATAAGAAGGGACAGAGTGGGAATGAGAAAAAAGATTGGGAAAGTCCTGAGTAATTTAAACTCAAATTATAAATCAGCTTAATTCTTAAAGGACTCTCTGTATCCAGTTCATAATGTGAAAATGAATGGATTTTGATATATTTTTCTTAATAGTGGGAGGAGGTTTTTTAAATAACTAATGCTTTTCCTTCCTTAAAAACATTAATACTATGATAGCCTGGCATTACACAAAATCATGGTAATTTAGGAACACATTTGTACATAACAGAATTGTTAAAGCCAGCAGTTAACTACATTGGAAGCCCTGGAAACAACATGTGGGGGAGGGGGGGACTTAAGAGTGAATGTGTGTGGCTGTCCAGATGCAATGCATTTTAAATCTATACTTGAAAATAAAACAAATGAATGTATTTTGGAAATGCATAAAATATGAGCAATATGGTAACTTCCCATCTACTGATGAATTCTACAGTTGTTGTAGTTGGGTCAGTTTCCTTGCATTGATTTTGAGTTTTTGATGCTCATATTTGGGATATCTTTACTTAAGGAGCTATGTAGAATGATATTTTTTCCAACAGTAGCAAATCTTATGAAATTCTGCTGTGTTTAATGATTGAATCAGAAATGTCACACTCAATGGATTAAAAATGGCAGGTCTCTTGAACCATGAAGCTGAATCATCATTTTATTTTAGTGCTGTATTAACATTTGCCTAATGCCTGGAAACACACTAAGCACAGACTATTTTTATAAATGCTATGCACACCTTGGCATGTCACTGGACAGAAGTTCTATCCGTTCATTAGGGTAACACAAATGGCATGAGTCACATACTGTTTATTGGGAGAAATATTTAGCTTTAAGCAGAATGATCTTAGCCATGTTCCTTATACAGCTTTTCATCAAGTTAGGCCTTCATCCTGGTATTTTCACATCTCATCACATGAGCAGAATTATCAAATGCTTATACAATGTGATAGCATGACTTTTATTGATGGCACTGAAAAAAAAACCTTGGTGTGATGAGAACAAGGCAAAGAGCTTGCTGGGAAGCTTCTAATGGTTTGAGAAAGTGTTAAATGAATCATCAAGTCTGAATTGGGATTACAGTAATGCATTTTATTTTCTAGAATCAGAAGAGTGACTTAATCTGTGGGACACCGCAAACTGCAAATCCTACAAAGACTGAAAATGCAGAGACTTCAGAGCATGGATCATCGGTGTTACAAATGCAAGATCATGTATGTCCTATAAAAGCTGAAGCACTATGGTTTTGATATGTTGTTTTTCTGTTTCCATTCCATATGTGTGGATCAGCTGTGCATTATACCATGAACTGATTACACCTGCACAATACATGCATTTCATATCTCTGTTGAGATTGTGCTATCTCAGATACAGGCTTGCCTGTTTGCTCTGCTGCTTTGTGCTCTGAAAAAAGAAACTAAGTCCATTTGGAAATGGTCTCTCCTGGAACCTTTCTCTTCAGGAGTATATTAGAACCGGGCAAATGAGTGGGAGAGACAAGTATGCAGCTTCCATTGCTCTGCTGTATGTTTAAACACAAACAGTGTAGCACAGGTGATTCTGTCCCTGCTGCTCATTGCTCCTCTGGTAATGGTAGGGCCCTGGGCACATCTTTGGGCCATCACCTGGGCAGCAGTGTTCTTGAAGGCTTGGAACCTGGTTTTATGTGAAACTGTGTAAAGGACAATACTGAGAAATACACTAGACATTATATGGTCTATTAACATTATATGGTCTATTAGCTAATGAAGCTGGGCTTTGGCCAAGGAATGAGGCAGAGATTCAAGAAATAAATGGTGAATTAAAAAGTGGGGAGCAGGAAATAATGATTAGTAGATCTTGAGTACTGTGATAACTTGTGCCTGGTAGTGGTACCACCTAGTGGGAAAAAAAGAGTGGTGCACATGTTGATCTTAAAGAATCCCCTAGAAATGTGACTAGGGTCATTTCACCTTTCTGAAGCGCTTGATTTTTTCTAACTGCTCGACAAGGGGGGCGTTGGATGCTTTAATTTTAAAATTTAAGCTTTTAATCAGAAAATTTCTGATTGGTTTTCTAGGCTCCAAATGGGGATTGGGAAACACAGTCCCAGTCATTAGTCATAAACTGGAGATTGACTCTGTGGTTCACATGTGATGCTAAGCCACCCTGCAAATAAGTCATGGTGCATGGAGCAACTCACAGTGCATCAAAAATACTTTTGGTATCACCATGGTTTGTTGCCCTCCCTCCTCCTCACTTCTCCAGCTGAACCCACCATCTTTTCTGCATGCATGCTCCACTTGCCATTATTTTCATTTACCATCATTTTTTCTAGAGTACAGTTGGGGTTATTAAAAAATCAGCCTTGCTTTAAAAAATTGTTGTTTTTGATCCTTTGCAAGTACATAGGGGTGTACTTCTGGCTATCCACTATGTACAGTCTTGAATGGTTAATTCTTTTGTCTGTTTCAGTTGTCAAAAGCAAGACTGTATATAGGCTAATTTGTATGCAGTTGTCCAGCTGTCATTTACCTAGTTCTCAGTTGAAAAATATCAGTAAATTCAGGGAAAGTGGAAATATCACCTACTTCCCAGTGAAATCCTCTCAATTCATATTGGTGAATCATCACCCTTTCAACACTTCCCCTAGTCTCCAAATAATCTAGAAAAGGGAGATAATAACTCTTTTATGCAGTTCTTTTTCAGAGCAGTTACTGTGGTTAACCAAGAGCTCTAACCCTTTCCTCCTCGCAGAAATATATGGAACTTTAATGAGTGAGAAGTAAGTGAAGGTGCAAACTGAAGAAGTTTAAGGGCTGGGAAGGATAGGAAATATGTGCACCTGCAGAAAGTGTTTGGAGTAGTTGGACATTTGGGGAAATGTTGAAAATGTGGAGGGCACTGAGATCTGTCAGTTCAGCACAGTCGAGAGAACTACTTTGTTGAAGGAGTGATGCACCCCCCCCTTCTCATTTGCCCTTATCAGTGCTTTTCCACTGAAAGCTGAGCACCTGGCTCTTGACAACTGCATGCAAAATAGGTTATACACAGTCCTGCCTTATATTGGGTAGCCCTTACACACCTGTGAAGGGCTAACCAAAATAAGTACATACATAAATAAAGTGGCAGTTTTCAGTGGCCATTTTTTAAAAGAGACTTCAATTGTACTCTTTTGAGGTGTCAGAAATAGTCCAGGAATGATTGAGTGCCCTTCTGAAGAAGGGAAGTAACTGGCACAGTCATGAAAATGAGTGACAGGGGAGTTTGCTACTTTTGCAAAGTGGCTTCACAGCTGTCCTCAGCAACCCACAGTAAAATTCACCCATTAGAAGTTGAACAACCCCTAGAACAAACCATTGTTGTACAGAACTGCTATATGTGGAGGAACAAGATCAGAGGTAACATCTGGAGCCCTGTGGCGTTTCTGTATATTAATTTCTGTAATGCTCTCCCAGGATGGTGAACATATCCAGTTGCCCAGGCCATTAGTTGCAATGTTGTGGACATCTAGAGCAGATAAACACTTGAATACAGGAAGCTATATTAAATAGAAAGTAGTTCAAGATCTTTTTGCAATGCTAACCTGAAATTTTACTTAATCATTTGGACTATCTCATGGTAGGATAATATTGGTATAAAATGAAATAAGGACTAAAAATAAATGGCCATTTGAGACAAGTGGGCCAGTGCCTCAAATCATTTTCTTAACCCTTCACCTTAAACATATTTGCCCATAAGCATAGCTTGCAGTTTTAAACATCAGAAATAGAGATACAATATGTTACGGCTGGAATTCAAAACTGATTGTTAGCACACTTACATCACGGTGCATAAGACCTGTGCCCTGCATGAGTACAGTAATAATAAAGGCAAATGCTACAGTCCTTTATACAGAATGCACTCTGTTGTTGCTAGTTGTGAAGTCATGTCCAACCCTCCGTGACCCCATGGACAACACTCCTGTAGGCCTTCCTGTCCTCCACCATCCCCCAGAGTCCACTTAAGCTCACACCGACTGCTTCAGTGACTCCATCTGTTCACCTCATCCTCTGTTGTCCCCTTCTTCTTTTGCCATCAATCGTTCCCAGCATTAGGCTCTTCTCCAGGGAGTCCTTCCTTCTCATTAGGTGGCCAAAGTTGAGTTTCATCTTCAGTATCTGGCCTTCTAAAGAGCAGTCAGGGTTGATCTCCTCTAAGACTGACTGTTTGATTTCCTTGCAGTCCAAGGGACTCGCAGGAGTCTCCTCCAGCACCACAATTCAAAGGCCTCAATTCTTCGGCGCTCAGCCTTCCTTATGGTCCAACTTTCACAGCCATACATTGCAACTGGGAAAGCCATAGCCTTGACTGTACGCACTTTTGTCAGCAGGGTGATGTCTCTGCTTTTTAGTATGCTGTTTAGATTTGCCATAGCTTTTCTCCCAAGGAGCAAGTGACTTTTAATTTCTTGGCTGCAGTATGCACTCTTTGGATGATGCCAAAGCTTTTTATTTTTTAGCTGTGCTCTTAACATTTGTTTGTAGAGAAGATATACAAGAAAATTGTGGGAATTTAACTTTTTAAATAGAGTTTCTCATCTGTCTTTTCTTTTCTTTTTTAGCCATGTCAATCCATACCTAAACATCTCACAGTGGAAGAATTATTTGGAACTTCAGTACCAAAGGAACACACTACAGTTCCCTATTCCAGCCCAGAGACAACAGAGAAAATTGATATTGCATGCAGAGAACACAGTTTACTCTTACCCTTTTCATTAGAGCAATCAACAGTGATCCATCAGTCTCTGGGAAAATTGGATACTCCAAACTTGAGAAGTAATTCTGGTACCTTACTGCCACAGGACTGTGTGCCACCCTTACTTATTGCTTCTCCTTTGGTTTCACAGCCTGAACAAAATAAAGTTTCAAACTATACTGTGCCGTTAAGTCCTGTACTTAATTCAGCCTTGGCAACAGAAGCTCCCTGTGTGCAAATGCTTCAGAGTTTGAATACAAACAATAATATAAAGCAAGTTATGCATCAAACTGCCAAGCAAGTAACTCCACTTGTGAATCAGCCATCAACTGACATGAACCATGGTCCACAAACTATAACTCCTGGTCAAAACCAGTTCTTAACTTCCTTGGCGGCAGCAAATACAGGAGATGCTTCAAACACACCACTTCCAAATATGGATCTTTTTCAAAAACTCAGGTTGACCCCACAACATGACCAAATGCAGCAGCCACTTAGTAAGACCCCAGTAGCACCAAACTCTACCCCTTCCATTAGCCAGCTGGCAACACCAGATTGTTTCAAGGAATCCCATATCAAGCAGCCAACAGTAACTGGTAAAATGATTCCACCTGTTCAGGTAATTTGTAGGTTTCTATTTTTCAGTTTTTTTAACAAATGTAAAACTCTCTTTAAACTGTATGGTTTGCTTGTGAAAGCTGTTGTAGGTTTTTACTAAAAGCAGAGAATGATGTATTATCTCAATTAGATCTCCCCTGAGCCTTAAAGTGCTAACACACTTAGCACTTGACAATTTCTGTTTTGACACTGGATAAATGGATAATTTGGAAGCTGGCCTCACAGAGGATACTAAGCAGCCATAAGTTCCATTTTTGTCATCATAATGCCATTCTGGACTGGCAGTTCTATAGCTAGAAGTGGCAGGACATTTGAAGTGCTTATAAAAATAAAATCAGAAATACATGGTACATCATGTTATAAAATTTTATAATTGGCCATAACAAAATGTAACAAAGCCAGTGTAGTTCCATTGGAAAGAGAGAGTTCAGTCTGAGAGACCTAGCCTTACCTTTATTCTGGTGACTTGTCTAAGATGGATGTTTTCTTAGTCTTAGGGTCACACACAAATTTGCAGGCAAGCACTTGCACAGCATGCCTTTGCTGTGCTATATAACCCAGTGGTGGGAAATAGATCAGTTTGTTTCCTACTTTTCCATGGTAAAACCATGCTCAAAGCAGCTTCCACCAATATAAGGGAAACAAATTAGTAAGCCATAAGAAGATTTTGCCACTTCTAGCATTAATCACGCAGATAGGCTAGCCAGAGCAACTCATATTAATAAATATACACCAAGATTATATATTTAAATCATTTTAAGGCCAAAGAAAGGATTTTTAAAGAGCTAAATATTAGACAAGTGGAAGTAGTGCAGATGAAACCAAAGTAGTCTTTACCACTTAACTGACGATTTTACTTAGGAAACTATATATAGCAGATGAAGTGTATATAGCAGGTTACTGTAGGTATCTTACTTAGCGCATGAACCCATACCATCCATATAAATTTAGCAGAAAAAAATGTAAAGAGCAATGCTCCATGTGGGATTAAGGAGTTGACCTCTGTTACTCACTTTATTTCTATTTTTCCTTTGTAGGTTACACAGCAAAGCAAGGAGCTTGAAACATTTCCAAATTCCAAAGCATTGCCGAAGGCAAGGGTGATATTAGTAGTAGTAGTCGTAGTAGTCATAGTAGTTTTAATTTCTGTGCCTCCTAATAGCAAAGCTGTCTGGGTGGTTTACAAAAGTTCATAAAAACAAGCATTATTATTGCATTGCATTTATAGCCTGCCTTGTTTTCCTCTTGTGAGGAACCCAAGGTGGCTTACATAGCTCCACTGAATTTTATTACTATTATTATTATTATTAATTCATTAATTGCGTTTATATGCTGCCTCACAGCCTAGGGGCTCTCTGGGAAGCTTAACAATAAAACATTCTCACAATAACAAACCTGTGAGGTAGGTTAGGCTGAGAGTAAGAGACTGGCCCAAGGTCACTCAGTGAGTGTCATGGCCATGTGGGGACTAGAACCCAGATTGCCTAGGTCCTCAGTCCAGCACTCTCATCCCCACACCAGCCAAGTCCTTTTACCACTATATTCACTTAAAAGCTGGAGTGTAGCCCACAGCTTTTCCCCTCTCTTGATCTGCTGAACAAGAATTGTGTTTGGGCTTGGCTTTCTTTGTGAACTTCACTAAATCCATTCAAAGCAAAATTTGGTTTATCAGTGTTACATGGATCCCAGGAAGTTATATTTTTATAATAATCTATGTTGCTAGAATGGTGATACCCTTCTCCTGGTGTGCTGATTCTGAAGTTTGCCAAGTCTTGCTCAAGTGAGAATATTGTTCAGTTGCCAATCCTTTGAGATGCAGCTCTGTAAGATAGTACTGCATTTGACTGATGCCTACCAATACATTCTTTTTACTTCCTATTTTCCAGAGCACATTTTATTAACCTCTCATTTCTTTATAAGACTAAGTTCACATACCTTTTTTTATAGGTGAGGAAGTCTAGGAGGCACCACTAATTGCCATCAATATTAGAAGTAGCAGGCTATATGTTTTATCAGATCAAAAGTCCATCTAGACCAGCGCTTCATACACACAGTGGCAAACCAGCTGCCCATGTAAGAGGGGCTGGTGAAACAACTTTTTTTCTGTGATAGTATGTCCCCTATTCCCTCAGTTAAAGCTGGTGTAAGACGGCGCTATACCACTGGTTCCTCCTTTGTGACCTTAATTCATCCAAAAGGAAAGGCTGTGTGCTGCATTGCGTCTCCACTGCTGAAGCAATTTCAGAAGGAAAGCGTCTCCACTGCTGAAGCAATTTCAGAAGCCCTACTCTGTCTTGCTATTGCTTTAGCCCCCCCCCCCCCGTCACTATCTAAATGGTTGATTTTCTTTTTGTAGGTTGCTTCCCCACAGTTTGCGACAGCGACAACCACAATGACACCGTCCGTGCTTTTGTCACCTAGTGTGTTCCAGCAGTCAGCCATGAAATCCTCTGAAATGGAAAACAAAGTGGGTTCATCTTCTCCTCTCACACTTGGAGCAGTGGAAGTGCAAACTTTACCTCCTACAGTTCTCAGTAGATCTCAGCTTCAAGAAACCTTAATACATCTAATAAAGGTACAGTTATGATATGGGCTCTTGGTTTGGAATAGAACATTAAAAGCTACTTGTAGCATTGATGAATAGTATCAGGTATCATGAAGAGGGTTGATTATGAGGCACGAGAGATTAATGCATATATTACTAGCAAAACCTTTTAGAGGTAAAAAAGCATCAGCTGGAGAAATATTAATATTTTAAACAGTAATATTTTCATAGCATGAACAAATGAGCATAAGAAGTGCTCTGCTGGACCAGGCCTGAGGCTATCAGCTCCAAATCTCTGTTCCTTTTGTGACCAACCAGATGTTTATGGGGATCCTACAAGCAGGACCAGAGGACTGTTGTACCCTCCCACTCATGTTCCCCAAGAAGTTTACTGCCTCTAATACTGGAGGCATCATATAGCCATCCAGCTGAATAGCTATGAGTGGTCTTAGCTTTCATGAATGGGTCCAGTCCCCTTTTAAACCCATCCATGACATTTTGTGGTACTAAATTCTATTCTCTAACAATGAACTGTGTGGAGAAGCACTTCTCTGCCTTGACTCACCCACCATTCAACTTCATTGAATGGCACAAGTTCTGGTATTATGAGAGAGGGAGAAAAATGTCCCAACCTCTTTCTCTGTACCATGAATAATTTTATGCACCTTTACCATGTAATTTTGTTTTCACTTTCTTCCAGTTCTGCTAGATCCTTTTTTGATCAATACACAGTATTCATTGTTTGGTCAGACCACAGATTTATATTGAGGCACTGTGATATTGGCAGTTTTGTTTTTGATTGTTTGATTATACTCTCCAAGGTGGAGGTTGCCTCCCAATGGCCAAACACTCCCACAGCAATCAAACACTGGGTCCTTATTCCATTCAGTTATCCATCACAATGCACAATATTCCTTTCCTGGTCATTCTCTCCTAGCTCAGATCCCATCACCTCATGAGTAGCTAGGATTGTTTTCTTCACTTTGCATCATTTTGCATCTATTTACATTAACACACACTTTCAAGTTTAATGTCCATTTCTCCCATTTCTTTTGGGCAGATGCTTTTGGAGTTTGTTGCTATCCCTTTTTGTTTTACTTATCTTAAACAATTTACTGTTATCTTCAAACTTGGCCACCCAACTCCATATTATTTATGAACAAGTTAAAAGACACTGGCCGCTTGCAGTCCATGCTGTTTACATCCCTGCATTGCAAAAGTTTTCATTTATTCTTGGTCTGTGACTTTCTGTTCTTTAGCCAATTACTAATCCATAAGGAAATATCCCTTCTTATTCCAAGACTGCTAAGTGTGTTCAGAGCCTTTGGCTGAGGGACTTGTCAAAAGCTGTTTGAAAGTCCAACTATACAGTACCTAATAAATCACCCCATATCCCTATGCTTGCTGACATTCTCCAAGAAATTTAAAAAGTTAGTGAGACGGGACATACCTTTGCAGAAGTCCTGCTGATTCTTACCTGCTCTATATTTCATGCAACAAAGACAGGTATAAAGAATTCATGAAACTTCTTTACAGTACCCTTATTCTCATTTAGTGTTCCTAAATAGGAATATATTCATTTTTGCCTCAACAGAAGTGCTAACTGAAATGCCACCTAACCCTGTATCAGGAACTATACTGCAAATAGCCTGACTTGGGATTTAGCCATCCCGTAATAGAGATCCAATATCTCACAATAAAGTCAGTGACAGAAATTATCTGATAATGATTCAGTCTCATAGGTAGTTGACTGATGACAGTCGTTCCTGGCTGAAAATACAGCCATTTGGAAAGGTCCTCTGAAGCATTGGTATTAAGCTTGGAGGGAGCATTTTTGTCAGATGAGTTATTCTGCTCATGTGTTGCCTGTTCTGATACACAACAGATGGTCTCGTTTAGTTGATCTTGTGAGGTTGCCCAGTATTTAGGATATATGCTACAAGTATGCATTTCCAAAACAGTTCAGGAGTTCTTAGACTACTTCTTATATGATATTGCCTGAAATAGAAAAGTTGATATCCAAAGCCGCTGGGCAAACTTGTGAATGTTAGCCCAAGCCAACAGAGCTCACTGTCTCAGACCTCACTGTTGCAAGGCTGTTCTCCCCATGAGGCAGGAATCCCCACTTGAAGCAGCCGAGTAGGAGGAGCAGTAAATTGTACACTTCATGCATCCCCCAGGAGGGTGCTCACACAGATCCTTCCGAGCAGGTGAGTGCTACAGAAAGCCACACTGGCCAGTGTCCTGTTGTGGCACTTCCCAGCACAGGAGAGACCTACTGGGGATCTCCAGACCTGCTCTCCGCCTGATGACACTACAGTGCACTTTCTGGAGAGGCCCACTGGCCCTGCTCTCCCAGTGAGCAAATGCCAGCCACCCACTGCCTTCTGGCTCAATTTGAGATTTTGCTTCTGCTCCATGGATTTGCTCCGAGCGAGCAACCTGCCTTGATCTGAGCAATCTGCCGCCTGACTTTCTTGGCAGATTCTCTCAGTGAGTCAGTAGGCAGGTGACTTCCTGAAGAGGAGTGTCAGCCCAAAACACTGGCCCGCATGCTCTGTAGAGGGCTGGTTGGGGAGAAGGGCCTGGCTTGGTGGAGTGGGGAGGGGTCTTTCCACAGAGCCACACATTGTTGGATGGGTTTTCCTGGATATTGCCTGCATGATGAATGGCTGGTGGCTGGAGATGAATGCATGAATGTTATGGAGACATGGTGGACACAACAGTGGCAGGTGTGTGCGTTCTCCCCCACCTCTCATGACAGAAAACCTTGTAGCAGCCCTACTGTGCTGAGATTGTAGTATCTAGAAAGTGTTGGATTGTGTATGCTCTGAACCACTTACATGCAGAAGAAGAATGAAATACTGTCCAGGTTCTTAAGAGCTGCCCCGCATTTCTGTGCCTGCCTTGCTCTCTTCAGAGTGAATTTAACATGTATGTTAAGGGTAGGAAAAGTCAGGGTGGCAGTTCATAAGAAATATTATTTATATTCTGCCTTTTTCCTCTTGTAGGTACTCAGAGTGGCTTACATAGCTGCATTCTATCCTTACAACAACCCTGTGAGGTAGTTTAGGCTGAGAGGAGGTAACTGGCCCAAAGTCACCCATGAACTTCATGACTGAGTGGGCCTAGAACCTGGATCTCCCAGGTTCTCAGTCTAACATTCAGACTACCACATCACACTTTGCCTCAGCACTATGTTCCAAAAATGTTTCAAATGTCTTTTCATTTCAAGTTTATTCTGTTATGAAATAGTTGGCAATACAGCTCAATCTTGTTACTTTTTCATATTTGGCAATTGAAAGCAAGCTGACTGATTTAAAAAAACTTAAGAACATGCTTTGCACATGTGTCAATTACACTAATGAATCACTAAGAGAATCTTAAACCTAGGACAGGTTTGCTTTAAGAGGATTGTTCTGTCCTTTTTGTCATCACCAGGCCAGGGTCACAGACCTTTGTGCTACAACAGTGCACTCTCTTTCTTTCTATACTGATACCTAGTACAGATCTTAAAATAACAGGCCACAGAAATAAGTTCCCTGGTAGCAGAATTGTTAGGACTAAAATGGGTCCCTGCTAGATCATATAGTCAGCTAAGTGGCCTGTTTTGTTTCTTTGTTGGCTTTTTTCTGTACAACTCGCTGTTTCTTTTTCCTGCCAGAACTACAAGTAGAACAAAGAAACTTGCTGACTGTGGAGGGACAGCACCCCATCTCACCCCTTGAACAGAACTGAGTTGTCAGCAATTTTACTTTGTGATTGAAGTTATACCATACTTTCAGCTTCTTAGCAATGGTCTTGAGAATGCAATAGGTATTACCTTAAACCAACACATTCTGATCTGTAGCCTGTATCCTGTTCCCTTATGTACTATCTGGCATGTGATCAATACCAAATCGTCTTCTATCAAAACTCAAATTTCAAAAAGAATGCTCTGATATAGGGATCCAAAATGTAAAGGTTGTTGGCAAAAAATGCCTATTTGCCCACACAAGGCCCATGAACAGTCAAAATAGCTTCTTCACCTGTTTTCTGATTGCTTAATTTCAATGAATATATTAGTATAGAAATGAGGTGCCTATAACATAATAGTATCTTGCTCTAAAGGAAAATCAGCAACATTAATAGAGAATGTTATAGAAGTTTAATTTGAGAGGTAGTGCAACTTATCAGATATGGCAGAAACTTGAAAGTTACTCTGATAGAAACGGGGAGAATTTGAGAAAATATGGTACCAACTCAGCTGAGTTGGAACTCAGTGGGATAGGTCAGAGTTTAGAGAAAAAGCTGTGCCTAATCCAGTGCAAATTACAAGTCAGAACACAGAGACTGAATAGATCAGTGAAATGAGCCAAGCTTCACATATCTGTCTATGTATACAGAGTCTTGAAGGGGCTGGCTTTCTGTTGCATCACTTCTTTTTGCCCAAATCAAGGTTTGTCTAGCAGGCAATTAAACTATGGCTTGTTTCACTGACTTATTTGATTCTTTGTTCCTTCACTTGCTCACTCCTTGTATCCCATATGCCTTTGTAGTCTTGTATCACTGACAGTTAGAGCTGGTTTTTTTAAACCATTTTTGCCTGCCACCTCTACAGCCTAGCAAACAACCACGTTTCTGGATTCATTTGTACATATCTTTGCATCAGCTTCTCTTTGATTTTTCCAGAAACGTGGAATTAAATTTTCCAGGAATTAAAATGGAGCTAATTGACATTATTACTACTTGATTTGCACAACAACTTATTGTGGCACAAAGGTTAAACAAAAAGAAACTGGCACTTAAATATATCCCCTTTGCAAAATCGTGCCTAAATAAGCTCTGGTGCAACTTAGTGCCTCCAGAAGCCACATACTGTATGTAGTTTCATGGAGTCCACCTGTGTGCAGTTCCAGTGCCATATAATACAGCTCTTTCTGGAAGGCCCCAGAGTTTGTTGGGGACCATATCTAAATAACCAACATCACAAAGCCAGTCCAGGGTAAAGTTATGCAGAAGCAGCAGTCAGAATCCAAAATTTATTTATTTATTTATTTTTGGATTTATATCCTGCCTTTTTCCTACAAAGGGCTCAAGGCAGCTTACATCATTCTCCTCCATCTCATCCCCACAACAACAACCCTGTGAGGTAGGTTGGGCTGAGAGTCTGTGACTGGCCCAAAGTCACCCAGTTGGCTCCATGGCTGAGTGGGGACTAGAACCCAGGTCATCTCAGTCCCAGTCCCATGCTCTTCACCACTATACCACACTGGCTGTCTTATGAACATTCTTCAAATCGCTATTATATCTGTTATTACAAAACGGAAAGAATATTGCTAGTCTGTGACTTTGCCAAGAGAGGGCCATCCACTGAAACTCAGTAATCTGATAAGATGGCATTCGTGAGAAAAGCAGCCAGCAGGCCAATGGTAACTCTGAAATTGTTGAAGAGATCTGCAGCTGACATGGGAGAAACCATCCATGGGACAGCTATAACCTGGATATTCCCCAGAGCTGATATTTTTTGAGGAGTGGCAAAGAAGCAAGACATTGCTGAAACAAACCCAGGGGACCTGGGGCAGAGGTTCACCTCTGGCAGAACAGTCAGCCTAAACAGACTGGACTTGTTGAAAAACAGTGTGAGTTGGCCAGTCAAAGCTGAGGTCTCAATTTGACTGAGAATCTGTGTCAGCACTTGAAAGTTAATGGTCGCTGATGATCTTCATCCAGCCTGGCAGAGCTAGAGCAGTTTTGCCAGGAAGAATGGACAAATATCCTGCAGGATCCAGATGCACAAAATTGACAGAAACTTCCTCAAGAAGACTCTCAGCTGTAATTTCTGCCAAAGGTGCTTCAAAGTATTGTGCTGTAATAAAAATAGTTTGCACATTCACAGTATTGAGTATCTTGTGTACATCAAGAGATAACAATGTCAGTTTAACGCATATCACTTCCAGGTTGTAAATGTGGAAAAGTGAAAGAGGAGCATCTGTAAGGCACTGTAAATACACAATGATTAACAACCCAGCAACAAACCATGCATTCTCTTTCTGGGTTATTTGTAGTTAATGAATCATGGTTTGTTAGCATGGCTGGGTCCACAAAACATGACAAACTAGATTTGCCTCAAAATGTAGTAAGGCACCACTGCTGCATTTGGAGGCCATTCTGCCTAGTGGGGACCTGCTCATTTTCCCAACGTCCTAATGGTTCCACAGCAACCGTGGCAGGTATTTTTGCTTCTTTGTCCTTTCCTTCATTTTCCTCTTCCCCTGACTTCCGCACATGCTCCTGAAGTCAGTATTTCTTGGAAACTGGGTTCTTCATTTAACTTATGCTTCTTATTTCTTGATTGTCTAGTTAGGAAAAATAAGTAGGAAAGTAGGTAAAGATGGTTTGTGTCATTTGTTTGATTATGTTTTTTCCCCTTTCAGAATGATGCAAAATTTCTCAATACTCTTCATGAAGTTTATGTACAAGTCCTGACCAAGAATACCGACAGCATCAAACTATAACTGAAGTGAATTCAATTCCACTGACCACCTATCTGCTTCAGAAACAATTATGCCTCTTCTTTAAAACTGTAGTATTTTAAAAAATAGTTTTAGTTCTTGAAGTCTTAATTTGTAGCCTCCTAGGAGACATTGCTCTCAGAAGTGATCTAGGTTTCACTGTGACCAATCACCAGCAGGCTTTTACTTCTGTATGGGGAAAATGGTCTTCATGTTAAACAGCACATTATTTTTTTAGCAGTTTTGAATAATACAAAAAAGTTTGGCCTGATTCTCTCCCACCCCCATATGTGTACATTAATAAGTGGGGCAGATGTGGTCTAAGCTGTGTGTTTGGCAGCAGAATAAAAGCGAAAAGAATGTTGAAAGCAGCCTCTAATTTAAGCAGACATGGAATATCCAGAGGATATTTTTAGGGTTTTGGAAGGAAATAGATAGACATGCTGCTAGCCTTCCAGCTGGATGGCCTTAGTACAGCATTGACCAACCTATTGAAGCCAATATTGTGCAGGGCTGATCTATGTATTTGGTTTTACTAAGGTGGAATCCAACCTGGTTATCAAATACCTTGTAAACAGGAGTTAACAATATCTTAAATGTAGTTAACAATAACTTTAATGTATTTTGTTGGTTGGTTTGTTAAAGCTATTATTTTTAAACAAATTGTTTTTAAACACGATGAATAGAATATCATTGTGGCTACTGTATTGTTCTGTCCAGGTTAAATGCAAATTTGGGAAGATATTTTCCCAGGAAAAGGATGGACTGCTTCCAGAGAAGTGTGTGTAACCTTATTTACAGTCTTGGCACATCAGTAATAAATGCAGACAGACCTCCCCATATTGTTTTTAATTTGCAGGTTTTTGTGGGCCTATCTTATATATGGGTTAAGATTTTATTATATACGAAGATCAGACTTACTCCCAAAGGAAGTCAGACTCTGATCTCTTATTTGTTTGATAGGCTGCTAGTGATCTCTCTGTGACTTGTATTTATTTCATTATGGCATGTGATAGTAGCTAGCAATACTCTAGTGTAACATAAATCTCAATTTATTTAAGCAATAGTAATGTCTAAAGGATAGGGGGTTTGTTTTTTTAAGATACAATGCCATTGTTTTATATTGTGAAAAGTGGTTTGTAGTCAGTTTAACCAGTCAACATGCACTGCCTATTTGTCAAAGCATCATTGTAATGTAGGAAGAGCATTGTGCTGGCAATGCATATTACCATAAGTTTCCTGTGCAATCCTTGGAAATGGGTAGAGTTTGTAAAAAAAAAAAAAAAAAAGCACAGCTGGGCTCTTGTACAAGCCCCATTCTTTCAGTAGGATTTGCAATGGAAAAGAACCTGGAGTAGAATGTACCTGTTAACTCTTTAACATTTAATGTGAGAATGATGACAGCATAAGTTCCAGGTACTAGTTCGGATTCATCAACCAAGCTTTCATTATTATGACTTCATTACTAACCAGTGTTTTTGATATAAACAGTGTGTTGATTTTTTTTAATCATTCAACTATATACTTCGGTTTGAGTGAATTTTTTTTTTGGATTTTTTTTATGTTTAGCAAACTCTGCCTTCTAAGAGAAACTTTTCAACCTTTGAATTCAGTGTTTCTAGTTACAAACCTTGTATTTGATATTGGATAAGTGTGCAGAATTCAGGGAAATATGGGAGTAGTGACATGCACATTTGACTAATGTATTGGCTTTAATTGTGGAACTCGAATGCATCTTTTCAGGCTTTTTAGATTTTTGTAAGAAACATATGAGCTCTGCTTGTGTGCTGGACCATTAATAGCACATCCATCTATGTGTACTAAAAAGCTTCCTTATCTAAATAGATTTCTGATAAATTTTTTTGGGGAGGAAAGAAACCCAACCAGTGTAGTACTCTTAAATTCTATTTTAAGTGGCTATATTACATAGACCAAATTTATATAATGCTATGTTTATAGAAAACCAAGAAGAGCAGTCATTAATTACTGTGCATGGAAAGAAGAAAGTTAACCATAAACATGAGAGTGGGGCTGATAATGCATGTTAGGCATAGTGATAATGAGCTGAACTATATCACAACCTTTAAAGTGAGCATATCCAAAGAAATAAAACAAATAAAAAGGGTTCCCTGATTTTGAATGTACCATTAAGATCCTGTGTCTTCAAGTGTTAACAAGAAGGGAATATTGTGTTGAACAACAATGACATTTTCAAGAACGATTTATTACAATAGACTTTGTACTCCCATTTACCACTTTGCATTGTAATTTTCTGGAAATCTCAGTTGGTAGCTGGCAGATTCAAATTCTCAATTGCTAGAAGTATGTTCAACATCAAAAATAATTCTCTGTTTCTAAGGCGAATGTCTTTAGCTAGAAGTTGTAATGAAAGTTTTTTTTTCTACTTTTTGACAGTGGGTTTGCATTAATCTTGACTCTTACACACATCAACGTTACATTTGCGTATGTAGCAGGCTCAGGCTGGGAGAATGGGATTCTACTACACAGTACTAAGCACTGTTTGCAACATTCAGCATATACCACACTAGTGCTCTTATTACTTGTTGTGATGTGATGATAAAAACAATGAAAAACTTTTAAAGAATTGCTTTGAAAAACAAATGTTGCAAAATTAAATAACAGATGTTTACAAAATGTGAAAATCAGTCGACAGCTATAGTCTGAATACTTTAACATTTTTTAAAATTCCAAGTTTGGATTTATAACATTTGTTTCTTGTTACCTGCATGCAGCAGTGACAAATGCATAGCTAACCGACCAATGCAGCCATTAATTTGAGCATTTATTTTGGCAAGGTGTTCTCTCTTTCCTGAAAGTAGACCATGTTTTAGATTGTATTCTCAAATGAATATTCACTAAGCATGTATTTTTTTTGTTTCCTGTATGATGCTTTTAAACAATGCTTAATATTTGTCTATTCAAAAGTGGCTTTAAGACATACAGCTTATTCAAGAATTGATTGCTGTTTTATAGGTAAAAGTTATAGTTACTGTTACATTAACAATGCTATTATTTTAAAGATGTGCCTGAAAGTATATATTTGTAACACACCTTACATAAATTAAATAGTTTTCACTGACGCGCGCACACACACACACACACACACACAGAGTGCCACCTTTTGTTGGCTACTTGAGTTGCTTAAGCATATCTTAAAAAGAGGAATGTGTGCAATATATATTTCACCTCAGTTTTTGACATCTTTGCAAAAATGTTAAGATGCAATATCTTCACTTTATGTGGGAAAAAATTGCAATAATCTTCCCCTTGTGGTTTGTTTTTGTACCAGTTTAACATTGTGGACACATGGTGGTTCTTTGTTAAAAATGCACACTATACTCAAATGTTTGGGTTTACTGTTTTAATTTGCACTCACATTCATATTGAGAAATTGAGGTGCTTCAGATCTTTGGGATTTTAAGTAGCAACATTTGGGAAAACTGTGGACATGATCCTGTCTGACAGGTGCAGGACCTACCCTGAAAATTTTCCATAAGCTCGGTAGAGATGTGCTTTCCTATTTCTGTTGGCACATGGAAAGCTGAAGCGGCCATTAGGAGAGGAATTGGATTTTTATGCATGCCTCCCACATTCTTCTGTTCTCCTTAACTGCCTAGTGCAAGGTATATGTGCTCCAATGCCCCTGTATAGGTGGGAGTGCTGGGGATAGGGCTGTATTTTGCATGTTGGATTCCTCACTAAGTTGATGCGCACCTGTGTTGGATGGGATTATGCCCAGTAGTTTTTGAGCAACATTTTAACTGTCACCATAAAGCATCATTAACATTTCAGAATATGGGTATGTAATTTGTGCCATCTTATTATGTTGGCAAATATTAAGTTATTGCATAAATGTTTAAGAATGAGCATTTTTCATTGAAAATTTTGTATGTTTGCAGATATATTTTTGTAATAAAACTTGAAAGACAAATATTTGCCTTACTTTTCTTGGTGGTAGTCAATACTCTGAAAGGGATCCTAGCTAGAAGAGAGGTTGAAAATTTAAAAGATAGCTCGATAAACTCATGTTGCAGTTCAGAAACTGAACAGAACATTTTAACACACAACCCTGTCCTTTGTGTTCAGTGTAACCCATCATGTTCACAAATGCATTATGAATATGAATCATAGAAACAGAGTGGGTCAGAAGGGGCCTCCTGGGCCATCTAGCCTGATCCCCAAATCCTATATGAAGACAGAGGAAATATTACTGGACCCCTTGTGAAAAATTTACCTAATCAGCCCAGACATCTTAAATGTGCTTCTGTGCCTTCCAAAAGATACTTGATATTCAAGGCCAAGCTAATAAGGAGCATAATCCAACTGGAACTTGTACACAGCAATGCTTAGGTCATGGGTCCTCAAACTACGGCCCACGCGCATGCTTGCTGCACAGGCAGGGAGGCGATGGCTTGCTCACTCGGAGATGGTCTCCAAGTCACCGCCACTGCCTGCCAACCGTACGCGTGCGCTCGCCACTGCCTCGCAACAAGGCGGGGAGGTGGTGGCTGGCTTGTTCAGAGATGGTTTTGGACTCGCTGGGAGATCTCCAAGCGAGTGAGGCGCCGCCCCACACACCCAATGCCTTGCGTGTGCCTGATGCCGCCTCGCACACGCCGGACAGCATCTCACCGGCCTGCGCCCCCAGGCACCCCACCTCACCAGCCCGCAACAGTCACCACAGCCTTTCAACTGCCCCCCTATTGAAAAAGTTTGAGGACTGCTGGCTTAGGTGGTCTCTAAAAGAACAGGATTGTTTGGAGATCAGCTCTGAGTTTGGAAAGCAGCTCAGAGCTTGGAAATGAAATTCCACACCCTCCCTGGAGTCAGCACAGAAAGAACCACATGAGCTCTCTATGGAGTTGTAAGAGCAACCCTAGAGAAACACTTTAGAAGGCAATCTAGAGAAAGATAGGAGAGGAGACCAGGTGAGGTGCAGGGTGGGAGGAGTGAGTGGATGAGCCATCCTTCTGGCCTGCTGTCCTAGAGAGGTTGCTTGGAATCCTCCACATTCCAAGGGTTATGAGCATCCCTGTAGGATTATGCCCTCAGGCAATTTGGACCAAGTGTTCTGCAGGAAGGATTGAGGATGCTGCATGGCAGGATGCCAGGTTCTGTGGCCAGTGCCCATGTCAATACCACACCTTAAAAAAACGGGGACATCTACAGCTGTGGAGATTGAGTTACTGTTCTGTTTTCCCCAACTTTGGACACTATTCAGTAAGATAAAAAGTGGCAACACTGGGAAAACACAGGAGGGTTACAAATGGGAGATGATGTATAGACCTCCATAGTGAATGCATCATAGTGATTCCATAAAAACTGTCTGGAAACAGTCCTGGTGTATGGAGCTCTAAAATCGCACTAGAGCTACTGGTAACATATAAATAAGTGTGTTCCTTCTTGGAGCTGTGGAATATTGGAGAGTGCAATACATGGGAAGTGTAAGAGCCAAAACAAAAATACTTGGTGTGAACTCTGCTCTAATCTTAAAAAGGAAGAGGAGTTATTTTATTGCAATTCGAAACACTTGCTGTTTATGGGGTGTTCCCTGCCCCACATGGGAACATAAGTGGCTTCATAGGCTTGTCAATAGTGGAAGCGACACTAATTTTTCTAGGCTGTTTATTCTAACCAGCCACCTCACATGGTCAACCTTGTCAATGAGTGTCTACGCTGAACACTTGTGTAAGGGTATTTAGTGTCAGAACTACACATATCTAAATGATCTTTCCACCTTCATTGTGGCACAACTATGTAGGTAAGCACACAGACAAGTCAGTTCCAAAAGAAGGTTGTTTTAATAAATACAAAGGAATCAAATATATAGGGAACAGTTACTTTTAACTTGTTGGAATCACACACTGTATGAACTTCCAGATGAAATTAAATCAGCAAATGAATACCAGAGACATACCCAGGATTCAAATGCTGGGGATGTGAAGGCAAGGCTGTGAATAGACACAGAAGGTGTGAGTCCTGTACTTTGGTTCCAGGGGAGCACTGAGGTGAAATACGGAGCAGTTGTTTTGATTGATCAGCAGACTAAATTTCTTGTTGGGAAGAACTGTATTTTTAGTAGAATTTGATTTGATTGGACTTCTTTGATCGGCTGGATTAGTCAGTGGTGCTGTGCGACTAGTTTTGACCATTGCAGTCCCCAGAGTTGATAAGGCTGAGTTGGAAGTTGAAGGAGAGACAAGCTAGGCATCTTATGTGTGCTGGTTTTATTATTTGACTATACTTCCAGTAGCACTTACTGGAACTTAATAAGAAACTAAACATTGTTATTTATCTAGTGTAGTTTAGTGGAAGTCAACACCCACCTGAACACTTTATACAGTAGCGACAAAGTGGCTACAACAAGGCCATAGACAGACTAAGCAAATCCTTTTGAGAGAGGAGAGGGAGGAGGCACAGAAAAGGACATCAGAGCAGGGGAGACAAAATTTGCAGCAGTTTGTCTCCAGTTGCCAGCAAAGCAGAGCAGCCAGTCCTTGTGCAAAATGGCCAAGGAGGCCACTCTGGCTTCTTCGTCTTTCCTTCCTCCAAGTATTTGCTGCACACAACTGGAATGAAACTCCAGAATTCCTTGTGTGCTGCCCAAATCTCCTGTAAGGATTCTACAATCACAAGAGGCTTGAAGAGGAAACAAAGAGGACCCCAGAAGAGGAGCCTGGATAATCAGGATGTGATTCTGCTAATTGGCTGGGCTTCCTCCCAAATTCTGGTAAAAAGAAAGATCTTACCAGAGAAAAGCAGACAAGAATGGTGGATACAGTTTATAAATAAGAGCCCTCAAGAAGATAGGATAGATCCTGTAAGGTATCTTTCCTGGGATTAGGATGGGTTGTTCTGAAGACCGCTCATGCGCAGAGAAACAGCGGAGGGAAGGCACCTTGAGAAAAGCTGCATGCAGGCAGCCACATCAGGAAAACTGGAGACTTAAGCAACCAGGTAAATGTTTTGTAGAAAAGGATGGATGAGGCTGCTTGGCGGCCTATGAGATTCCATGACTTTAAATAATGTCAGCAGAGGCGCAGGAACCAATGGACACAGGATAGTGGGCTTGTCACATATCAAGGAAGCCACAGTCTTTGTTCACATGATACAAGAACCCTCCATGGCTTCTAAGGGTTAATGTGTTGTCTGAACAAGTTAGCCATGGCTTGTTGGTGGGTTCAATTAACCCACCATGGCTTGACAGGTTGTCCAAACCTAGAAAACATGCTAAGCTATGGTCAAGCCAAAAACTAAGAGAGTTCATTGCCAGTGTGATGACAATGGGAACAGACAAAGGGCCGGGTTGCCTGTTCCCCCAGGTTCCTGTTGATGGAGGGAGAGTGGGATGGTTCTTGAACAACCCTGCCCTCATGCACCCGTGGGGAACAGCCCTGGGCACAGGTGCGCAGCAGAAGCAGCAACCGGTCAGTCTCACTTCCTTGCAAGGAAGTGCGACCAAGTGGCTGGGTCCTGCCCATGAACAATCCCACTCTTCCTCCAGCATTGGCAGGAGCCTGGGAGAAACCCATGAGAGCTGCACAGATGACAGTGGTCAAAACTCCCAACTTGTGGCGGCGGTCATCTTGCTTCCCCCAGTGCTTGGTGCCTCAGCATTGTCCCCTGGGATACTGGAGGAGGACCAGTGGGGTGGGGATGAGGGACGCAGCCCTTGCTATGCCTAGCAGTCTGTCTGGTGCAGGAAATTTTACCTGCAATGCATGGGTCAAATTTCCCAGGGGAGGGTTGTTGATGTGCTGTGTGATTTATCAGCCATGGTAAATTTGGTGTGCTGTCTATGGCCTGTAGTAGGTTCAATAAACTCACCAGTGCTCTTTATTATGTTGCCTAGACCCATTCAACAAACAAACCGTGGCCAAGACAAAGCACCAACCAGTCCTTTGGCAAGAGTAGGAGAAAGGCTTGCTGCTCAAGTCAAGGGACTGGCGGTAACCTTCCTTCCCAAATGGGGACAGCTGAGATTGGCTTGCCTTGTCTCCTGACATTGCTGCAGCAAGTTGATTAGTACTGGCTGTGGCTTGATTTTTGGACAGGGATGGGGGTTAAGCTTGCAAAAACTCTGGTTAAGGTGGCTTTCCTGATCCTGTTTTGGGACAACCAGAAGGTGGATCCCCCAAACTGACCATGCTGTTGGGACAGTGCCCAACCCCCACAAGGCAGGAAATGGCCCATTTCAGACAAAAGACGCAAACCAGCCCCTTAACTAACATCCACCCCCACAGTCATGTGCGCACATTCTGGTGAGATTCCCAGGCATACGCAAGAAGATGCTCAGCCGTTTTGGTGGGACTGATAGCTCCGAGTCTGAGCCTGATGGGGAGTTGGGTGCCCTAGACAGGGCTGAGCGCTCGAACTCTGATAATGGAATATTTGCTTCATCTGCAGTCCCAGTTTCTCAGTACCCATCTGTGCCTGTTCAAGATGAGATTATTTCAAGGCCAGTCATGGGGCCCAGTCCACCACCTGCAGGAATGAAGAACAGCAACAATGTTCTGAGGAGGAGATTTGGAGATGGGCAGTCTCTTGGATGGAGAACTCCAGCCTCTGGAGGAGATGGACCCAAAGGTCTGTCATCGCAGCCACAGGGTGGCCTAACTGGGGGCTCAGAGGGAAGAATGCAGGTGCGCCTGTTTCCACAGTGCCCCCCCCTTCCCGAGACAGGCCCAGAAGGGTTCATAAGCAAAGCATTGGTAAAGGGGGGGGGGGCAGAGAGGGCTCAACATTTCACTTTGTGTATGCTCAGAGACTTGTGTATGCTTACAGACTTCTGTGTAGAATAAAGATGCTTACAATAAGTGCTGGAGTGTCTGTCTTGCTGGGGAGGGAGCAGCAAGCTCACAACACCCATGCAGGGGCCGCCTAAGTCACCATCTTTCCACCTGGGAATCCATCACATCTGACTGCTGGGTTCTTTCCATACTACAGCATGGATACAAAATTGAATTTGAAACCTTCCTCCTTTCGGAATGGTTTACATTACTCCTCGCTCTCCAACCCTAATGGAGGAAGTTGCCAATTTACTAGCAAGGGGTTTGATCTTGCCGGTACACCAATCTGTAGCTAAGCGTGTTTTCTATTCATACTATTTCACCATTCCGAAAAAAGATATTGGTCAGTGGCCCATTTTGGACCTGTGGGGAGTAAACCATTTTATCCCACTCAAACACTTCTGAATGGTCTCTGCGCAAGGCATTGTGCTGCTATTGCTAAAAGATGACCACTCAAGAGCAACGGTTGCAGGTGTGCCACCTGCCTTTTTGTAATGCAGCCCTGGTTTCTGTGCGATTGCTCTGCCACCCCGGGTGTAACAGTGCCTCTCTGCTGCGAGCAGTGGGGGGCACTTCAGAGCCTTGTGTTCACCACAGGACCTGTGCCCCCCACTGGGTTTTCTGTCACTTCCTGAGGTGCTATCTGCTTACGGTACGTCGCACAGCTGAGGGACCTGCTGGGGCTCCTGACTCCCCCCCCCCCCCCCAAACTGCATGTTCCTAACCGGAAAGGAGAAGATGAGGAAGTGTGCCCAAAACACTCTTTTTGCAGGTTCTTGAGGGACTGGGAGAAGGGCTTGTGTCTTTGTGTTACTTGGGAAAGTGAGGACTTTTCCATGCAAATGCCTCTCCCAGCCAGATTCTGCTGCAAAGAGTGCTTCCACACTGCCCCCTTTAAAGAAATGTTGGGGAAATAAGTAGTGGGCTACAAAGCTGCCATTTGGCCTGGACATCTGCCTGCAGTGTGCAAGTCAAATTGCAGCTTTGTGACCTGCTGCCACTTTGTGAACCTGCTTTCATTTTTTAAAGTCCCATCGCTGTCAGTGCTGAATGGTTTGGTGATGATATTGCAGGAAAATGGGGAAAGAGGAAGAGGCTCCTCTGTCAAGCACAGGGGAGGCTGGACCAGGGTGCGTGGTTAGCATTTCCCAAACACTTGAAGCGTTATGCAAATCCAGAGTGGACAGTTTCCCACTGAGCCTTTGGGAGGCCAGACAGCAGTGGGCCTTGCTGAGAACCGGAAGCTTATGATGCTGTGAGTTTTAGGGAAGGCCAGGAATGTGATTCCAACAATTACGTGAGGGTCTCAGAGGCAGGGAGACAGTGGGGGTCACCAGAGTAATGAAGACCTGAAGTCTATGGTTCTTAGTATTTTTAAAGAAAGCTACAGAAGGACAAATATTTAGGCCAGGCTGAATGTCAGCCTTCAGAAAAGAAGGCTTATATGCCTCAGTGGCTTCCATCTTGCTTAGCCAAATCTGGCAGTTGTCTTGGGAAGGAAGATGGACAATGGATGGACACATAACCTTTTTATTTAACAGCTATTTTAAAAATTAATTTCTTGTTAACAGTCGCTTTGTTGTTTTTATATAATCTTATTGAATTTTTTATTGTTTTTAATTCTACATTTGTAAGCCGCCCTGAGATGCCGAGGCATGTAACGGCATATAAAAAATTTAAATAAATAAATAAAATAGCATCAAGTGGAAAATAATGAGCAGGCACATGTTTATCAGGCCTGCTAACCAACTTGCATCTAATTAACTTGATTGTGGCACAGGCTACTCTTAACTCCCATCAGCCACAGCACAGCTTTGCTCGTTAACCTTGCCAACCATTTGATCGGTTGCTAGCACTTCCAATACTAGCGTATGAAGAGAATGCTGTGACAGACTATTCTGCCAAATCGCGGAGCTAGGCACTGTGTAAACAATGTATGTTTTTTCCGTAAACAACAGAGGGTATATAAAGTGGGCAATTAGCCTGGCCCTTGTTCAGACCCCTTTTTAAGACCACCAGGCCTCACTGTTTGTCTCTTCAAGCTGTTGGGTGCCTTGCTGATTGACTGCTGTTACTGAGAACAAGTTAGCACCGTAAGTTAACAATGCTCAGTGAACTCTCCTTGTAAACAAACCCGCAGCATACGTATCAGGGGTTGTTGTTGTTGTTTTTTGGGGGGGGGGGTTCCAAAAAACCTAGAGCCAACTCCAGGAGCATACACAGACAAACCGGAAGGGCAGATTTTTCTCTCATCCAGCTCAGGACCAATCACCATGAAAGGGCTCATCCTGTAAAGCTGCACCCAGAGATGAGAATCTCCATCAGGCTTATCACCACTTAAGCAATTAATGCACCTAGTTGTGAGCTGTTCAATCCAGTGAGACTGATTGCAAAATCTTGGTCAGAAGCATGGTTAGAAATTCCTGCCCTTGTGGCATGATTCCTTTGCCCTCCTTATCTGTTTCCAGCAGTTGAAGATGCGTGGTGGAGACGGGGTGCCACACTAAACTTCATAAAATCGTCACCAATTAGACCAAGTATTAGGGCAACATATCTCTCAGGTTTCCATGCCAAGCAAGCAGCCAACTACTTGTATCTGAGCCTGTGTGAATGGAGATGAAGGTGCACATAAAAACTAGTGGTGCAAAAATGGCAGGTGATCCATTATAGTGCATGCAAGGAAAAATAGGACTGCATTAAAACTGTAGTCAAAATGATTTTCTATTGTTAATGCACCCATGCTTCTGAGTTGATAAAATTATTTTGTGAACTATATGTTCCTGATTTATTTGCACACTTTAGCAGGAGCAAGGTTTGTGCATGTTGTCCATTTCTCTCCTGGCAGTGAAGACAGTTTTGAGTGAAGGGGAGAGGCTGTGGGTTCACACATCTCCACTTATAATCTTCTGGTGGGGGAGATCATAATTCTAGGGAAGGCGAAAGGAAGAACAAGATCAACTGTGAGCTGGATTGTTTCCATGAAGCTTGAACTTGCAAGAGCTGAGCGGGGCTGCCATGGATGGGACCTTTTGGAGGGCTTTCATTCATACGGTTGCGATAATTCAGAGATGCCTTCACAGCACATAACAATGGCCAAAGTTGGAAAGAGAAACGTAAGGCGACTACTGGAGTTTATTCAGCTCTTTCCTTTGCAGATCTACCTTTGATCATATTTTAAAATATTTAAATTCCAGCGTTATGAAAATAAAAATGGCAATAAAGATATGGTAGCACAGGGTGTTTCTTTTTGGGGTTCCAGCCCACGCGCACGCGCACTTCCTTCCCGGCCCTGCAAAGTCCGCGTTCAATGCCAAGCGGACACGATCAGACCTCCTTGGAGTGGGGGGCGGGGGGGGGTTGCTCCATTCTGCATTTTGGTCTGGGGCGGACCTGTGCCTGATTTCAGCTACATTCAGTCCTTTCCTTTCTGCTCTGATTTTTATGGGTAGCTTGGGGGCACTGGAAATCGCTTCCCGATATGAAGCGGAACTACAACTCCCATAATTCCCGAACACTAGCCGTGCTGGCTGGTGCTGATGGGAGTTGAAGTCCAAAACATCTGCGGGGGGGGCCAGATAGGAGACGGCTGCGCTGGAGTTTTGATGCACTTCATCATGGGTTTTGATGCATTTGCTTGCTCGCGCCTTTTCGTTCACACCTGGCTTGAGAAACGCAGCTCCGCTCCCCGGTTAGGGAGGGACGGAGGGAGCAGAGGGATGCGGCTTCCAGGCGAGTTGTGAACTAGCCGGCCGTGGTCGCCGCTGGGTCGGGAAGACTTCGCCTCCCGGCAGCGCCCAGGTTCAGAGGTTGGGGCGCGGCCGGAGCTTCCCGCCCGAGCAGCCCAGCCCGGCCCGGCCGCCCTCGCCTCGCCTCCCTCGCCTGCAGAGGCTGCCGCGGCGTTTGGCCCCTCCTCGGCCGGGAAACTTGGCCGCACGGCCCCGCCTTTCCTTCCTCATTTGCCAAGCCCGGGCCTGCCCAGCGCCAGTTGCTGCCGCCGCCGCCGCCTCACCGCCCGCCGCCTCTTGTAACCTGAAGCTGCTGCCGGCCACATTCCCCTTTCGCCATGGAGGATTATCACAAGCCCGACCAGCAGACGCTGCAGGCCCTGAAGGACACGGCTAATCGGCTCCGCATCAGCTCCATCAGGGCCACCACTGCGGCCGGCTCCGGGTGAGCCAAACCGTGGGCGAGGGAGGGCGGTTCAGCTGGCGATGAATTCCCCACCCGGGAGGTGCCGGGGCTGCACCTCTCCTCTGGAAGGCCTGGCATCCCAGAAACGAGGGCTTTTACTACCTTCACGTGGGAGGAAGGGGAAGCACTTTGCACATGCTCGGAAGCATTTTCCTATCCCGCGCACCCACCCGGGCGCACGTTCTGGAGTAGCTATTTGCCTTTGCAGAAATGTTGCAGAGCGGAGCGGTGGGTCACATTAATTTGAGGATGGATGGATGGACGGACGGACGGACGGACGGATGGCGGGGGAATACTCACACCCAAGCCTCCGTTTCTCTCTACACCATCCTTACCATCCTTCAGGTGGCCACCCATTACTGGGTGGGCCCGACGCCGATGTGCCCCCCACCCCACCCGAGAGAGATCCAGCCACTCGCGTGGGCGCTTGGATCTCCCTCAGCCGGATCCATGGCATTTTATGAGCCTGGCATTGTCCCCCGCAGATCAAAGCTACAAAAACAGCCCCCCGCTTGCTGTGTTCATGAGCAGAGGGGGTTCCTCGTCTGCATTTCTCCCCCGGTTTGTTCACACCTCCCAGGTAGTCCTCCACTAAGGACTTCACGCTGAGGCAGCGCGGTGATGTATTCCGTTCCTTGGGCTGGAGGAGGGAGGCCTTCCCACCCGTTGCCTTTTCTTCCTGAGCTCCTATGTCCCTGATGGAGCTCCGCGTGTAAGCCCGTCGTGGGGCCGGCTAGAAATTTCTGCAGCAAATCTGTCTGATCTTTGAGCCATGCGTCTGCTTTCTAGCTGAATGCCTCAGCGCTGTTACTTAGACACATTGTATTCCAGTTTAGCGGGGCGTGTCTCGAGGAGCAATCTCCGATTTTCCAGCTTAGACCTGTTACAACTTTTCTAGCGAGGTCTGGTGATCTTTTGCGAATTAGCCGTATCTGCCACCACGACCATCATCTGCGTTTTAAAGGCAAAATGGAGAATAGAGCTGAAATAGGGTGATTTTGAATTGCAAAATGGATGCAAGGCTGCCTTTAGGGCTTAGATTAGGTTTTGAAGTGTTACTTTGAAGCAAGCCCTAGATATGGATTACGTTTCATAACACCTGCAATGTACAGGCCAGGTTTGGAAATGTCCCGATGAAACTGCTCGTGTCAGGTTGCAGCGTGAATAGGAGCCTGCTGGTTCAACTGAGCGGAGGACTGTTGTCTTTAAACAGAAGGTGCAGTCTTCACAATTAAGTTTAGTAAGCTACATGTGGAGTAAGTGTGCAGATATGGTATTTAACCCACAGTAATTCTTTTACTCCGAGATGCTTGCACAGGCAAATTGAATAAGAGATTTATGTTCATTTTTTTGTGACCTAGGAATGGTTAAGCTTCCACAGAAGGGAACAAACCTTTTTTTCTGTACAGGCATAACAGAGAATTTCAGTTTCCCAGTGCACTTAAAAGTTATACTGTAGTCTATTAAGTGTGCAATAGAATTATGTCCAAAATGTGTATAACTAATTAAAAATATTCTACCTCTAAAAATGCAATCATCATCAGCCTTCCAGTGAGTTGCAATCTTTTTTTTTTTCTGGTGGAAGACCTTGTCTTAATGTCTGAAGGCTGCTGGTTGATCATGGTGGTGGTTGCTGAAGGCCAGGGTGGCCAGGGAATCTCTTAAAATAAGACAACAACAAAGTTTGCTGCATTGATTGACTCCTCCTTTCACTAAAGAGTTCTCTGTAGCATGCTACGCTGTTGATAGCATTTTACCCACAGTAGAACTTCTTTCAGAATTTCAGCCAATCCTCTTAAATCCTGCTGCTGCTTTATCAACTAAATTTATGTAATATTCTCAACAGTCAACAGATTCAACAGTCTTCAGGAATAGATTTCTTCTCAAAAAACCGCTTTCTTTGCTCATCCATTAACGTTTTATCATGAGATTGCAGCAATTCAGCCACATCTTCAGGCTCATAATTCTAGTTCCTGTGCTGCTTCCACCACATCCGCAGTTACTTCCTCCACTGAAGTGTTGAACTCCTCAAAGACATCCATGAGGGTTGGAATTAATGCCTTCCAAACTCTGGTTAATGTTGATATTTTGACCCCATGAATCACAAATGTTCTTAATGGCATCTAGAATGGCGAATCCTTTCCAGAAGGTTTTCAATTTACTTTGTCCAGATGTATCAGAAGACTCTCTATCTATGGCAGTTATAGCCTTACAAAATGTAAGTCTTAAATAATAAGACTTGAAAGTTGAAATTACTCCTTCATCCATGGGCTGCAGAATGAATGTTGTGTTAGCAGGCATGAAAACCACATCAATCTCGTTGCACATCAGAGCTCTTGGGTGACCAGATGCATTGTCAATGAGCAGCGATATTTTGAAAGGAATCTTCTTTTCTGAGCAGTGGGTCTCAACAGTGGGCTTAAAATATTCAGTAAACCATGGTGTAAACAGATGTGCTGTTATCCAGGCGTTGTGTTCCATCTATAGAACACAGGTAGAATAGATATTGGAGTATGTGTGTGTGCATTGGAGGGAAATACTTGTTTATGCTGATGTTCTCTTCCTGTTCTTTGATTTAAGAGTTGCTCTGACATTATGGGCAGCAATGTTTTATGACACTTTGCATCATTTATCTAGGTGTTAGCTGTAATGAGAGAGATTCAGAAATCATGGTCATACTGTATGGACACTTTATTTTAACAAGCAAAATTTGATATAACTTCTTTATGCAGATTATGATATGATAGGAAGAGAAGCTGGACTTGCCAAGTTGATGTACAAATAGAAAGGGGAAAGAATTCATGCTTTAGAACAAAGAATTCTTTTTTATTTTGTGCCTGTCAGTCACAACTAACTCTGCAGAATTTCAGGCTAACTAAAACTGTATTATTTGCCAAATGCCTGTCTTCTCATATAGATACTGTGTTCAGCTTTCTGGACTAAGTTTATGCCAGAATTAGCCTAGTTTTAGTTATACTAAAGAAAAGCACTTTTTAGTATATTCATGAAAAAGGGAAACCTTTGTTTGCATACTAAATTGAAATAAATCTTGCATTGATAAACATTGACTTTTGTCCTCTATCCATTTAGAACTAGTTTTGCCCGAAAGGCTTCTTTTGGAATGTTGTCCACAGCTTCCAAAACTCTTTGACTGTAATGGTGTCACTGAAGTCAGCATATTAGAGGAATATTTTGCTTTGTTATTGAAGAGCTTTTCTGTGGTATGTTAAAGCCCCTCAGTCACACTTGCTATTTTGAGGTATCTCAGCTGCAAATACCCTGACCAGGACATGGTCAGCTTGTGGCTATCCATAAGTTTTATATACAACCATCACCATTTGCTATACTGTTTAGGGTTGATGGGAACTGTAGGGCCCACATGCTGTACACTCTTGCTCTGATCTTTGGTCACAATTTATGTTTGACAAAGGAAGTGAAGGGAAAGGAATGATTCTGTATGCATTCCTTTACTCATCTCAAATATGCAACTAAGCTCATGTCATGCTGAACCATGGTTAAGGAAAACCATGGTTTGGTGTAATATCTAAACTGAGAAGCCGTGATTTGGGATGGACCAGCAAATCAGAATCAGAAACCATGCTTTAAAATGGGTTTACACACTATATCCTGGTTCTCATAAATCTGGAGTTTCTTTTTAAAATGGATTATTGAGAACAAGAAAGTGTGCTAATGCACACTGCCCAGTTACCCTCCCCGCAAATGGGCATGGCTGAACAACCCAGGGACAGACGGTGTAATGTGCAAACCAGGATATCTCTGGCTGGAGAGAGACAGGCCAAGCTGGAATGCAAAGTCAGCTTGCAGTGGGCAGGGTCAGGCATTGTGCACTGCTGTGTTCATGCTAAGCCGGGCTTTTGTGTTGGGTTGGTTGGTTTTGTTCAATTGACCTGCTGCTGTGCAAGAACTACGCCCTTCGGTTGTGTTAACTGCTATTGGATGAAATGTCTACATGGACAAACCATAGTTGCAGTGATCTGCACTTCGATTGGCACACCACAAAGACACAAGAGCAAAATGAAAATGCTGGCTGACACTAGATCCATTGTCCCTGCCCATGAATCAGCTCTTACTTAGTGGGTCATGATATAATAGTAAATTTTAACAAGGATTTAAATTTTATAACAGATGTACTAAACAACTAAGCAGCAAAAATTTAAAAAACAAGTATCTCGCTTTTAAGCCCAATAGAATGGTATTCAAGGTCAGGCCTATTTTGTTCGATTACTGTTGTCATAATCCTCAAGAGCATGCCTTGTGCTTGCTGGGGATGATAAGAATCCCAGTCCAGCACATCTGGAGGACTCCAGGGCACATCTGGAAGGATGTCATGGTTGTTGATCCTTGACTTTATGAGGACAGAGAGGGACGGCAGCACAACCCAGTCCTCCCAGACAGGAGAACTTGTATTTGTTGCATTATACGAAGCACAACTGGTTGTCATTATCAACTGAAAATCCAGCAGCATATCTGGATACAAGGTTGGGTGCATCCAAACTATAAACTTGCTTTCTCAAAGCCATGCCCCTCTCTAGAAACTGCAGTCCAACCTCTTGCCATAATCTCAGTTTTATCTGGATCCAAGTTTAGTCTTCCATGCAAGGAATGTAGCCCATCCTTCAAAGAACTGAAGGTGAAGGGGGTGTTAATGAGAGGAGAGGTCATTCAGGCTGTCCAGTTGTCCTTTAGGTGTGCCTCTGGTTGAGGCAAAACAGTGTGGCTTGGCTTTAGCCATAATTCTTCTATATTCTTACGTCTTGTGTTGATTTAAATGAGATTGCATTATATATTGCCTCAACTCTTTAATGCAGTTCTTATTTATCAACCCAAACTTGGAATGATAGAAAAGAGCAAACAAGAGGAAATTATTAGCATAAAACACCTAACCACAAAGAAAACCTTTTGATTCCTTTGAAGGAAGCTGCCTTTCATAATTTCAAAGTATTACTGCAATAGGGAAACATTTACAACATCAGGGTGGTTCCCGTTTTATTTGCTAAAGTAGGAGTCTTTCTGGAGGAAGTGACGAAGGTTTGAAGTGATTGTCTGTGTAATTAAGAAGTGGAGACAATGCAAGTATGCCATATATGCATGATCTACCTCAAAGTACAGGATTACTGTTGGACAATATTGTAACAATGACAAGGAGCAATGATAGGGAATGCTAAGGTCTGCTCATTTTTGCTCTTAAGGCTGCAGGCCAGAGATGGGTATAGCCAGGGCTGATACTTCTATACATTCGCAATCCTCTCTCACAAAGTAGTACACAGCCTCTCTTACTTACTCTCCCATGCATGCACATACAAGTGCGCACACTCCTGCCTACGCACATGGTCCCCCCATCTCCGCATGTAGGGATAGAGAGGTTAGTCCTTGGTTTAATACTAATACTCACTTGGCCATGGGTTATTTGACCTTTGAACAAGGCACCCCAGCTGGGTTTGGAAAACACAGCAAGCTGTGGTTGCAGCTTTAATAGTCACAATGGATGCTTGTATGTGCTGTAGCTCATATACCAACAAGCACTGATTTGGTTCGAATGATTGTGCAGATCACAGTGGCTTATTTAAACAAGAATGAGCTGCAGGACCCATAAGCATCATGCAAAACATCAAGCCACAACTACAGCTTGTCATTTCATCCAAACTCCAAAGGATGGATTGTGCAAGGGTTGCACCATTCTTGCATAAGTCTGCCCTAAAATAGTTCACACACCACAATGATCAATGTGGCTTTTTACCATTATTGCTCTGCCGTGTCCCCCAAACCCAATCATAGTATTTCAGTGTAATATGCTTGGTTTTTAGAAACTGCAAACAGAAATGATTGTCTGTCAATGGTTTTTTAGTACCACAGTGCTTTGTTGTGTTGTCTGCACCTCCTGGTACTAAGGCCAGGACCAGATACCCATTTTGCAGCGCCAGAGGGCACTTCTAAGAGCTGCTCTTTAGGGCAGCTGTCAGACGCATCCCTAATTTGCTTGCCTCCTCCCCTGAAGATCTTGCCTGGAGCAGGAGCAGGGCATCAGCCGGCTGGTGCTGGGGAAGGACGGTGCTGCTCAGCTGATTCCCCTTCCTCTCCTGCATGTGCCTGAGAGAAGCCCCTCATGTGCGTGAGCAGGAGGTGCCATCTGGGGGCTGTGTCATAGAACTAATTCCCCCAGGTCCCCCATTGAGCCTGAACCCCAATCAGGCACGTGGAGGTAAAAATATGCACACCATGGCAAACATGCAAGGTTGCTTCTTACGATGTGTGAACTCAGCCCGTGTGTTGGGTGGGTTGTTTAACCCTTGTACAACCCACCCCTGCTGAGTTCAGATCATATGACAAGCTGTGATCATGGCTTGAATATTCAAAATTGCTTCTGGCATATAGCACATAACCAGTGGGTCTGTTTGCACAGTCATACAGTCCACCATGGACTGACCTTGCAAACAGAGGCAGTGTATACTGTCAGGGAGCAGTTTCCCATTCCTTCTGGCCATTTTTGCCTTTGCATAACAGTCCCCTGCACCTGGTATATTTTTGCTTAGTCAGCTGTGCATGCTGAGCAAGCATTTTTGTACGGCAGTTCTGTTTGTTTTGGGTGAGTAAAAAGAGCTTTTGTGTTTAATGCAAACAGTTTGACTAGACCAGAAGTAATAGAATCTGACCATTGGTAGAAGAGAGATTTTATTTTTTCAAAGGGGGAAAAGAATAACTGACTACTGTAGTTTTGGAGGAATACTTTTTTGTAAGGTAAGCTGCAAGAAGATCTAGAGTTTAGAAGTAAGCTCCAGATTTATAATTTGTGTTTGAATAAAATTCATAATGTTGGCATTCCTTAGAGAAATAAAGCATTATCACTATTCAGTTTGATTTTTTAGTTATTAGAAATGCCTCTTGCAAATTTATAGAAAAGAAAATATATATTGCAGTTTTAAAAGAAAAAAATGGTAATGTGTTGAGTTTGACGTTTTTGAGCATGGCTTTTCTTGGATTCCAGTTATGGTTGACATCAAACATGTAATTGATGTTCTCTGGTAAGACATGCTATTGCAATATCTCAGTTCATTTTGAAATGCTTACTTAGGGCTTTTGCACAAGTCTCATTAAAATTAATGGAAGCCCATTGCATTGAATTTAATGAGACTTGCTTGGTTGTAACAAGACTGTGTAAGCACATTTAAAGTAAGCACTGTAATTTTTAATTTTTCTCTTGTTCATCGATGCAGTTTTTAATCCAGTTCAAGCATGTGGTGTTTGAGGAACATTAGCAAAATCAGAGAAGTCTTCTGTCATGGTCAAAACAACATTCTGTATATCAGTCTAAGGATGTCCAGAGGGCATTGCCATTTTAGTTGCCCTGATGAAGTGGAGTCTAGTCCACCAAAGCTTATGCTATTACAAATGTGTTGAAGGTGCCACAAAGCTGAATCTGAGAGATCATGTGCTGTAAAATGTCCTAAATAACTGTTTTCTTTTTAAAATGTTAGCTTATTCTGTCTTTAATTTATTTTTATTTCCACATGTTTACCAATAGGTTTATTAAAACTTTTCCCCCAGAGCACCAGTTCTTTAGAGAAATGGTTAAGTATAAAGTTTCTAAGATTTAAGGAATGAACGTCTTGAGCAAGCATGTAAAGTTTATTGATTAACTGTCATGTGTAAATATTTACTAATACATGCTTGAGTTGTGACTTAAAGCTAATTGTTTGAATTCTAGTGTGCAAAGTACTTACCAAGGGATGGACACTAACCTTCATTCCACATTTTAAAACTATTTGCATGTGTTTAAGAAATGGATAATAAAACTGCTGTTTCCAAGAAAATATGTAATAGGGAGCCATTTTTAATTGAAACGATCATAAACACAGGGTGCAGACTCAACTTCTGTCGGTGTCCCACAACATTTATATCCCATCTTTGAATTAAATGTGCTAAGATGCTAACATGCATGGAAAATGTAGGAAATGGCAAAATGCTGTGTGATCTCCAAAGAAGTGGATTTTACTCTCTGAGCATGGTAAATCAGCTATACCATAGTATGTTGATTGCTATTCCCAGGTGAAATGCATTTGTTCTGAAGTAGCATCACAATGAGTTATTGATGGTTTTGACCAGTAACTATTTGAAACTGTGTATGATCTTGTGTTGCAATCTAAGGAAACATGCTTGAACAATGTTACTCTACTAGTACAATTCTAAACATACTTAATAGTGAGTCACCCCATTGAGGATGTTTTGTTGAAAGATACCACAATGCTATATGCTCAGTGAAATGGACTATTCTTAAATCCACTCAGTAGAACAAACACTGACCCAGCCCACAGTCTGTGAGCAATTGTATGTTTCAATCCAGGCTGTATTTTCATACAGTCTTTGGAAGCATCATACATTACACTGGAGTGCAGAGCCTGCTTTCTCCCTTTCTAAGGAGCAGGATGATAGTAGCATTGCCCTTTGTGCAAAGTAGATAACTGTGCATAATATTTGTATAGGAGTGTTAGATACTATGGAATCCTAAGAGAATTTACCTTTTTAGCTTTCCATGTTGAAGTTCAAGGTTGGCAGCAAAGGAAAGGATATAGAAAATGTCACCAGGTAAAAGATGGTAGCAGGGGAAGAATGCAACCGCCCTGCTCCAGCGACCAAAAACCTGACTGGCATATTTGTGAGCCTCTGCTCCAGGTACCTGGTATACATGCACACGCTAAAAGGGTATTCTTAATGGACCTTAAAGATCACATTGGTCCATATGACAGGAGAAGGGAGCAAACACTTTTGGCTTGTGGATGAGAAGACATCCACCATGGGGTGCTTGTAAACCTCTGAGTTTGGAAGCTTAAAAGCCTCAAGGGCATAACCTAAGTGTTTTCATCAAGTGAAGAAATCTGCCTCTGTCCTCTGCAGGAGATGATGCTCTTCTCTAATAATATAAGTGAATAGCAAACAGCTTCAATTGCTCATTCAGTCAGCTCCATTAGTACAACAGCAGCCAATTCTGATGTTGTTCCTTCACAAAAGGGTGCTCAAATTGTTCTGTCATGAAAACCTACAGGTTAATATCATTTGACAGAAATAGCATGAGCTCTGAGCTGAATATAGCTAATTGGCACCAGGATAATAGTAGTTTTTAGGGGTTCTCAGGCTTGCTTCTAATGGCACATTTTCCTGCAGAAAGCAGGAAGAGAGGCATGCTGGTATTTCACTGATAGGAATGTGACCTGACAAGGGACCATGATTGTAACATTCCATGTGCTTTGACTTGCAGCCACCCGACATCATGTTGCAGTGCTGCAGAAATCATGTCTGTGCTGTTTTTTCATACCATGAGGTACAAACCACAGGATCCCAGAAATCCCAACAACGACCGTTTTGTTCTCTCCAAGGTAAGAGCTAAATCTTTTCATGCAGGTCTCCAAGGTGATTTCTCAAAGGCTAGTTCTGATTAATAGTCAGTTAGGTCTCTTATGGAGCTTAGCAATAGCGAAAAAATATCATCAGGTGAGTGTTAATATATTTGGCTGGTTCAGAGTTTGCCTCAAATGCAGGGAAAGTCATTCCTGCTCCAGTCAATATGCAAGTTAATTGTTCCATGAATTTCAATCAACTGTTTATTTTTTCCTCATTCCCATCTCTACACATAGTGAGAGCGAATGTCTGAGCTAGTAGGTCCCACTGCATTTTGCAGGATCCATGAAATCCTGTGTTCGTATAAATACATGGTGTCTTGCTTTGACGATTTGCTTCTTCTCATGGTATGTGGAGCAATACAAGGGCAGGAAGAAAGAATATGGAGCCTCTTGCTTTTGAGCTCAAGGAACTTTTATTTTGCAATTATGGATATTGATTCCTTTACTAAGGTCTGCTCTTGCCCTCCTTCTTGTTACTTTCTAGTCCTGTTTTTAAAATGTCTGCTATTCCTTGCTTTGGAACAGCTAGTCCAATTTTCTGTCAAGCCACTTGCTCTTCCTTTGGCTGCTAGTTGACTATATTCATTCAAACTTCGTACATCCTGTCTCCTCTTCGTCCAGTATGAGCCCTCAGCAGGGTTGGTCTCTTTTCTGCTTAGTACGTAGAGCGCAGCCTTCTCAGTCCCGGATCCTTCCAGTACTTGGACTGCAACTCCTAGAACGCTTTGTAATCAGCCTTGCTTGGGGGCACTAGGTGTGAGGACACTGATCCTAGCAGGTTGTTCTCAATTATTCAGTGTAACGTGACAACACATTTTTATACCTTTGCATGTCACGTGGCTCCTTTTCTTAAGATGTCCTAAATGTTTCACTTCTCTCCTTTTTTCTAGGGACACGCAGCACCCATCTTGTATGCAGTCTGGGCTGAAGCGGGCTTTATCCATGAATCAGAACTGTTAAACTTGAGAAAAATAGATTCTATTTTGGAAGGCCACCCTGTGCCAGTGAGTTTCAGCAAACAGAGTTTCTTTGTATAAGCTACGAAGCGTGTGTACATATGCCCGGTTGAGAATGGGATTCCACACCTTTAGTTGACTTGGGCATTCCTTTAGCAGTATGTGGCCATCTGAACATTTTGGTCCGTGGTTTGTTTGATTGCTCCTGCATGCAAGAGGAACCAAGCAAGAGGGACTGAGCAATGTGCACCAGCCTGCTGGCTTTTGCAAAGGAAGAATTCACAGTGTAGATGCAGCAGCTGTTTGCTGCAGAAATGAAGCAGAAGGACCTCAAATGTACTGAAACAGCAAACAGACAATTGTTTCCTGTTTGAGTACATTTGCTAGAGGAGATGTAAGGGAAGGATGGGGAATGGACAGCTCACAAAAAGTGTTGGATTGCAGCTCTTATCATCTCTCACTCTTGCTGGCTAGGGCTGATGGGAGTTGTAGGCCAAATTCTGGAGGGCCACAGTTGATTGCTTCCACTTTAGTTTGTTGCATGCCATTTTAGTAAAACAGACTTACTTTTCTGGAGCTTCAATGTGTCTCCTGTAGTTCAGGAAATGGATGGTTTGTTGCATTACTCACCCCTAGGAACACTCACTATCGTTCTCTTCATAAAATCACAGAATTTCTGGGAGTGAGTGAGAAAGAAATAGAAAGTGGCAGTGGAATTTGGTGAGGACAAACACAGAGACAGTTGCCTAGTTCAGCCTTCAACCCTGGAACCCTCCAGATGTTTTGGACAACATTTTCCAGTATCTTACCACTGTCCAGGCTGGCTGGGGCTGATGGGCTTCAAAGGTCAAAACATCTGGAGGTCACCAGGCTGAAGATGACTGGTCTAGTCTTAGATCTGCTTTGTCTTTTGAAGTTCATCAGGTGCAACCATTTTTGTGTTACCTCAAAACATTGTGCCTACAATCTACAGGAGATCATGACTGTACAGTACTTAGAGATACATTTAATTCAGTGGAATCTAGAAAATGATCAAAGTAACAGGTGCCATTCAACAGCTGTACATATTTTGGTCAGGCTGGTGTGCAAAGGATTGGTGCTTTCCTGTTTGTGATATAGTCATTCGCTGTCTGTTTGTCCCTCCGCCACTTTACATATTGTTTACTTCTTGTTTTTAGAAACAAGCATTCACAGATGTAGCTACTGGATCACTTGGTCAGGGACTGGGTGCTGCGTGTGGCATGGCCTACACTGGGAAGTACTTTGACAGAGCAAGGTAATTTTCCTGAACATCCTCCTAAATAGCATTAAGAAAAGACAATAAAGATGCAAAACCTAAGTGCCACCTGATCAAGAATGTTGTTTCTTTGCATGATGAGCTTCTCAAATGTTGCTTTGGAAATTGAAAACAGTGGGCAATGTTCTCAAGAAGCTGAGGTATGAACAAGCCTTTTGAATGTATGTGTAGCCTTTTTTCTTCTCCTTTCATACAAGGGAACTAATCGACTAGATAGACTTCTGTTGATTATAGCTGTCTGATTCATTCAAATCAGAAAAAGACAGGCTGCTTACTTACCTGTAACTGCAGTTCGACAAGCAGTCAGACATGGGCTCTGCACCTGTTCTGGCACACGTGTCCTTAGCAGTTTCCACCTGTTCCCCCAGTTTTCTTGAGACCACCTATTGAAGCAAGAAAAAATTCAGTATCAACAGCAGTTTAATGAGCAAAATTAATGCTGCCATCTGCTTCTAGGAATAAGAACAAAGTCAACCAGAACACCAAAGCAGGATGGTGGATGGGTCAAGGGAATGTGCTGATGACCACTTAAGAACTACTAGTACAGCTATGCAAAATGTCCTCCACTTTTATGGTCTCTGTACATCACGTGTGGGTGGCTAGCAAGCTGACTTAGCACTGAACTATCAAGGATAACACTACTTTGCTGAAATTACAGGTCTTTTTAATGGTCCAGCTTATAATGCCATATAAATTATTATTATTATTATTATTATTATTATTATTATTATTATTATTATTATTACAACATTTCTATGCCGCCCCTTGCTGAAACCTCGGGGCGGCTTACAACATGATAAAATACATTGAAATACAATAGTACATAATAAATTACCATTAAATATAAAAATACAAATTCTTGATCAAGTAACTGTGGTAGTTGCACACTTGCTTCAAATGCAATCGAAGTTGTGACCTTGCAGATGAAGCACACTCTTGGCACTTCTGAGAGTTGTCACCTGGCCATGGCTATGCCAGGCAAATAGTTAGAACCACGCAGGCTGCCAGGCACTGGGAAGAAACAGGAAGTCCTTTAGTCTTTCCTCTGTTGCATAAGAGAAGCCTCGACACTCTATGGAGGGGTTCGGTTCAAGGTTTGTAAAATGCAAGCATCCATCTCAGTCATGGGCATGCAAAGTTCATTCTAGCAAAGGTGGGAGAGATGAAAAGAAAGTAGGTAAGATGAGATTCTTGTTGATAAGGAAGTCAGAGATCATTTCAAGGAGGAGAGTTAAGGTCAAAACACCACCTTGTCTTTATGGAACATCCTGTGCAGAGAAAGTATTTGAGGTTCATGGGGGTGATGAGCAGATGTAACTTCCACAAGGGCTGCCTTCCAGGATAATACGTGGAGGCCAACTGTAGCCAGTGCTCAGCTGGCTTCAGTGTCACTTTGTGCAAGGTGACCGTCAAGCTCCACTGTGGTGCTTAGAGGCTGTTCTGGAAGTACTCTGTCTCCTTAGAAAAGGTGAAGAGAGGAAATGGAGAAGCCTTCCTCTGGGAGATGAAGAGCAGCGATTGCTGCCAGTTATGCTCCAAGGGATGAGGGCCTATAATTATGCTTGGAAAGGGAGAGCTGGAACTGAAACATCTCCTGGATTGGACACCGCAGGGCTGAACCTGGTTTTAGCTGCAGACAGCAAGAAAAACTCCCACTTCCTACCATAACCCAGCCTAGTGACAATTCTCTGCACAGCTTGCAGAGCAGAAAGAGGCCATCAGGTAATCATGAGAAGAAGCAAGTTATGCAGTCCTTGAGGAATGTGCAATAAGAGAGTCAGGAAAACCTGAGGGAGAAGGATGGTCCTCGATGAACCGTCTTGGTGCCTCCACTGCCACAAGAATCTCCTCCAACAAATCCACCCTCAGACAATCACCCATGTCCTGACAAGCTTGTTTGATGAACACTTGGCAATGCACTCGACATCTGCAAAGTAACACTATCCCAAACAGATGAAGGCAGATTTCCTTTCAGTCATACAGGAAAACTAAAAACACCTGCAAGAAAGAAATAGCAAATATATATATTTGCAAATATATATATATATATATATATATATATATATATATATATATATATAGGCTTTTGATTAAAAACACAGTGCAAATGGATGAGAGGAGTCCCCATGAGGCAGTCCCAGTGGCAGGTGAGAAGGCACTGAGGGAACAGGTGTGAGCCTCTGCGGCACATGGATGCGAAGATAGTGAGATGGGTTCCTGCCAAGAATTCCTCAGCTATAGAAGTTTCCCAAGCAAGGCTTTGTACAGGCATGGAGACCTTGCGTGTGATGCACAGACACCATGAAAAGAACGCTGCCTAGCAACCCTGAAACAATTGAGGACAGCTTCCTATCCTTGCTTGTTTTGAAGCTGTCAATCATAGTTTCAGAGAGCCAGAGGGATGTGGTGGTTCGAGAGTTGGGGGATTCTGGGGACTCTGGAGATCCTGGTTCTAACCCCCACTCAGCCAGCTCACGGTGTGGCTTTGGGCCAGCCACTCGCTGGCAGCCTTGTGGTAAGGCTAAAATGGAAGCAGGCTTGGGGTCCTCACAAGAGGAAAAACATGGGATATAAACACAATGTGATAACAGCAACAGGAATCATAATGGCGATAATAATTAAAGAGTTCATTACAAAAAATTTCCCCCTGCTACATTTACTCCGTCTATGAAGGGACAAGCTGCAGAGCTGTGTACATACCCAAACTCGTTCAAACATATGTCAGCTTTACTAAGCTTAATGTGATCTTCCACACCAATACTCCTCCCTGCTTCCCGCCCACGGTGTGCAAGCATGCACTTCCATTCTTCTGTAGCAATGATATTAGTATTAATGACAGAGGAAGTGGACTCGCACGCAAACGGTTTGTTGCCTTTAGTTTGCATTAGGCAGCTTTTGTTCAAAGGTTGTTATGGCAACATAGCACTGTAGAGGAAAAGTGGGTGGCGGAGAATATAATGCAGGAATATCTTGTTGTTGCTCAAGGGGGAATGGTATATGGCCATAAACCCAGCATCTAAACGGCAGTCCTGTTGCAGCTGGCATGAAAATCTTCATGTGGTATGAGAGAAAAATCGACATCCAAAGGGATGTCCTGTTGGGGAAGCTGATGCATTTTGCATGACAGTATTAGTGCATGAAAATCCAAGTTGCCGAGTAAATATAATTTTAAATTGCGCAGTTCAGTTGCTTGAAAGCATTTCTGTGTGCAATGACTAACTGATATTAATGCAGCCTGGCAGGTGGCATTTGTAGAAAACTCTCTCTCTGCCATTGTGACATACTGGCTCTTTGCATGGAATGCTTCAGAGGAGCCAGGATTTTATGCCGTTGTTATTTTGCTAAGTGAGTAATAAAGATTGCAGATATGTGCTGTAATGCAAATAATATTAGTATGATGGCATAACCTGTTCAGTATCTCTTCAGGGGTTTCTCTTGCCCATCAGTGTGTATAATTTATGTAATTGGTGTCCTGCAACAGCAGGGGGTTGGCCTTCATGGCACCTTCCAACTCTACTGTTCTATGATTCAATAATGCTGTTTTGGCAAATAAATCTGCCCAGAAATAATGCAGCCCTCCATGAATGTTTTGAGAAAAGTAGGTGATGTGTTAAACCTACATAAGGTGGGGGAGGGGGACCCACTGGGAGTTGGCTTGGATTCATAAAATCTTAAAACTGAGAGAAGGTAATAAACTCCATCGAGGTTGGCAGCTTTTTAAAATTTCATCAGCTTCCTGGACCTGAAACAGCAGTGTGTTGGGCTAAAGCTCAGCTAGGGATTCTTTCCAACGCTACATCCATAAACCTCAACTTGTCTGGCATAGGAGTATGCCAGAAAAGCTGGCAGCTCTTTTCCCTGCTCACCAAAACTAGCAGTGACAACCTTTCACTATCCTAGACCATGTTGGATGATACATTTTGAAGTGTTAGGCACTTGTCATTCGTGTTCCCATAGCCAATCTGCCAAGGAGAGTCCCCAGCATTCAGGAAGCTGCGTTGATCTACATCAATGCACCAGTGCTAGCAATTTATCCTCACCAAGAGCAGGTCTTTTGTAAAGATAATGAGTTTTAATTGCTCACTGCAAGACCAGGCAATTATATTGTTACAGGGAAAATTCATTTCCTTGCAGTGAAGCTGAGCATTGCTCTGAAGCTCAGAGAGAACAGGGGACTCTGACTGGATTGCAGAGGCTGTCAGTGTCCTGCTACTCGTGTTAGTCCTGATGCTAACCAGCACTTTGTGCCACAGACAGAGACAAAACTAACATGTTATATCAGGTTCTAATAGGAACAGAACCTTCTGGATGACTCATTCCACTACACAAAGCCATTTGTTACATTAGAAGGCAACCTAAAATATGAAAATCAACATTAGAGAAATAGTTTACCATCCTCGCAGAAAGTAGGGCTGCTGTCTCAGTGAAAGACAGGTTTGCTGATCGACTGTATTGGTTTTGATCAGTTTATATCAACGTGCATTTGCATAGGAATAATCAATAAGTCCAGCAACACTTCAATGCCTGCACATGTTGCAAAAGTGATGTCCTATTTTCTTTTGGAGAAAAGGATGGAAATGCCTCATTTGCTACTTGCCACCTGCAATTAAGTGCTTATTAGAAAATAAGCCAACTTAAAAAAAAACCCTGTATTGCATGATTAGCCATGGGCATTCAAAGCATTTTTCATCTGTTAAGATAACCAGTCAGTTGAACACTGAATGTCTTGGAAGGTTGACTGGAATCTCTTTGACTACGATAGGTCACAACTGATGGCCTAACTAGATGTCACACCTGAAGTTATATTTATTCTAATTTCCATTTTTACATATAGTAGCTGCTGCAAAGCAATGGGGCAATAGATACTGGTTTGGAGACTGCATAAGAGAAATAGAAGGAAGCTTTGATTGTGCACCGCCCCGAGGCTTCTGTGAATGGGGCGGCATAGAAGTTCCCTAAATAAATAAATAGATAGATAGATAGATAGATAGATAGATAGATAGATAGAACCAGGGGGAGCTTCTGTTCAGGAGCTGGGGTGTTACCTTGCCTTGAACCTTTCCTATCCTAACATTTAACCTTGTCCCAGAGCAGTTGATCACAATAAAATCAAAACAAAAAATTCAAGGCTTGTCACATGAATTTTGTGTGACACATCCATTTTGTAATTGCCCCGAGATACTTGGGCTCGCAATATTCATAGTGGAAAGGCCTGTCTCTGAATGAATGAATTAAATTAAATGTGTCATTTCTCTGAAATGAAAATACCGTGTCCTGCTTACATGTGGAAATACTGAAGCAACGGGTGGCGCTGAAATGAGGAAGTTTGCAACGCTGATTAAGTAAGACTGGAGCTTTCTCAATGATCTTGCTGAGTCACAGTGAGCTGTGTTTAAACAGGCATGTTCATTTCAGCTTTACAGTAAGGTTCATTGTTAGAGCACCTTCTTTCTCAAGGTCATAGATTTTCCTTGATTATTTGACATCCTCCCTATTTGACTTGCTTAAAGGTGAGAAGTTGTTGTTACTTTAAATAGGGAATAAAAATATATTTCTGGTTATTCTTGCTGCTCCTAAGAGCTATTCAGATGCCTTCTAGTGCTCATAGGCACACAGTGTGAGACCTCTTAACAACCCTAGGCAGCATCTGGGGAGGAAAGCTGGTGACTTGGCGAACTCCCCTAAGAGAGCTTGAATTTGGTGCTTCATAGTCTGTAGAAAAGAGATGAGTAATATTTGGCTGTTGACATGCAGACTTCACAAGTTGTGTGAAGCTCAGCAGCAAATGTCCATCATAACACATTTATATACAAAACTAATTCAGACTGAATTCCCATAAAATCCTTCATCTAGTTCTGCAATGGTGCTGTGGAACTTGCTGGATAGAACCCTATTTCCAGTGGCAGAAGAAGAGCAGAGAGTCCTTCTGGATCAAACCAAAACCATATCTAGTCCAGCATTACTTTTCCCACAATGGTGAACCAGATGCCCACAGACACCCTACGAGCAGGCCATGAGGCAGTAACACACTCTCACTTACGTTCCCAGCTGCTGGTATTCATGGACACATGGCCTCTGATACTGGAGGTAATAACATGGCATCATGACTCATAGTTACTGATAGTTTTTATTCTCCTTGAATTTGACTAATACCCTTTTAAAGGCTAATAGCTATTACAACATCTTATGGCAATGGATGTTGTAGATTCATCATGTCCGATCTGAAGAACGACTTGCTTATAGGAAATTTTCCCAAGATGTTTTGGAAAGATAGCCCAGGACACCTGAGTTGGCAGTGTGGGCCTGACGTTTGAACAGGGCTATAGAAATCCTTTTTTGCTTGAGGGTCAGATTGCCATCTAGGGAACTTGCCAGGGCTCACTCCATTCACACAGGCACCCACACCCTTCATTCGTACACTTGCACACCACTTGAAAGAGATGAAAACTGTTTACACTTTCTTGTTTCTGGAAATTTTGTTTTCTTTGTTAAATTTTAAAACAGAGGCTGTCATTCTTTGGATACATCATGAGACGGTAAGACTCACTGGAGAAGGCCATCATGATAGGCAGAGTCAAAGGCAGAAACACCAAAGATGAGATGGGTTGAATCCATAAAGGAGGCCACAGTGTTGAACTTAGAAGAGCTGGATGGGGCTGTCATGGACAGGATATTTTGGAGGGCTTTCATTCATAGCGTTGCCATAGATTAAAGATGACTTGATGGCATAGAACGACGTGATATATTTGCCCCTCAAAAACAGTTTTCTGAGTTCCTCTTTGAAATCAAGATTAGTGTTCACTTTTAAGGACCTGTGCTGCCTGAACGCAGACAAAAATGATCTGAAATATTTCAAGGCCTACATTATATTTGTGCACACACATGCACAGACAGAGAGAGAGAGATTGTGGTTGTGATGGTGGAAACATTCCTATTCAGGCATTCCTGAACAAGTTACTAAACAGACGTATTCGTGATGGGGCAGGTCAGTATTTACAGAAGTGGAGTTGCTGCTATCGCATCTAGTGTGGCTGTATGATAAAGGTGCAGCATGAATGGTAAAAGGCGCATGGTGTGTTTTAAAGATTGCTTAGGGCAGATAAAGCACATGTGAGGCTTGGAGAAGAAGCAAGAATTGGTGGCCTGTGTGGGAAAATGCCGTTTGCAGCCTTTGTGCACAAGCCCTCTGTCGCATGTTCTGGTATTTTTCCTCTTTCAGTAACACAGGATGCTAATCTTTTAGCACCATCTTTTTGTTGTTTGGTGTACAGCTACCGAGTGTATTGTGTCCTTGGGGATGGAGAACTCTCCGAAGGCTCTGTTTGGGAGGCCATGTCCTTTGCTGGTTTCTACAGACTGGATAATTTGGTTGCCATCCTTGATATTAACCGACTGGGACAAAGTGACCCTGCTCCTCTGCAACATCATGTTGAAATCTACCAAAAACGCTGTGAAGCCTTTGGGTACGTATGAGATTATATGAGATACTGGGTGACCTCACACAACCCAACAGCCCACCCTGTGAATGAGATACGAGGTGTGGGCTGTCTGAGGAACAGAATAGGTTGTTCCCCTCCCTCCTTCCCGGTCCTCCAGCTGTTACGCCAGGGTCCTGCACAGCAGAACTGGTCTTCTCTGCCATTCTTTGCTCCATGTATGACTGTAAGATAGACAGCTCAATGGAGCCCTGTGCTGCTTCCAGGGACAGCTTGGTCACTGTGCCCATGGGGCATCCTGGAGTGACTGTCACCGGGTGCTCATTGATGCCAGGTAACCTTAGTGTTGTGTGTGGTTTTTGAATTGAGTTTGGATGATCAGTAAATGCTGAGTATTATTAGTTTAAAGGTATAGTGGAGCCGGCTAGTGCCGGAGGTCAGACTAGATGGCCCGGGAGGCCCCTTCAGACTTGCTCTGTTTCTATGTTTCTATAATGAATAGAACAGAGCAAAGCAGAGCTTAATGCAGGTTATTAAGCTGATTAATTAATTTAGAAGTTCAGCTAATACACTGGAAGAAAGACTCAAATGAACAATAGCTTGCCATGCTGAAAGCAACCAAATGAAATTTAACAGGGACAAATGCCAAGTTCTGCATCCAGGAAAAGGAAACCAAATCACAGAATCATAGTATAGCAGAGCTGGAAGGAACCTAGAAGGCCATTGGGCCTAACCCTCTGCTATTTCAGGACACCAATTTATACCATCCCACTCAGATGGCTGCCCAGTTTCTTTTTGAATGCCTCTAGTGCGGGAGAGTTCACCACCTCTCTAGGCCGCTGGTTCCACTATCATATTGTATACTTACAATATATACTTACAAGATGGAAGATACAAGCAAGAAGGTTCTTGAAACTGCTGTAGACCAAAAGCTGAATATGCTTGTATGTGACAAAAAGGGAAAATGCTATTTGACCTGCATTAATAGAAGCATCACTTTCAAATCACACAAAATACTGGTTAGGCCTAATCTTGGATGAGTACTGTATCCAGTTCTGGGCACCACAGAAAGATACAGACAAAACTAGAACAGGTTCAGAGGAGGACAACAAAGATAAGGGTAATGGAAACAAAGCCCTTTGAGGAGAGACTGAAAGAAGTGGGCTTGTTTAGCCTTGACAAGAGAAGTCTGAGGGCGGATATGATAGCACTCCACAAGTATTTGGAAGGCTGTCACCCAGACAAGGGCCAGGGTCTCTTCTTGGTATCCCAGATACAGTGCAAGACTTGGAATAATTGGCACAAGGCACAGGAAGCCAGGTATGACCTGGACATTGGGGAAAAGTTCCTGACTGATAGAGCAGTATGGCAACAGGACCAGTGGCCTAGGGAGGTCGTGGGCTCTCCCACTCTGGAGGCATCCATGATGCAGGAGGACAGCCATCTGTTAAGAATGCTTTCACGTGGAGCCCTGCAATGCGCAGGCTGCTGGATCTGATGGCCCAACTGGCCTCTTTCAACTCTGCCATTCTATGACTATGATTTTTAGACCACCTTTAGGGGTAAAGCATTTCCAGAGGCCAATCTTGTTCTATATTCAAAGAGCACAGGATGGCCAGGAAAGGATTTTATCCATTTTGTTTTTAATGGTCTTCTTGTTTGCAGTCCTCTCCTCCTTCTGAATGTTTACAGTATTTGTAAAATATATGTTGAATAGTAACTTTCTCACTCTTGAAATTTATGGTATTTGTGTACCTTCAAGATAATTTATTTACATGCACTGAAATATGACATCTAGACTAGCATAACTAGATTCCAGGAAGGATCTATTGTTATCAAGTACTCAAGGAAGTTATTGTCCCTAGACAATAAATATTTTATTCCTTATATGATGCTTATTTTAGGAAAGTGGCTATGTGTGCAGTCATATGCAAGTCTTGACAAAACAAAGGCCTACAACTGTAAGATTGTGTTGAACTGGCTCTGTTGTTTATATAGCTTTTATTGCTGTTTTAGTTGTGGCCATTATAACATTTTAATATTGTAGTTGTTTTACATGAATTGTTAATTTTTGTGTATTTCTATTCATGTTGTAATTGTTCAAATGTTGTAAGATGCCTTGAGTTTCAGAGGATAATACGTGTATAAACACACACACACACATATATATCATATAACTAAATATAATATGATAATGCAATTGATAGTATGACCTAGCTAGGTATGCTGGCTGGGACATACAGAGAATTATAGGCCTTTCTTATTTCTAAATTTGCATAGGATTGCTGGAAAGCTCAGAAATAGTGCTCAGAAATACTTAAGAACATGGGAGATTAATATCTGCCCCAGAGGCCAAATCTGCATTTTTGCTCTGCAGTTTCCTGAATGGCTGCTGTCTTTCCCAGGCGGTACCCCTTTTATTTTATTTTATTTTATTTTATTTTATTTTATTTTATTTTATTTTCCTCACCAGTCATTTGATGTCTGAGCTGTGTGCAGCTGTTCCCCATTCTAAAAGGATGAAATGCCCTTCCTGAGGCTTTGTCACTGGCAGGCATCGCTTTGAGCTAAAATATGCTAGTTTTTTGGCCCCACCCTGTTGGCTTTAGCTCTGCCAAATCTAATCCTCAGACCCACACGCCCCTAGAGCTCTTTCCATGAAAGCTTCTTTTCTACTGAATTGGCCCTGAGCATTAAAGCGAGTTTGCCTTTTGGCCAGTGGGACATTCGTGTCTAGTTGTTAGCTGCTGGCTCTTTCGTTATTCTTTTTGAAGAGGTTCAACTGAATAGATAAGTAATCAGATTTTGCTGTCCATCATGTGTTACTTAATGCTAAACCTACAATCTGTTGCTATGTCTCTTTGTGATGCAAGTTTCCCTAGAACAGATTAATTCAATCACAGCATTTATTTTCAGTCAGCCTAAATCATTTTCTGATTGCTTGTTTGTAGCTGGGATGGGACCAGCTCTATGATTAGAATATGGAGCTGGTGCTTCACAGCTCAGCAGCTCTGCATGTCAAATGGCAAGCCACCTCTGAAAGGAAGGAGGCATTTGAAAGCAGATTGCGGTATAGCCCTATGGGTTTGCTGTTCAGAGAAAAAGGCGTTGAAAAGAAACATCCAGTTGAAAACACCCACATCCTTTGATGTCCCTAAAGTCACTGTTTGATTCCTGGCCATTCTGAATATCTCACAGTAAGAATGAAGCACTTACAAAGAAAAACTATGCCCAATTATTGCTCTGCACTTAATATACTATACATTCTTCTCCAGTGCTTATATTGCTAGGAATTCAGACTGGAGGCCTTCCTACTGTAAATCCTGTTAAAGGTAATCTGTTTGTTTGCCTTTCCAGCTGGCATGCTATCATTGTGGATGGGCACAGCGTGGAGGAACTGTGCAAAGCCTTCAGCCAGGCTAAACACCAGCCAACCGCAATTATTGCCAAGACTTTCAAAGGCAGAGGAATAACAGGTGATGCCAAATGACAAACTCCTCACTGCTTTTGTTAATCAAAGCTTTAGCTACTTTAATTGGAAGATAATTGCAATATTAAGCAATCCACCAACTTTATTTTTGTGTTCAAGATACTTTGCATACGTTTTCTTATCATCCTTATAACAGCTCTGCGAGGTAGATCAGGATTAATACAGATCGGGGCCTGGGGCTGAGACAGTGGTATGCCCAAGGCCATCAAATAACTTCAAGATAAATGTGAGATTTAAAGCAGGGATTTTCTTATCTATATTTTGTCTTTTAAACACCTAAGATTATATCCAAATAGCCCATCCCTCTGCCAGAATTGGAACAGGGGGTGGGCAATCCCCCCTGTGCATCCTCAAAAATCTTTTCATGGGTTGAGGAAACTCCCTGGAGCAGATTTAGGGAAGATACAAGGGAAAAATTCTGTAGTGTGGAAGTTTGCTTATGTGGTATAGGATTTCATTTAATGCTATGCCAGCTATTAAGAAGTCATTAAAGCAGTTCCATTAGTAGGAATTGGGTTCTTCTCCTAAAAAGGCTTTAATATGAACATTTAATAGTAACATAATTAATAATCTCTTTGGTATTAGTTCTATATTCTTACTGATGCTGAAGGTTTTCAATTCTGCATTGCAGCAGCTGTCTGTAATGGCAGGTTGGTTGGCACCTTGCAGGTCGCTTGATGCCTTGCAGTGGGGCTGAAAGCTGCACCTTGTCCTTTTGCAGTGAGCCCGCATTGTATGTATAGCACGGGCCTCTGCTATATTCTTAACACAGGCGCCTCAGTGCTTCAATGATAGCCTTCCCTGCAGACAATGTAAAGTGCAAGCAAGTTTAGAAATAGAATATTAAGCAGAAGTAGACCTCCCCCCGCCCCATACTTACGGTTTGTTGTAAAGCTCATTGGACAAAAAGGCTTTAGTATAGAATAAAACATGCTACAAAAATGAAATGAATTTTTACTGTGAATGTTTACAAAGCTAAATAAAATAGGTTAGAATTTAGAATAAATTCTAAAGCAGGAAAAAGAATGGGCTATCATAAACAAGCGTGCCCATGTAAACATTCCAGTGCACCAGGGAATGGTTACAATCCACTTACAAACTTAGTAAGGAAAAGTGGGATGCGCAGTATTACAATCCTATTTGAATGTGCTGCTCTCTAAAGATTACTTAAACATTTTTAAAAATAGGTTCAGCCACCACTAAATTTGAATTGCTTGCTCACTGCTGAGTGTATTTCATGCTGTCAGATATATATATTAAGTGAAGTTGAGTAAGCCTTCAAAACATCATTTGTGCTCTTTCTGTCTGACCCACATTACATAACCTGCCATGTTTCAGCACATTGTAGATGAGAAAAGCCCATCTTCTCTGCTCTCCACTACAAACTGCACTGTCACAGCAGGCTGGGCATATCGGAGGCTTGATTAGCCACACAAAAGAGATCTTTATACTAGCCTTGCCTTCTTGGCAATTTGTACCTGCTAAGGATTCGGCAAAGGACAGGCGTGTGCCCCAAGATACGCGTTCCTTTCTGCTCAGGTACAGGCACAGTAGAAAACACAATGATTGTCAGATCTCCGTGGTTTGTGCTGCCATGCATTTTCCACATATTTTTTTGTCTCCCCATTATGTTACATTTTAAACCTTGTGCATCCATCAGCTGGCTTAAGCCTTTTCAAAAATAGCTAAATAAACTTAGGATATTTGTCATTTTTCAGGAACAAATGCTGCCACTCTGTGAGACTTCTGTATGGCGGAAAGAATCCCGTATTTAGATCCTGTTACTGTGAGAGCTCAGTCTGTCTGATGCTCTTTCCTGAAGCAGAGAGACGTTTCGTGCTTGCACAGAGTGCCTGCTTATTCAGGTGCTTAATTATAGAATACCTAGCATGTCATTATTACAGTCAAGGTTATTGATTTGCTGGCTTGATTTATTCATCTATTTAGGCACATAGCCCACCCTGTTCCAAGGGTTCAAGGCTGGTAGTGGTATTGAATAAATATGATAGCACATGGTGCAAAGGCTCACAGTCTGTAAACTGCACTGAAGAGCTGCTGGGACCACGTGTTGCCGCCCCTTGCTATAAAAGAGTACCGAGAGGCCAAGGAGGGAGAACATCACTGGCAGTGAATGGACGCAGATGAGTGCACATATTGTGATTTTATTGGGTTCTAGCAGGGCAAGCACCAAGACATGTCACTAAAAATTAGGTAGTGAAAAGATGGAGAAAGAACAAGACCAAGGCTTTGATGGGTTGATTTTTGTTTAGAAAATTAATTTTGCTGCATTTTTATCTTGCCCTTCCTCCAAGGAGCTCTGGGCATGGGTTCTCCCTGCCCTGCTTCCCAGTGTTATTCTTACAGCTTCCCCGTTGGTTAGGTCTGGCTGAACGATCGGCCAGTGAGCTTCATGGCTGAGTGAGGGCGAGGATGGTGCCCCTAGTCCTAGTCTAAGATGGCGCTCACTGACTCAGCTTTGGATAATGGAGTTGGAGCCCAACTGGGAGGCGAATGGAATTGGGCTGTAGGAGGATTCAGGTAGAATTCCCAGGGTGGTTTTCCAGCAAGTCAAAGAATGGAATGACAGGGACGAGGCAGGGAATGGAGGCTCTGCTGTCCTAAAGCTGATAGGTAGAGCAACGTGTTTATAAAGCAAGATAATTGTGTTACTGCATTAACTCAGAAGTTGCTGTTTTCAGCAATTTTGCAGAGTGGGTTGTGGTTTGCTCTTGTACTTTTTAAATTATGTGCATAATATTCCACAGGTATTGAGGACAAGGAAAGCTGGCATGGAAAGCCTCTTCCCAAAAACATGGCTGAGCAAGTAATTCAGGAGATTGATGAGAAAATCCAGAACAAGAAAAAGCTTTCTCCAGCTCTTCCACAAGAAGACGCCCCAGCTGTTAATATCAAAAATATTAAGATGCCGTCTCCACCAAGCTACAAGATAGGAGAGAAGGTACTGTGGGATTCCCAGCAGTGATACTTTGCTCAAACATTACTGATTCAGTTCCATACTGGGGACACAATAGAGCCAAAACTCTTGCTTGTTTAATTTCTGTATTTCCCAACAGCTGAAGCTCTCTGGGCAGTTTCTTTCTGAAGACATCGTGTTTTATGGAGCCAATTTATAAATCTGAATGATTTCCCCTCTAGGATCCTGCAAAGAGCCCCCCCCCCCCCACTTCCAACTTGGCACCCTCCAGATGTATGGGATTGTAATTCCCATCATTTCCAGATGTGTGTAGCCTAGCACACCCAGAGGGCACCAGATTGGGGAAGACAATAATAGCTAGATGCTATTCTAAAGCATGGGGCTAAAATTTGTTTTTGTACACATGAGTCTGAAAGCAACTTTTCCTCCTCCAAATTAGCACTGTGTCTAAAAAGACAGAGCTAGAATTCTGGAGGGAGAACAAGACACTTCTAAGGTAACAACCAAAATTGGGATCTGTAGATCTCACACACAATGCAAACTTAGGGTGTCTACAGGTGAAATCTTCAGGTATTATTTGAAGAGCTTCTGACATGAACATTAGCTTTGATCATCCAAATCATCCCTGAAGATCAGAGGAAGATGGTGAGAATTACAGACAAAATGTCATGCCAAGAACATTACTTTTTCATGGGCTGATTACAGTGAAAAGTGGAGCTTGTCCCAATAACATCTGTATACTAACTTGCCATTTCTAGACTTACATTTTTTTAAAAATCCTTTTAGAAAGAGTCAGAGAGCAGCGTCCTGTCCTATTTTGCCCACTCTGGAGGTAAAGTAATAAGAGCCTTATGCAGCTGCTTGCTTGCAATATGCACAGGGCTAAACCTGGAATGGGATGTATGTGAGTATGTGCCCCACCCTGAAGCACCCGTAGCCACACTTGCAGGTTGAGCAAGATTTCTCCATAGGGGGTGAAGTGCATTCGGTGAGCAGAGCACGCTTGCAAGCCCTTATACAGAGCTGCTTGCGCAATGTGCAGAGGTCTGTGACATAGCCGGAGACAAATGGACCCCTGGGGGCAGAGCATGCCTGCCCAGCCATGTCCCACCCCCAGTTTCGCACTGCATGTGTTGCAAATGAGTGCCTGCACAGGCATATGGCTTCTGTCCAGTTTCCTTCACCTACAGCAACAGGACACAGAGCAAGCTACAGCTGCCAGGCACCGGAGAACAAAGGTAGTCTCTGACCACCAGCTTGAGCAGCCTGAATCTAAAAACTAGCGTGGCAAGGGAAATTGAGTCTGACCTGAATAAAGCCAAGAGTTCCTGCATGGATGGCTTCCGCTAAGGAGGTGGTGTGTGTTTCTTCTTATGGTTAACCATGTCTAGTTAACCATAAGGCTTTAGTGAGCCTTTATAAGGAGGATCTGGTTTCTTCTGGCAGCGTTTTCCCAATGGCCTGCTCCCAAGTTTTTCTGCTCTGACAACTACAGGCAGGCAGACAATGGTACCAGCACAGCTTCAGCAGGCGTTAAATGGCATGACAAGGACGTTTCACGGAAGCTGCAGGCAGAGCTATCCATTCTAATGTTTATGATCAGGGTGCAATATGTTTGACTGTTGACCATTAAACACCCAGTAGCAGAAACTGTAGTAGACATGGCTGTTTCTATGTTTTTTAAAAGAAGGAGAAGGGTAAAACAGTTGTTTAGTTTTTTCAGTGTGATATTGCCCATTTGGATTTTTGTGTTACATTTATTTGAAGGTTTTATTCCAGAGATTACAGATTTATGCAATATTTGAATGTAATGAAATGCTGCCATATTGCTTTCCTCCTCACAGTTTGCTACCCGCAAAGCATACGGTCTGGCTGTCGCAAAACTGGGCCACGCCTCTGACCGTGTGGTGGCTTTGGACGGCGATACCAAAAATTCTACTTTCTCTGAGTTGTTTAAGAAGGAGCACCCCAGCCGTTTCATCGAATGCTACATTGCTGAACAAAACATGGTAAGTGGTGTGTACAAAAAGAAGCGTATTTGCTGATCCAGGCAAACCAATCATGGCATTTTCCTCTGCGAGGAACCCTTTCATCAGCTGATATGTCTTAACAGAGGAGAGGATTGTCAGGTATCTGGTGTGCTGAGAAGCAGCTCATTGGAAGAAAAATATTGATTGCTTGAGCGTCTTGCACAGTACAAGAGTTGGTTAAGGCAGCTTGCTCAGGTTGTGTTACAGTTTCTTATGGTGTGGATCCTTTTGAGCAGAGATCACATGCACAGGGATTTTAGGGAGAAAGAATGTTGTGAAGCACCCACAGCCGGCAGATTAATGAATTCGTTCAAAGCCAGAGATAACTCATGTTCAGCAAGGCAACTCCAGTGAAGCCATAAATCAGGGGTGGCTCAACTTGCTCAGATATGTCAAATGTTTGAGAGCCACATGACATGAAGAAAAATGAATGAATGAATGAATGAATGAATGAATATGTTTATACATACAGTACATGCATACATACATACATACATACATACCAAAGAGTCATTGCTGCAGTTATCGGGTTAGCTGCTGGTAGCAGAGGTCTTGTGAATCTCTGTCTCGGCTGTGAGTCCAGTTGATACATCGACAAGGCTGTGTGAATTAGCTCTCTTAGGTGTTGACTGGACTGTTGTTTGAGGCTCAGCATTGAAGTCACATGACAGAAACACCACAATCACAGCAGGAGACCGACCCCTCGGTTGCTCGCACTGGCTCAGCTGCTCAGAAGAGAAGTTATGTCGGGCTTTTTCAGCCTCTCTTTTCATGCGCTGGCTTGGGTGCTCAGATTAGAAGGTGCATCAGGTTCTTTTGTGAGCTGCAAAGTAAACTTGAAGAGCCACATGTGGCTCATGAGCCTTGGTTTGGCCACCCCTGCTGTTCGTTTTATTGATACAGCTATTCCTGTAGCCCCGTTCAGCCCCAGAGTGAGTTGTTGTGCTTGGCTGACCTTGGATTCCATCATCCTCTCAGCCTAATATACCTCACAGGGTGGTTGCAAAGACAAATTAGGGAAGCCTCTTGGAGGAGGGGATAGAGAGTGGGCCAATCTCTCGCTCCGGGCAGGCTGTTCATAGAAGGGGCCCAGAAGGCCATCGGGTCCAACCGCCTGCTCTGTGCAGGACTCAAGCCTCCCATCCAGATTCCGATCAGCCCGACTCGGCTTCACTTCTAAGACTAGGCAGGATCTGGCACTTCAGGCTATGTGGAAGCTGTTCAGATGGATCCGTCTGATTCTGAGGAGGAGGTGGAGGAGTGAGGAGGAGAGCAGGAGTCACTGGTTCGAGGTCGCCTTGTGAAGGTTCTCTGGCACAGCGTGATAATCGGCCTACTTTGGAAGGGGTGAAAGATTTCTCGAGGGGAGGGAGGTAGAGCATGCACAAGATGCCAGCTGTGACCCAGTAAAGGAGGCACTGGGAGGAACGATTGGCCCAGTTGGAGGGCTTGGCCATCCTCACAGTCTTGCCCTCCAGCAGCGAGAGCCACCTTGAGGCTAGAGTCAGAAGCTTTTCTGAAAGGGAGGGACAGAGGATCCAGCTTATATTGCTCAGGCAGACATTTCCCCTCAGCTTTGGTAGAAGGCTATTTAGAGTTCAAACTGTTCTGTTATTTTGTTGGATTTCAGTGAAGAACTGCGCTTCAAAGGATTGTCTTGAGTCTTGGAACAAGAGGGAAGGGACCAGTTCATGAGAGAGGGGCAGGATATAAATGACTTTATTGATTTATTTAAAGCATGTACATACCTTAGAATATGGTATGCATAGTGCTAGAATTAGTTCATTTCCTTTCTCCTTCTCTTGTTCTCACCACAGGTGAGTGTTGCTGTTGGTTGTGCCACCCGTGACAGAAACATTGTCTTTGCTAGCACCTTTGCCACATTTTACACGAGGGCATATGATCAGATCCGTATGGCGGCCATTTCTGAGAGCAACATAAATCTCTGTGGATCTCACTGTGGTGTATCCATTGGTAAGTATAATTTCTTTCACCAGCTTGCCTTCTCCCAGAGGTTAAAAATGAGTGTATCTATCCCTCCAATCTGCACAATGAAGATGAATGACTCATATTTGTTTCTATATGAATTTAAGACAAATTGTCAAATCTCTCCTCGGTTTCCTCATTTTTCATGTAGGGCCTTAAACAAATTTTACTCCCTTGGCTTTTTATTGTGTGGTACAATAATATTTGCTGTATTCTTTCATTGCTAATAATTGTTAAACATGTTGGTATTATTTCACTGCAGAGAAATCCAGGAATATGTGTTATTGATTATTGCAAAACAGATTTTGCAATACAATCCAAATACACGAACTTAAAATCCAAGCTGGATTAGCCCAACATCCTGTTCACACAATGGCCAACCGGATGTCTGTGGAGAAATCCCACAAGCTGGACATGAGTGCATCCGCACCCCCTTTCTTGTATCTCCCAGTAACTAACTGGGAGGTCTGTTGCTTCTGATACTACTGGACATCACTATTAGTAGCCACTGATGGCCTTGTCCTACAGGGATTTTTTTTGCCCCAAGGCCAGATACCTTCTTGAAATAGTATTAGAGGCTATTTTTCCTGCAGTCTGACAATATAGTTTTGTGGTGTCATTAAACACTAGATATTAGGGAGTTGTGACAGCTTTGGGAGACATAGAAACATAGCAACAAAGCTATGGGCCTCCCGGGCCATCTAACGTGACCCCTGGCTCCAGCCGGCTCCGCTCCATAATCCCCAAGATGTGGTTGTCCAGTCTTTCCTTGAAAGGACCTGCAGGAAAAGCCCAAAGCCAAAGCACCAAGATGGTGCCAGCTGCACTGAGAATGCTCCATCTGTGGGGAGCAGAGGTAACCTGCTAAAGAGAGTATGGTGTGAGAGTGGTTGTCTTTTGCCGCATAGGAGGTTGCTCTGGTTATTTGCCTCTCGTGGACATAATATAGGCATGGAAGGACATAAAAAGCTGGTCCATACCCCTGTATAAAGTGTGTCTCGGGTGTGTTCCTACCACCGCACAAGCACGGGCCAGCAGGTGGCACAGTGAAACATGACTGGCTGCTGCCAGGGCCAGCAGAGGAGATGAGCCCCCTCTGCTGGTTCCTGCATGAGCTCAGGTTAGCTGGCGCCACTGCTAGTGCCACGGGCTTGTTTGTCACCAAGCTGGCTATGCTTACGATCAGCCCTGCTGCCCTGGCATGTGCGACTGCCCCAGGACAAGACAGCTTCTTGGCAAGAGCGGAAACGGGTTTTTTCCATTTTTACCAAGCAGTGCTGCAGCTGTTTGGGTTATCGCAGAGGTTGTGATGTCATTCTGATTTGCATGATTTGGTAACCCCAGGTGGCTACCAAACCCTATGACAAATCATAGGATTGTGTGCATGAATCCAGCCACTCTGTGTGTGTGTGTGTGTGCGCGCGCGTACATGTGTAAAGTGGGACTCTTGTGCACCATTAATGTGTGGTGGCCAACTCTTGCAACTTATTAGTGTTGCTACAGATTTTGAGAATGGTTGAATTGTCAGGATGGCTATGGAGAAACAGCTAACCTACCTCCTTCAAAGTGAAACAAGATGTCTTTTTATGAAGTTTGAACAACCAAAAAGGCGTAATGATAAATAGCTAAGAATTGTGAGATGTAAACAAGTTGAAAATACTGACTGTTGTATTGGAAAAAAGAAACATGCCGTTTCACAATCAATTCTCAGCTTGAAAACCTATGCCGTTCTCCTGGCAAGGCACCAGGATGGTTGCCAAGGGAAAGTGTTCTGTCACTTGGATCAAAAACTTACTTGAGAAATGAAGAAGTGTGAAACTGTTATTCAGGATCGAAATTGCTTTAATTATCAATTGATGAGCAAGAAGTACAGTATGAGTTTGAAACATAAAAAAGCACAGACTGGTGGCCCATTAATGGGGGCACTGGAGAAACACCACCCACGGCACTGCCTTCCTCTTCAAGCTGACAACGTCTGCCAGCCAGCCCTTGAAAGGCAGAAGTGGAAGCCGCTGAGTCTCAGCCTCCCCTGCATTCAGTTGTGTGCTGCTCTGAGGCCTGTGCAGCTTGAAGTCAACCCCCACGCTTGGCATTCCCCTTCCGTCCTTAAGGGCTTCCTTCGCTGCCCACACAGCCTGCAGCAGGGATGGTGTGCTCACGGCAGCTGCCCCTGCTGCTCCGTGTTGAGGTCCCAGGCTCACGGAAATGGGTGTCTTGCTAGTTTTCTGGCTGAAGTGCACTTTTCAAACAACAGCTTTGTAGGTCTGCCTAGCGTAGGCAGTTCATGTATATATTAGACAAATAAAGAGAATTTTAGATGCATCAGAGTGTGTTCCAGCATGCACTAGAAATTGCTGTGTATTCTCCTTTAGTTTCAAATGACCTTAACACTGCCATTGTATTAATGTGCAGGGTACTCTGGCTATACCGAACAAAAGCAAAACAGCAAATTGGGCTTTTAAAAAAAGCTTGTATGGCTGTGCAGATAACAATAGGCTTTTCTCTGGCAGACGTCTGCATAAATTAGTCTTGCCCCATCTCTGTATCTTTGGAGGCAACACTGATCCTGTGTAGTTCATAGGTGGTGAAGGTAGTAGCACAATCATAAATCACATTGAATTGATTCTAATGGAAAGCTATTTACTGTAAAACTCCTCTTGACATGAGGCTTGGTGGAGCTCAGTGGGAGTTTCCTTATTGACTTTCTGCTGCACACCATGTTTGAATTGGAAATGTAGACAGCGAAGCCTGGACAGCCTGGCACTCGGTCAAAAATGTTCATCTTGAGCTTTGTTTGCTTGCCTTTCATTGCTGTGGTATTTCAGTGTTGTTTGCTCTAGTCATCAGCTGTAGATCGTTCCTAATGCTGCTTGCCAGTTGTGCTCTCCTTCAAAGAAAAGCATAATTTCCGCTCACTGCTTCCACTGTAATAACTTTCAGTGAAGCCCTATTTTAAACGTAGGTGCTGCATATTTATGTGCACAGGGGGAGCCCATTCTGTCACTACTTTTTAAATATAAACTATTGTTCCTTTCAATAGAAATCTTGTAGTCATCATGATAAAGACAGAAGACTACCTATTGCTGGTGTTTGTATGCAAAAGGCTTCAGTCCAGTTTTTCAAAAGACAGGATTGATGTTCCCAGGCTCATAGAAACTTCTACCTTTCCTGTTCTTAAAACTCGATAGGGTTTTTTGACACAATTAAATAGACAATTAGTCTGACTCTGCACAAAGTCTATGTGAAATCCTAAGCTACCTAAGACTAGAGTGTCTACAGGAACAGCTTCTTCCATATGGACCTTCTCAGACCCTTAGATCATCTTCAGAAGACCTTCTTTGGCTGCTTCCACCAAAGAAAGCAGGACAGGTGACTACAAGGGAGAGGGTCTTCTTAGTTGTAAACTCCCCAGAGAGGTTCCCCTAGTTGTTATCTTTCGATACTGGGCATTTTAGAGACCTAGTTTTAGATTTTTAAATTGTTTTATCAAATCCTGTGCTGTCTTGTATTGCAACTTATTCTTTTAAATATTGGTTTTGTAATGTATATTTTAAACTTCAGGCTATGACACTTTAGTCTCTTAACTGTTTGTAACCTGCTGAGAGAACACTGGGAGATTAGAAATATAGTCAATTAAGGTCTGACACCTTTGAAGGATGATATTCCCTTCTGCTTTTGTACCCTTTCTGCAGCAGTGTTTACAATGGGTGTTGGCAATGTGTGGTCCTCCAGATACTGTCGGACTGCAACTCCCATCAGCTGTAAGGAATGATGAGAACTGCAGTCCAGCAACAACTGAAGGCCACACATTCCCCACCCCTGCCTTACCTCTTCTCTAGCAAATACAGTGGAAGAGGAAGCAGTTCTGCATTTTGTCAACCCCTTTTGAGCTCCTTGTGCTTCATTTCTGAATCAGGTTTTGCTGCATTCGTTCCACGAATGCTTCTTCAGAGCAAACCAGCACGCTGGTGCAAGATGCTCAGTCTCTCCGGCTTGCTAAGCAAGAGAGGATAAACAATCCATGGACTTCCTGTCCGCACTTTGTTTATCATGAGGTATGAACCATAAAACGCTAGCTTGTCTCTGTTCAGACAAGGCAGATTTCCTGGTTTACATATCACAGTAAACCACAGAGACCCAGTTCACAGCTAATGGGGGCAACTTGTGGGTTAATCAACTCATGATTTGCTATGGTACATCCTGGGTACAGCAATGCCATTTCACATATGCAACTTCTGATTGGGCCACTTGGAGGTTGCCCTGTGTTGTCCAAACCCAGGCCCTATAGGTTAATTGTGAATTAAACAATTGTTAGGTTAAGCAAGGGTTGTCCAATCTATGCCTAACCTATAGTGCCCAGCTTTGGATGCTGCAGAGCAACCTCCAATCAGCCCAGTGTTGCATTTGTGAAATGACAGATTAAACCATGATTTGTTGCTGTCATGTGCAAAACAGCCTTGTGGACCCACAGTGCATTTAGCCAGTTCCACCTGCAGCAGGGTGCACTAGCGCACTAGCATAGCCATGTTCAAGCAGTTGACTCTGTTCAAGCAGAGAGCTTCATCTACTGGGTGATATAGAAATGCGGTAGGTGGAAGCAGCTAAATGACAAAACCAAAAAAACACGTCAACACAAGTTATGCTTATTCCCACCAGCAGCACACAGGTGCATCTGCAGCTCTTCCTAACAGCTTCCAGAAGAGAGTCCTGGAAGCTAGACGATGCCACACACCAACATATCCTTACTATTTTTCAACTTTCTGTGGATTTTAATTGTAGCTTTCTTTGAAAGCCAATCTTGGTTGCAAGGTAGGGCATAAATACTATACCGGTGTTTCACTTGGGTTGCTGTTCCCTGTGCCCTATAGCTGAGAAGGAGGCATTATGGTTAAATACAGAATGCTTTTGTGCTATGCTTATGATGGGGAACCCCTAATGTTACCCTTTGCATTTTTCTTTTCCTTTTAGCTACATCACATAAAATTGTGTTCCTATTTTCTTTTGTCCTGAATGTATGTGTGCATGTATTCCTAGTTCCTTTGCCTCCTCCATTTGCTTCTGTGTTGTTTTTGTTACTATTTGCCGCTACATTGCCCCTGATTTTTCTTTATAACCTTAGTTTTCTTTCTTTTTAGTTTCCTTCTATCTTCTTTCTTTGCTAATTAGAGGGTTCCGAGTTTGAGAAGAGGGTAGGTAGTCTTCCATGTTTTGTGAGTGCCTTACATTTACCTGCAATGACTTTTGCTTAAAGAAGTATGTGTAGGACACACTATTCAATTTTTTACTGACATTGTTCTCCAACCATGTATTTCTAGGTGAAGATGGGCCTTCGCAGATGGGTCTGGAAGATTTGTGCATGTTCCGTGCCATTCCTAATGCAACTGTATTTTACCCCAGTGATGCTGTAGCCACCGAAAAGGCAGTCGAATTGGCTGCAAATACCAAGGTCTGCAACTCTTCTTAAATGTGTCATGTGACCAACTTGTTTTTTCTCCTCACATTTTGGTATGGTGCAGTTACCCACAGAGACCTCCAAATAACTGTAGTTTCCTGCTATATTCAAATGTGGAAATTACACTTTACTGTGCTTGGGACAAACCAGGATCTTGAACTATAGCTTGAAGTTGGTGTGAAGTGACGGTTCTTTACTTCTGCAACTTCACTGTGAACAGTGGAATCTGCCAGAGGAGTACCTGGATTGTAAAATGGCACAGTCTCCTAAAGGCTAGATCACGACATTTTGCTGAATTCCTATCAAAGTAATTGATAGGAATCAAAGTAATTGAGTTTTACAGTTAAGAAGCAGGTCACATAGACTATTTTTGTGTTTGAAATTTGATTAGAAACATTTGTTCTGATTGTTTTCTAAGTTTAGGTCTATGGGCTAAAATTGCCTTAAACCTATCCTTCTCATTTTTAAACAGGGCATCTGTTTCATAAGGACCAGCCGCCCAGAAAATACAGTGATTTATGGCAGCAATGAGGACTTCCATGTTGGACAAGCCAAAGTAAGTAGTACCACCTTGAAAGGAACCAAAATACTTGGAACTATTGTGACTTCAGCCAGCTTTCAACAGCTCTAACGTGTGTATTACACAGGGCTAGCTCTGATTTGGTTTAATGTCATTATCAGGTGGTGTTCAAGAGCAAGGATGACCAGGTTACAGTTATTGGAGCAGGAGTGACCCTGCACGAGGCGCTGGCTGCAGCTGAGCAACTGAAGAAAGGTGACTGTACTGAGCTGCCTAGGGGCGCGTCCTCCAGGCATCTCGAAGGGAAGAACATGAGGACCATTATTCTGGTTGGGTGGGAATTATGGGGGTTGCAGTCTCGAAGACAGCAAGTTGAAGAAAGCTGTGGTACACTTCGTCCTGTTTGCTTGGGGAAAGATCCCCCATTAGCATTTTAGTCCTGGTGGTGCTGTCACACTTTCAGGCTTGTGTCCTGCAATTGTTTGGTCCCTGGGAGGATTTTTGGATTTCCTTTAGGGAGAGGAAGAGGGAGGTCCTCCTGGAGAGGAACCCCCAGCCTTGCAACCTGGTGATGAGGTTTCTTTGGCAAAATTCCACATCAGAGAGGCCTTTGACAGGCATGCCAAGAGATACTGTGGATCTACAGGATTCCAAAGCCTTCCCATGTCCCCAGCACGACCCCAGAAGTAGAACTTGCATAGTTAGTTTCTTTCCCCTTGGAATCAGGTGTGAGGCAATGCTAAAATGAGAAAGAAAACAGCCAAATCCCACCAAATAAAAGCTACCACCCTCATCTTCCACCCTACCAGCAAAAGCTTCCAGGGCTTTGGGAAAGTATGTTTCCCCATCTTCCACAGGATTGCTCTGTAATAGCCTGGGAGGATAATACAGACTTCTTTATCCTGCCTCCTCATGAACTTCTCTCATTTTTTCATGATTTGCCTTGATACTGGCATAATCTCATGTTTGTATTCCAGCACTAACAATTGTTAGTGTTAACTAGATTTCCTTTTCAGTGGGCTTTGCAAACCAAGCATCATCTCTCTGTTGCTTAGTAGCATCAGTGCCATCTTAACGCTGCTCATGTATGATATACACAGTATATCCAAAGGGGGAAGGGACAGGTAATGATTCCAAAGCAAACTGCTGATATCCTGACCCAGACTTTCCCAGCCTGCTGTCCTCTAGATGTCTTAGGCTTCAACTCCCATCATCCACAGCCACTGTGCCCAATAGTCAGGAATCCTTGTAGTTTAAAAGATCTGGAAGCCACCGGGTTTGGGAAGGCTGTCCTAACCATAGTTGGGTTATCTGAAATGTTGCATCTGCAGAGAGCCCTGCTGAATAGCCTTGTTCAAATCAGCATGAATTTTGGTATACCATCTGCATAAGGAAAATAATAATAATTTGTCTCATGAAGGACAGAATGTTAGGCTTCATGAAACATATGGATAGGATCAACTATGCATTGCTTTCAGTGACATAAAACTTATCTGGCAGTAGTTTATAATCACAACTCATTAGCTGCTGCTTTGGTGCTTATTTCACTATGAACCTCAGCATGTCTGCATCCAAATGCACGTACATTTTCCAGCAGAGCGGAAAATTACCTTGGATGGAATAAGGAAGTCACATATTGAAAAGCTCACAAGGCAGTATCCTAATTAGAGCAGACTGCATAATGTAGTACTAAGAAGGTAATGCAATTATTGCATTGGCTAATTTAGTGGAGAGCTCTGCTTTGAGAAGATGAAGCTTAGTGATGACCTTGTGATATCCTGATCTTTAGATATTCCATAAGCTACGTAGCTTCTTAAGGTTAAATTCTTCATTGGATCTGGATGGGTCACTTTCACACATGCCCTCAAATTATTATAGGACAACAGTGGTGAGACTGAGATGCATTCTGATAGGGGGAAATCGTTCCTCTAGCATCTCACCATTCTAAGCAAAATAAGGTAAAATTTATCCAGCTGAACATTTGGTCCCTCGGGATTGCCAGAGGCTTACATAAATAGGCCACGTTGGCAGTGCTTTTGTTTCTGCTCTGATGGGTTGTGATAAACTTCAGGCCTTTACAAATTAACAACTCTGTTGAGTCAAAATAGCCCATCACTTACCCCACCCCAGCAAGCATGTAAAACCCAGAATCTATTGCTCTTGTTGGGTTTGAAATAAATAAATCTAGGTTTCCCCAACCCAGAGCCACAACACAGTGGCCATATTTGCATATGTTAAACCATTCTGCAAGAAACCTACACAGATGGTTTGTAGAATAATCATGGGGCTTGTCATGGCATCTTCTGTTTCCTTCCCACTCATTCTCTAGCTGATATCCCAGCATCCTTCACAGAAGACCCACCCTGCTCCCCCTCCCTGCTGTGACCACTACCCCTTCTTGTTCGTCACTATTTTTTCCCTGCAGCCTCAGAAATGTGCAAAATGTCTGCAGAATTTTTTAAGAATATTTTTACAGTCTTTCCCAAGTGCACGCTAGCACACTGGATGCTGCCTGCTTTGGGTCGTCTTGGAGGGACAATTTATTTGCATGTTTCAGATGTCAAAGGGAGCAGCAAGGTGGAATAGGAGACGTCGGTGGAAATGGACAGGGCGAGACTGCACTTGGGCAAATTTGCACGCAGTTGCCAAAATCTCAAACAAGAAGCGCTGATGAAGGGAGAAATGTAGCAAAAGTAGATGCACCAGCAGGGGCACCATATTATTCCCTTAATAATGTAATCCTCTCAGTTTTAAGTGCTGAACTGAGTTAATAAAATATTTTGCATTGTGGTGGTGATGTGGGCTGGTAAAAGGGAAATGGGAGTTGAGGCAAACTTAACAAGGGCAAGGATGGGAAACACGGTCCTTCAGATAGTGCTAGGCTCGGCTCCCATCATCCCTAACCATCAGCTATGCTCCTAGGACTGATGGGAGTTGCAATCCAACGCCATCTGGAGGACCGTATATTTCTCATCGCTGCTGTATGGAGTGATGAAGGCATGGATGGTGTAGCATTAACTCTAGTTCTACCCATTCTCGGAGCAAGGTATTGGCAGTTTCCAGGCAGCCCATGGGCATGTTTTAATCAGCGAGGCTTCTGCAATTGCACTGTTCCCCCAGTAGAGGGAATTGCTGGTGGAATGGACTTTACAGCCCTGCAACCTATTTGATAGGGTTTGGGGATACTCCAGAGCAGACCTGGGACATGTGCAGAGAGCAATATATGTGAATGGACTTTAGCTTGCATGGGGGTAAGATCCCCTGCTATGTGTATGTGTGTTTCTTCAGTCTTGCACTTTAATGAATTGTGTGTTCTATATCATCATCATTTCTGCTGTTCTTTTGCAGAGAAAATTTCCATCAGAGTGATAGATCCATTTACTATCAAACCTCTGGATAAGAAAACTATACTTGAAAATGCAAGAGCAACCAAAGGCAGAATTATCACTGTGGAAGACCATTATTATGAAGGTAACTTAAGCAGAATTTAGCTTCCTTTAACTTGAGCCCATTAATCCATGTCCAGTGTTCTGCCATGATTAGGAGAGATCCTGGCCCTCCTCTGTGTGATGGCCTTTCAAGTACTTGTGGAGAGCTATCAGCTCTTCCCTCAGTTTTCTCTTCCGCAGACTCAAGATGCCCAGTTCTGTCAAGCTCTCCTCATAGGGCTTTGCTTCCAGACCCCAGTCATCCTTGTCGCTCTCCTCTGAGCCCCTCCAGCTTGTCTGCCTCCTTCTGGAAGTGTGGTGGCCAGACCTAGATGCAGTGCTCATGGTGGGGCCTAACTACTACCTCACCTGATTTGGAAGCTATGCTTCCATTAATGCAGCCCAAAGTAGTCTTTGCTTTGTTTGCAGGTGTATCAAATTGTTGACATATTCAGTTTGTCATCTACTGCAATTTCAAGATCCTTCTCACTTTTAGTACTGTTGAGCCAAGGATCTCCTGATTTGTAACTCTGCATTTGTTCCCTTTTCCTAGGCACAGAGCTTTGTCCCTGTTGAATATCATTCTGTTGCTTTCAGCCCAGCACTCCAACCTATCATGATATGAAACAGACACATATTAAGGAAACAAATGCATTGCCGCTGACCATTTTCCAGTCCCTGCTCTTCACCTCACTATACATCTTGTAAAACACCCAGGCAGCTTGGGAGAGGCTCCTCCAATGAGTATCACAGCATGGGCTGGTTGGGTGCTTCTGGCAATGCTTGAGCACTTCTGTGTTGAGCTTGTTTAGGGCTATCAGCATATTTTTACTGGAAGTAAATCACTTGCAAGGTCTGGAACAAGTGGTGCCATTTCATAAATATCCACGTGGCTCCGCATAGGAAGGGCTGGAGAGCAATGCAATTCTCTGCCCACTGGAGTCAGAACGTTGCCTCGTTGTGCTCAGCTCCTCCGTGTCCTGTTGTCCTGCTGTATGGACTTGGAGATCATCTCTGGAAATTGGATTTCCAAAGCATTAATCTTGGTCTTAAAAAGAAAACTTGTTAGTGGAAAGCCTCTCACAGAACAAGCGACTCTTCAACCTTCCCGATCCCTCTAAACTGTCCAATTGTTTTTCTTTTTAAATAGCTGCATTAATCGGCTTGCCAAGAAACAAAGCCCATTATTCTTGACTTATCCTTCATTTTCTATCTTCTTAGGTGGCATTGGAGAAGCTGTCTCTGCTGCTGTGGTGGGAGAGCCGGGAATCACAGTTGCCCGCCTGGCTGTGTCCCACATACCAAGGAGCGGAAAGCCAGCTGAGCTGCTTAGGATGTTTGGCATTGATAAGGAAGGCATAATCCAGGCTGTGAAGATGGCGGTGTCCAAATCGAGAAACGCAGAGTAGCTGGCATTGTATCCCTACTGTGCCACGCTGGAGAGCAGTGTTTGGGTTTCTTGTTGTTTTCTAAAGGAGTACGGTAACTTTCAAACACATGCTTAAAACTATATGCAGAGAGTTTTAATGGAAGAGTTCTAATAAAAGTTTTGGGAGAAAAGTAATGTTTGGTCATTTTGCTAGCAAAATTTTCATATTGGCAGGAAAGGATAAATAGAAAGCTGCATGCTCTGATGCCAGTAGCAGAAGGCATAACACTGATTTATCCAAGAAGTTTCATCTAAGAAGGTGGGTGGGTGATATAACCTGACTTTCTTCAATTTGCAAGGAACCCAAGGCAGCTTGCAAGGTTCTCTTCCTCTCCATTTTACTGTCACAGTAACAGCTACTCTGTATCTTAGGCTGACAGTCTCTGACTGGCCCAAAGACACCCAATGAAGAACATGGCTGAGTGGGGACTTGAACCTGGATCTCCCAAATCCCAGGCCAGCATTCCTGTTTCTTATTTCTCCTATGGCTTGGCTCTCCAGCTGTGCTACAGCTGTTTCAGCCCATATTTTCTGGCATAGCATTCTTTTCCCACCTGCAGTTACCCTGAGCATCTCTTAAATGCTAGACCACACCCACTTTCGGTGTAAACACTGGAAGAAGCAAACAGGCCTGTGTGCTGGATGAAGGGCTGCCCCTGTCTGGTCCTGCCCCATTTCAAGGGACCAGTTGCAACATCCAGAGCACCTTAAGCTTTTCTGAATGTTACGGTCTATTATTAGCCTTTTCACCACTTATGCTGGGAGCAGGTTGACTGAGTGAGCTCAAGTGTGTAGAGAAATTGTACAGTGGGTGAGAGAGTGGAAGGGAAGATGTGAGTATTATTTATTCATTGCATTTCTATCCTGCGCTGTGTCGCAAGGGCTCAGAGAAGCTTGCATATTGTTTCCAGATGGTCTCCTATCTAGGGCCAGACCTACTTAGCTTCAGCATGTTTTGTCTGAGCATATGCAGGAGTGGGAAGGCTTCTAAGCACAACTCATATGCTGCTACTATTATTAATCAGTGGTTTTCACCAGTAGCCATACCTGCTGTTACTGGATCAGGAGGCCTGCCGATTGGTCACCCCACCATGGGTCTGGTTTTTTTTTCTTTTGAGTGACTGGATATTTCTTTATTGACAGTTGTGGGTGGCATGTGGTCCTCCAGATGTGTTAGCCCACAGCTCCCATTCAGCTGAGAGATAACAGAAGGGATAAAAAGCCGGAGGGCAACAAGTTGTCCGCCGCTGCTTTAAAAGTAATTTTTTTCTGACGGAAAGGAGAGCCAGAGAACTTTCCGTTTCCCAACCTAAGAAAGCAAGCAAGAAAACATTTCCCCATGCAACACAACTCAACTCTGTTCTCTGACACAGATGAAATGTCCTGCAGCAAAGCACAACGCAGCCATTTTACTCAGTGTGTTTAATGGTGCTTATTGGCCAGTAAAAGCGCAAAGTGGTTCACACAAATTCAAACGGGATAAAATGACATTCTGTGTCTCCTACACTCTTCTGTTCTGAACCAAGCTTTGGGTTCTTGAAAACATTATAAAATACTTGAAGAGATGGGATCACTTAGAAACAGAAAATGCATGGTCTACACATACAACCCCTATTTGCAACATTAACATAAATAGTACACATAGTCACATTTATTAATATAGCCTTAATGCAGTTTAAAACAGATATACATTCAGACAAGTCTGCAAAGCAGGTCTGTTAAAAGCCATTACCTGCATGCTAGCTGGGAATTCAGGCGTTGCACTGGCCACAAATGAGAACGGCACTGGCCTGGGGAAAGTGGGCCAGCCCCACGGAGGCACTGCTCCACTAGCGCAACGAGAGCTGCCGCATGAATGCTTCAAAGCAGCCTCCATCTGGTGGCCACACTGCCCAAGACAAGACTTTCCCCTAGGCAACCAAGGGCTTGGAAAGTCTAGCTGCAGGCAATATTAAAAACACTAAAATCTGATGCCCTGTTTGTGAAGGCAATGCATGGTGTAAAAAGTTAACTGGGCTTGTACAGAAAGAGGGTGTTGGTTTTGCTGTACAGACCCAGGTGACCACAGGTACAGTGCTCAATGGAAATTTCAATGGAATTTTCTTCTCCCCACCCCACCTCCCATGCACACTCAAAATCTGCTCCTGGGGGATGAGAAATCATCAGGAGCCAGTTTTCCAGCAGCACACGGGGCTGCAAGGGGAAAGAGGGAGGTTATACCATTATGCTAGCGGATTTCCACTAGCAAGATCTTCAGACTGAAGCCTTACTCTCTTACAAAATTGTTCTATGTTAGCTGTGCTAGTCCTTGAAACATCTGCTCAGTATTACTCCAGTACACCAGCAGGACTTTTTCAGGTCTTGTGTAAAACTCCGTTTATTCAACCTTTCTGAAACCTGGACAGTGAAGACGAGAGAGAGAAATTGTTAGCAAGTGTTGGGAGTAAGAAGGATGGCAGTCTTGGGCATCTGGCTGCATTCCAGGTGGTGATTCAGAACCGGAAGATGAAACATATTTCAGTGAGGTTGTGGAGGAGCAGCTAGGTCAAGATTCAGATGCAGCCGGAGGACGTGATTATCTCAAGGCCAGGTGCTCTGCAGAACCCGGCAGTTCCTGGGAACGGGCAACAGGCTCAGCCAGTGGCAGAGTCTCTGAGGATGAAGAATTCTCAGACACAGGCCAGGCCCCCACTGGTACAACCCCATGAGCAGGGCATCAATGGGCAGCCTGCAGAGTGGAGGGGTGCTCGCTTTCAGAAGGCCCCTCCAAGGGGCCCAGGCCTGCCCGCAAGCAGAGTTCCTGGAAGTACTAAACTGGGCTCTTCAAACCACTCTGTCCATGCCCAGAGATCCATTCTGGGTGATTTTTACTTGGGAGCAATAAAGAAAGTGGCAATGAAAATGGTCTGCGGTTGGTTCTTGTTTGAAGGAGGAACCTCTGCTCAGGACAGCAAGGTTTTCAAACACCTGCTAAAGCAGGTTAATCTGTGTTCATGGGAATACAACAGAAATGAGCAGTTAGATGTCCAGCTGCAGGAATTTTTAAAAAAAGTATACAGCAAGGCTTTCATGCTCATCTAGCAATCACAATCATGATGGCTATGTATAATCCTTTCCTACATTTACCAATTTTTCTGCGAGATCCAGAGAACGTTTAGAGGGGCTCCCCAGTTCATTCCCAGTCAACACTGATGTGGGGACAGGGGACAGCCAGCGACCAGCCTGAGGTCACCAGGGAGGTTCATGGCCGAGTGAAGAGGTCGGCTTCGACTTCCCTGCACCCCCTGGTCTGATGCGAACCGCAACTCCACACCTGCTGTCTCTGCCACACGCTTCTGGTGTCCACAGCACAGCACTTCACCTCACACTTTCACTGTTGTCTCTGTACTTCTGTGAGTGGAGGCCGGGGAGTAGTGGCCCTCTAGTGCGTCTGTCAGGAGGCCTCCTGCACTCACTCCCTGTCATCACCTTAGGCTAGAAACACTGATCAAGGTAGAAGGGGTGCGATTTTGAATTTAAAAACAGCACAAACTGTGAACCTGTAGGGTCGAAAGCCCAGTCTTCGGTATCCTTAAAAATCCCCTGTGGCACATCAGCGGTCTGGTTGTGTATCTTTGTGCATGTACCAGACTACAGCAAAAGTGCTTCCAGGTGAGGCTGTTGCCCCGCCTCATTTACAGGACTTTACAGGTGCGCAGCCTACGCCATGCAGCGTTCCCCATCCCAGCCTTCATGCTTTACACCACTTCTTCACAATTGCTTTCTTAACTCAGAAAATCTACTGATTTTGAAACTGGGGTTTCAAAAATTCAAAACACTTTTAAAATGGGGAGAGATAGTAAAGAGACGGACACAGTGATAACTAATTAATCCACAATTTGCTGAGACATGCACCGGAAGCGAGGTACTTCTGTTTTCTGTGAACAACCTCTGATTGGTACCATTGGAGGTTGTATGCATGAAAGGGTGAAACAACCTAGAATTAACAACCACCTATCTCTTACACAACCCATAAGTCTGGGTTCCCGTATTCTGCAGGCAACCTCGGATCACAGCAATCAGACACGGCTTACAGAATCTGGATGCGGCATGCAGGCAGTCTAAATCTCTGGGAACTGTGGACTAGAATTACCAACAATCTGCCACAGTGACATTGCAGACACGGCAACCTTTTAATGTAGTAACACACACTCCTACTATAGTTAATTTGGGAAAACAGGCTTGGAGAAATCCTCCACTGACCATTTCTTCCCAGCCATGCCTGCTTGTCCTGCCCCTTTAGCCTGCTCTACCACATTTACACCAGCTATGGTGGGATCCTGAATTTGCCCCCATGACCTGCAGATCTGAGACATGCCACCAGCCCCACCTGTTCTTTAGGGCTCAGGCTAAAAGAGTTGTTCTGAAGTTAATTGTAAATATACAACTATTGAATCTGTGTTCAAATATTTCGCAGGGCTTATACAGACACAATAAGAGTTAAGTATTACCAGGTATTCTGGCTCTCTGAAGCATGGGAATAAAACTTTCCAGGATCCTTTGAATACGACGCACTATTAGAAAACAACAGACATAGTTATGTACACAGCCATATAAGAAAGAAAGAGGTGGGCAGGTGTGGTCATATCTCCCAAGTACATTCAATCTGTAGTCATCAAATTCTTACTGCTTCTTTATATTTTAACACATCACTCATATATACATTTTCCTGGGAGTAAAACTCACAACCCCAATGCAATTTAATTTGGAATAGATATATATATAGGATTGAACTATAGAAATATGAGGTCCTAGATTTAACTGTGAAGTGGCTTATTTTGCTCTCTAATATGGTACACACAAAAAATGATTACCTAAACCAAAATATATTCCAGTTGTTTCTAAAGCAGCAAAGGTCATCAAGCCAATACCAAGGGAAACAGTCCAATCTAAAAAGATACATATTTATATATTAAATTGTGTAATATTATGTAACATGTTATCTCCAATGAAATCAATCCATCAGTGTTGACTTACTGTTATATTTGTAATAGGAAACTAATAAGATTCCAATGGAAAAACAAAGAATGACAAAATGGAAGAATTCATCTGAAATGAGAAAGAAAAGAAATATCCCAGAATTACACTCAAAGGTTGAATTTCTACATTTTCTGATGCCAGTAAACACATTCTGATTTGGAGTGCGTCTGCACAAGAGATAATTCAGGGAATACTTCAGAGAGCAGTCAGTACCTTTAGTGGCTGCACTCAGCATAAATAAGACATGCACGCTTGACAAATCATCATGCGCCTTTAGATCGGAGTAGTCAAGAACCTGAGTCAGCAGCATGCTTAGCCACATCCATTATTCAAAATTTGGAGCATGCCATGTTTCTTTCAAGGACAGGCGAGATGCCGCATGATAAGCATAGAGATTAACTGTTAAGTAGAGCCAAATACATTTATTGATGGCTTAAATTTGGACATTCAAGATGGGGAATTTAACTAGTGTTGGGGAAAGGAACTCTATTCATGCCCTTGTGTATGACTGCAGTATTAGTGTCTAGGAATGGTCCTTGGCATTTCAAACCGATGGGCTGGAGCCAGGTTTATTCATACTTAGGGCAGATCCTCTGAGCTCAGGAGGACTGGAGTTAAATGTTGATGGGTTCATTCCAAGGATAACCTAATTTGGATCCAAGCCAGGAACCGGGGTTGAGCCCTGGAGCATACTGAGCAGGTTTTATGATTGCATTTGCAGTGACTTAAATGCTTACCATCTTTCCGTATGCCTGGTATATGCCATCTTGGGTGGGGAGGCACATGGTTAGCATCCTTTTCATGGACTACAAGAAATTAAACTTGAAATAAGTAAGAGGCACTCCTTCATCTAAGGAATGTTCTGAAACTGGAAAACATCAATTTAGCCAATGGGTTATCCTTGGGCCTTGCCAGAGGGGTACCTCCAGTTCCCAGGGGTAGAGAAACACAAGATATAGTGCAGCTACCTCATCTTCTCCCCTAACAGGTTCTTTGTAGGAAGAAAGAAGATGGAACCAGCATCAGGAGAACATGGGAGACTTGCAAGCAGAAAACAATATAATCTGGACTACCTACTAAATTCCATCCATGAGGCTAGATGATATGTTCCTAAGCATTCCTGAAGTACTTGGTAGTAACCAACTTTCCCAACAGGTCAGCACAGATTTCACCTGGCAAGATGCCATGCTTCACCCTGTGGGCCCTGCCCTTGTTTTGGAACCAATATCACAATCCTTCTCAACATTCTTGCTCCAGACATAACGATATCTGTCTCAAGTTTATTTCAGGATAGAGAAATGGAGGAAGAGAATCAGGGCATTTGGGACACAGAGCCTCACGTCCAGATTTAGTCATGCTCCAAGGACCCTTCCTCTCCAGGAAGACTGAGCCTGGGTCTAGGCCTACCTCTGAATGAAGGATGGAAAAGGAAGGGGAAGGCGTATGGTAAGGTCCAGCACTGATTCAGGGACTGCATCTGTGATTGTGGAGAAACCGGGACCATCAGGCTGCATCAAAAATTAACATGGGCATGTGGGATATGATATTCTTGCTTCATATCTGAAAGTCCTTGTAGAAAAGAGATGACAAGCCAGGAATGGACATGGTGTGATTTTTAAGTTTTCATCTCCCAGGCAGATCATTAGCAGAATACAAGAAAGAAAGAAAGAAAGAAAGAAAGAAAGAAAGAAAGAAAGAAAGGCAGGCAGGCAGGCAGGCAGGCAGGCAGGCAGGCAGGCAGGCAGGCAGGACAGGACAGGACAGGACAGGACAGGACAGGACAGGACAGGACAGGACAGATGCACGCAAAATGGACATCTACTACTTAAAAATGTCACCTTAGCACAGCCAGGCACATAATGCTTGGTGGAGAATAGGAATTAAATCAGGGAAACAGTGGTTTGATCCATGTTTGTTTCACACCCTTAACTCACTTCATTACCTTTCTCTCCTGTTGCAGAAAGTGAAGTGGAAGAATTTGAGTTTTTCATTGCTGTGTCTGTAAAACAAAAAGCAAAAGCAGCTGTGTTGTGTTGTGAGAAGAATGGCAAAATGCATCACTGGGCTATATTTTTATGAAGCCAGCTAAGGGAGCAATCCAACTGCTACTCCAGCTGAGTCACAGAAGCCCAAGTTCAGAGGCTTACAAGCAACCCGTGGCAGGAGTGAGGCACCGCGGTGGCGATTTCTGCCATCCGTGCACCTCGCACCCTGCATTTCACCTAGGTTTCCAACCATCAACAGAAAGCACCCGGGAGGAGGAGGAAAAGAAGCTGGGGAGCCAATTCTTCACCCCTATCTTGGCACAGCACTTTTATCCCCTTCAAGGCTTGGAGGTCTGATGGCCTCAGGACAGTGGGTGGCCGCCACGGTTCTTTCCACATCAGCAGTGAAGGGGCAGGGCAGGACACAAACCACGAGAGGACAAGGACTCTGAAGAACCCCTAGGACTTCTCAGCTGATTCATAAAACAGTGTGCAGAGTTTTGAAGGAAGAAAGGACTTTCTTTCTTCGGTACTATTGTCTCTTGTTTCCAAAAATCAAAGTCCCAGGGGGTCTTTATTGGATTCATTAAAGTTAGACCCTCTGATTCAATTTCCCTTTGAAAGATCAGACTGCATGTCTCTTGGGGCTTGCAGTGCACAAAAAAAACCCATCCAATGGGTTGAAACATGGAGGAAAGAACTGCAAAGAAGTAAAGAAAAATAACCAGGTGCTACCTGGCTTTAGCCCCTGCACCTGTGACAGGACTGGCCTACCATGGCTATTGGAGAAAACTCGGGGCTTCTTTTGGTGATTGGGAGTAACTTTCCACATTTATTATTGGTCCTTCCTAATTCCCAGTTCTCCAGGTAATTAAACATTAGATCACATATAGATATCAGCCAAACCTTACCATCCTAACCTTCCAATCAATGAATGGGAGACGGAACATCACCTCCACACACGCTGGCGAGCTTGCTTTTAACCATGCAAAAGAAAGACTAGAGAGTTCCCCAGTCCAGAGCGCTGATCATCACAAGTTCATCAGCCCCGATTCTACACCTTACATAACCGTTTTGTCCTCAAGTGCCACGTGTGGAAGTGGATGAGTAGTTGGCGGTCACATGCGAGTCCACATGCCAGGAGCAGAAGATGCAGGGCCAACATGCCCCATCAAATAAACACACTCATGGAGAGAAGGGAGTTCCAGTTTCACTCCCTTCATATTGCAACAGTGCTTGTCTAGCACCACCTCCATAGCAAATGGGGAACTTGAGAGGTGTAGAAATTACAGGTGTTGCCCCAATGCAAAGTGTAATGGGGCTAGTGAAGCAGGAGAGAGCCATTTCCAGTTTGATCAATTAATCAATTGTCCCATTTTGAAATCAAAACAGAACAGCAGCAAACCAGAAGTAAACAAAGAGAAAGCATTAAAATATGAATGCTGTTGTTCTTGTAAAGTGCCATCCAGTTGACTTCAAACTATGGTGACCCTATGAACGAAAGCCTCCAAAATGTCCACAAAAGCTGTCCAGAATAGCCCCATCCAGCTCTCCCAACCTCAAGGCTGTGGCTTCCTTCATGCAGTCAATCCATCGCATATTTGGCACTCTTCCTCTGCCTTCAGCTTTCCCTAGCATGGCGGTCTTCTCCAGGGAGTCTTGCCTTGCATAAGCATGTCAACCCCAGTTTTGTCATTTTTGCTTGTAGGGAAAGCTCAGGCTTGATTTGAACCAGGACCCACTTGTCTGTCATCTTGGCAGTCCAGGATATTTGCGAAGCTTCCCTCCGGCATCATGTCTTGAATACATTGATTTCCCCCCTGTCAACAGCTCTAAGGTTAATTGAAAGCTAGGCAAATAAAAGAAATCTTAGCCTGGCATCTGAAACTAATCAAAGTAGACACCACGCCAGCATGGAGTATCTCAAAGTCCACGGAAATGGCCGTAAGCAATCTGCCACCTGCCTATCCATGCAAAGGAGAGGTACTCAGACAAGGGCTTCTGAAGCAGAGCTTAACACCTAAGTGCGGTTCCCAAAGGTATTCCAGTCACAAGCCGAATTGTCTTTAAAGGTTTTTTGAGTAGTGCCCATATATACATAGGAAGTCAATGAAGCCGTTTCAATGCTGGTGAGATCCATCAGTATTCCTGTTGCTGTGTTCTGCGCCGGTCCAAAAAGCTTTCAAAGACAACCCCATGTGCAACCAGTGCTATCTTCCTTCCTAGGATTTGCCCTCAATGAGGGGCTGAAATTGCTTCAGTGGTTAGACAGATGTTCTCTTTTTCCCTTCCTTTAAATGAAGGGTGAACAACTTGCAGCCCACAACATGAGTTGACTGGGAACTGCCATGACTCTTAACTGTTGACTGTTTTGGCAGGGATTATGGAGGTTGTAGGCCAAAATATTTGCCCACCCCTGGCCTGGTTTACACTATTTAAAATATGGCAGTCGTGTTGGTAGCTTTGGCATCAGGAGTGGTACTCTGGCTACAGCCACCACCTCCATAACAGTCTTCCTAATCGCAAGTCTGAACTTTAAGAGGAAGTGCACCACAGTCTGAAACAGGACAAAAACTACCATATTAGTCAGAAGGCTGCTTTATATTGAGCCTATTTGTTCAACAAGCCCAAAACTTTTTGCTGACTCACTGTGGCTTTCTCTGGGTTGCTTCTCTAGGTTGCTTTCTACTCCACCTTCTCCTTCATCCCAATGAGAAGTGCCAGGGACTGAACCTGGGACCTTTTCCATGTACTCTACTACTGAACTATGATCCTTCTCACAAGGCACATACAGACAACTCAGTCTTATCAGATCATCAGCTCTCTTCTAGCATTTCTACCTATCAGCACCAGGTTAAAAAGGAAGTAGAGCTGGGTGTCATCAGCATGCTTATGACCTATGATGCCAAATATGCAGATGACCTCACTCACTGCTTTCACATAGACACATATCACATGGGGAAAACCAACAGCTCCTCAATATCATCTTCGGGAAAGGTTCTTCCAGAAAGATACCGCCAGAATGCAGCTACTTGGATAATCTCCAAGATTCCATGGTGCCAGTATGCGGAGCCGATGAGGGCTCCAGGAGAATCAACACAAGCACACATACTCTCTGTCCTCCTAAAATGAGCATGAACAGAGCAGTCAAGACAGGTTAACTGGGAAAACCAGGTCAGAAGCTAGACTGAAATGGATTCAACTGATCAGTATCATGTACATACACCACAGACACCACCCATGGAAACACCGTGCCCAAGAGGAAATACTATCACCTGCTGATAGTTCTCATAGTCTTCAAGATCCATTCAGAATGGAGCACCAAAAACTGAAAGAGCAGCACTTGTTTTATGGAAATGAGATCCTGTGTCTGCTGGACATTTAGTGAGACCTTTGGAGGTGATCTTTGACTCCCCTAAAACTAAGACCCTCCCTCCACAGCACATTCCCTTGAGATGATCTTTGCCACAGCCATCTCCCACTGGGTGCCTTCCAGATATGTTGGGCTACAGCCACCATCATAACCCTCCAGTGCTGCCCATTGGCTACGCTGTCTGGGAACAATGGGAATAGTAGTCCAGAATATCTGGCTGGCTCCAGGTTGGGACAGGCTTCCTTGTAACTATCACAGACATTACACAGTATGCCCTATGCATGCACTTCCCAAATGGTCCTAAGAATGAGAGGAACATGTTCATACCCAAGCTGAACACAACTGCAAAGGCCTGAATAAAGGTGAGGTGGCAGCTGTGTGTGCTCATACTGAGGCATGCATGAGTATCTGCATATATATGTATGAACTGCTGCACCTGTGATAATTGCCTGAGCCTGCCTCACCTTCGTTTCTAAGCCTATAAGCAGCACTAGTAGTCCAATAGGCCAATGTTATTTCCCTAGCATATGTGGTTGGTCACTAGCTTCTAAGTGATGAATTTGAAAGAGACAGAAACTCACCCTTGATCATTGAAACTTAAAAAAACCCCACCAAGAAGCTCTTTAAAAACATGCAATGTAACAGAAACTGATGCCATCATAAAGAAAAGCAGACATGGAGAGAAAAGGGTGAGGTGTGATGATTAAACTACAAGAACAGGTGTGGAAAGACTCAGCCCTGAATTCCTGTGTACATGGACCAGTCACCCTTTCTCTAGCTGATCCACCTCACAGGCTTGCTGTGAAGCCACGAAGGCAATATTGTTAGAAACAACCTTGTGCTCCTTTGCCATTTTAATTTACAGAGATTTTTTCTAGAAGTCTTCTTTTTTGGAGTGGAGACTTGGCATTGTTACAAAGAGAGGCCTGGCTCCTAGTTCAGTTTTTATTTCTAATAAGATCTTTGAGCCACATGTGGGATTCCTGACCCCATGGCTTGTTTCTCAGAACAGAAACAAGAACTGGGTAGGTTGAACGGAATGCTGCTGTGGTTTGGGGCCCACATCCCACTTTTGCCCTGTCCTTGTTCTTCAGTAAGTCATTTTTCCTTTAGCCTCCAGTTTGCCTACTAGGAAATAGATGGTTTGAGATTGGCTCTGCTCACCAAGCAGTCATTCTGTGAATGGTCAACTCTCTCCATGACGGACATACAAAGTTCTGGACGTACTTTCAGAACTCTCCGAATTCTGGACATGCCCACTGACTGGAAAAGGTTGGAAACCCAGGCCCAAGTGTTTCCCTTTATTGCTCAGCACTGGCTCAAGATTAAAGGAAACCCTGTGGTGGGAACCTCCAGAGCTCCATCATCTTAGCCACCCACTTGTTCACTTCCTCCTGGCTACTTCCTAGGACTGTGGTTCATTTGGCAGTCCTGACCATTTTATTTTCCCAAAATGCTCTGTAGGGACATTGCTTCAGGTGCTTTAGTGGGGCATTACTGAAAAATTCAAAATGGCATCTGGCTTCTAAGACCATGCTGCCAGACAAGCCCGTAGCCAAGAAACCAGGTGCACTCAGGGCTGGCACTAGCCAACCCTGCCAGGATGCTCAGCCTATGGCAATTGCTGCTGCAGGCTGGATTACAGGTGAAACCCTGCCATATTTGATTTCTAGCCAGTATCCCAAAGCTACCAGATCCTACCCCAGGAGCCAGCAGCTACTAGAGTCTGACCTATTCACACAGATTTTGTTCTTTCCTATTATCTACCATCCCTGGTACTCCCTTTCATGTCTAGCTTTAATCTGCTTCGGCTTTCATTCCTAGGGATGGTTCAACATGATTGTTCAGACAAATACATAAAAGTAATGATGGAAAAGAGATTAAAAAACCAGTCCTCTGGGGATGCCAAGAGTTGTAGGATCAGGGGCATGGTATCAGTTGAAGGAGATCCCAGAAGAGATATCATCCCTTGAAATGTACAGGATACTGTACATCTGGGGTACATCTACCTAAGGAAACAAAACTGTCTTAAGGTGGTTTAAGTGTCATGGATATCCCCTAAAACTTCAGAGGAGTTCTGGTCTGATGCATGTAAGGCATTTCCCATGTTGAAGCTAAGCAGATCTGAGGTTGGCCTGAGCTTGGAGGGGAGACCACCTGGGAACTGTATGTAGCCACCTTGAGTTCCACAATGAGAGAAAGGTAGGATATAAATAATAAACCCCCAGAAATTCTAACTTTGTGAGAGCCATGGAAGATCTCTGCTCTTTCTCTGCTTAGAACTATAAGTCCCTTGGTCTGTTGACTGAAGACAGCCAACATTAAAACAGTTTGAAGTTTTTGTTAAATTTGTAACACAGAGACATGCCACAGGTATCACTGCTCACTTTAAAAGCTTATGAAATGCTAGCAAAACAATTACTGTGTAAAAGAGGCAGTGTGGTGTAGTGGTTAGAGTTGGACTGGGAGATCCAGGTTCTAGTCCTCACTCAGCCGTGAGATACATCGGGTGACTTTGGGCCACTCATGCACTCTTGGCCCAATCTACCTTGTAGGGCTTTTGTAAGCCATCTTTACTCACAAGAGGAAAAAGAGCAGCATACTAATACAGTGTAACAACAGCACCACTGTGCTGCAGCTACTTTCACTAAAGACCCACACAGAATGCTTCAAAACTTTCCTTAAGCAAACACTGAAAAATCATTTTTCGTAATGGACACAACATTGATCAATCCAGTCACCATATAATGGCCACCAAAGAGAAAGATAGCCAAAGTAAAAAGAATAGAAAGCTTGGGTCAGATTAGATACAGGGAGGATTCAACCCTTCACAATGGCTTCGAATTTAGAGAAATTCAAGACAAAATACTTACCAGCACAGTGCTCAGATTTTCAGAATGGCCTCTTGTTTTTAGATAAGGCACCAGGGCTGGTCAGGGTTAAAGCCACAGCAAAATTAACGTTTCCCTGAAATAGTAACACAAAAGAACAGACAATCTTCAGAAACAACTCCTCACATGTGTTCCCAGAAACGAGACTATCTGGTTTGAGCTCCTCCTCCTGGTACAAAATATGCTGTCCCATTGCCTGTTACTCACAGGCTTGTTAGGTTACTAATCGAGCAAAAGCGCCATGCTACTGGTTCAGGCTAATTTTATTCAAACCTAGAGGTTTCACAATAACGTATTTGTAACTCAGAATAAGATGGCCCTTTCCTGCTTCTGTGAGAATGTTCTTACACAAAACATGACTTCCCCCAGAGTTGTACTGAGAAACTGAAAGCTACTTCTGAAGCATTTTAAAAACATCTTTCTGTGAATTGGAGTTAGGGACTTATTTAGGGTTAATCATTCCCACCATGGGGTGCTTGAGAAGATGTTGACCAGCTGCCTAAAATCTATCTCAGACCAGATATTTAAATCTGTTTAAAAGTTTGCTTTTTACTAAGAAGGCAAGCAATGTAACTCTGTACAGTGTGTACTGTGTATTAGTTAGTTTTTATTTTATGGTCACGGACCAGTAGGATTAATATACAGATAGAACAGCAGCAGAAAAATTAAAACACAGTTAAAACAAGAGCAATTTCATTCATATGGGTGACCATATTATTCTTAATTTGCATTGCAGTCATAAAAAATTTGGCAATTTTGTGATACAAGAAGTTACATTCCTTAAACAAATAAATACCAGAGTGGAAGAACTATTTCTATAGAGATCTGTTATTAATGGCTGAATCGATTTCTTTCTGTATTCCTTCCAAAACTGCAATATAAGAGAACTTGTTCTGCTGTTTCTACTGCTCCAGCACCACAGGAGCATATTCCTTCATTGACGGGGATCTTGTTAAATCATCCTTTTTATAGTGCTGATGCTAACACATTAAAGCGGGCAAGAGTAAAAGCTCTCGTGTACTTTGGGATAGTTAATGTGTACATGTATGAGGCTGCAGTAAATCCATCATTCTAGCAGTTAAATAATAAATCTTCAATATTTCATCTTATTTTATTTATTTAAAACATTTCTGTGCCACCCCCATCGCAACAAAGCCTTGGGGCAGATCAAGTTTTATTAGCAGCAGTTCTCGAATAGTGAAGATCCAGGTCTATTAATATTTGAACAACAAGAAAGGCGGACTTCTGCAGCCCACAACTGCCCAGTACTTCGGCAGAAAAAATTAGTCTATGTAGCTTCTTGTACATTTCTCTCATCCATCCGTTAACATACACATCTGAAAGCAGTAGAGACAGGTAGCTACCAGGAGCTGCTAGAAAATATAAGAGTAGCCACCGTTTAAAGAGTTCAGTCAATGCCTTGCACTCAACAGATCACATCCCTACTTCCAGATAAATTTATATTTACTTTCATGTTATTTTTACATGTATTTTACATTCTTACAGTCCTTCTGGGTTCCCTGGGAGGTATAAAATATACAGCATTCTGTACACAGGAGGGAAGGTCCAGAAATTTCCTAAGAAAAACAGACTGGGCTTTCTCAATTTGAGAATGAAATCCTAAATGCAAAAAAGAATGCCATAAATAAGTTGGGCCAGCATCTTTGCTTCATAAATCTGTATTGCAGAGCAGATATGATGTCTACCTTGGGTAAAAAGGAAATTTAAAGTCTACAGTGGTACCTTGGCTCACAAACAATCTGTTCCAGGACTCTGGTCATGATCCAAATTAGTCGTGAGCCAAGTCAAATTTCCCCATAAGGTTCAATGTAAATAAGGTTATTCCGTTCTGTAACTATTTTTTTTATCACAGAATTTTGAAGCAAAGTGACGAAGAACAGCAAAGTTTGTGGCCATCTTCTCCCCCCACCACCCCAAGCACGAGTTGGGCCATCTCTCCGCCCCTCCCCCCCACAGCATGACCACAATAGCGCCCGTTATCCCTGCATGAGCGCGACCATGATCACGGCCACAGACGGGTGCGATCACGATCATCACCCCATGTGGAGTTCACGACCTGAGGCAAAATTTTTCAGAAATTTCTGTTCGCGACCCAATTTGGTCATGAACTGAGGTGCTCATGAGCCGAGGTACCACTGTACTGCTGGCTAAAGTTTGCTGACTCAATTGCTTGTCTATGTTGTTCAGACCAGAGCCAGTGCTCTGCATTTGAATTCCTAGATATTTCACATGAGAAACTTGCTTAATGATATTACCATTGAAAGTGCATTTAAATTGTTTTCTAGCTTTAGAGATCACCAAGACTTTAGACTTATTATAATGAATGATCAGGCTAATCATTGAAAAACAAGTTCCAAATGCAGTTAGTAAACAATTTAACCCAGTTCTGGAAAGTGACAGTGAGAGCATCACCAGCATACAGAAGCAGAAGCATCTCAGTAGAAAACAGCCTGGAAGCATGAGAATTGATGTCATATTATGGAAATAGAAAGCTGGATCATTTAGAAATATATTAAAAGAAAGGGGGCTAAAATACAACCCTGTTTAACTCCACTTGTAACAGTGATTGGGTTAACTTGTCTCTACAGACCACATCTGACTTGATTGGTTGTACAAATACCTGGCAAGGAATAGTAGATGCTTTCCAGCTATTATGTAATTTAGACAATACCAGTTCCCTTCTTCCCAGTTCCCAGTTTCTCTTCTAGTTCTTTCCTTTTGGTTTATTAAAACCTTATATTCTCATTTCAATTTATAATTTATCTCTGGTAAACATTTGTCTCTATTGTTTCAATACATAGAATAAACCTGCCCATTCTTACTCTTAAAAAAATCCACACTCATAATCAAACCAGCTTTTGTTTGTGTGGTATTTATTTCTACCTGGGGAACTATCTGCTACTTGAGTCCTCGGTATGCTAGAGATTAATATTGCATAATGATACAGCTTTTCTTCATCAGTAGAGGGTAAGGTGTTATGATATAGTTGCAGACCAACAGGGGAGGTTATGAATGAGTCAAAGTTACTCTGGGTACTTTCTGGCCACTTGATCCCTCTCACACATGAGAGAAAGGAAAGGTCTGGTAATGAAAACGAATGGATCTTTAGTGGAGGTTCAATTCATTTTGCTAATGGATAGTAATCACTAACCGTATGATTATCTACAAGAAAAAGCCTTAATAGACCCACGAAGAGACTGACAGACAACACTGCTCCTTGGCATTGAACTAAAGGTGAACTTACCCAACATATTGGCCAGAGTACTTCCATTCCAGATAACTTGGCATGCTAAAGGGCTAGACACACGCCGGTAAAATTTTGGATGACATCCTAAGAATGTCTAGTGCAGCCTTCTCCAACCTTGTGCCTTCCAGACACATTTGGACTGCAACTCCCAGAATTCCCAGTCAATAGTCCTGCTAGATGGGAATTCTGAGAGTTGCAGTCCAAATGCCTCCGAAGGTCCCCAAGTTGGGGAAAGCTGGTTTCACATATGGAGAGTATCCTATCAAATGGTTAATTCCTCTAAGATGTTGAAACTCTATTAATCAATGGTCATCAAGGCTCAGCTGGGCATTAAAGTCACCAGCAATAGGGATCTGTGCTGATGGAAACATTGCCTTGTATGAGTGAAATGTTGTTCTAACTCTTCCCACTGTGCTTTATTATCAGAAAGGCATTTGGATGGAGGTACATAGATATTAAGCAATGAAATTGGAAAACATCTGCTCTTAATTAGAGTTGCCACAGCAACAGCTAGGAAGGGCAACTACTTCAGCATTAAGAGATTCCAAAACAGCAAACCTGTTCTGGAGCTACCTTTTTTTGAAGACTTAGTTGTTGCCAAAGAGGTAGCAATATACCCATTGCACATTATTTGTTCACACACCCAAGTCTCCTGCAGCAAAGATTTAACATAATTGAGAAATGATTTATCCCTAATCTTCCCTCTCCAACCTGCTACATTCCATGAAAGACATCTTTCATGTCTTTCACTAAGGGTAGTGAATTGCTTTCAATAGAATTTAGTTTTTCAAGCATACCATCTTGGTCAAAAAAAACCCACTGCTGCCTTTAGTTGTCGACCCAGAAGGGAAATTTGGGATAGACAGTAAACCAACTTCATGAGTTTCCAGAAACTGGAAAATAATCCACTTCTTTGAGTTAACATTGCCAACATTTACTTTATTGGAATTGGACTGAACTTCCAGTTCTTCCTCACAATAGAGATCAGTGGCATAAATCATAGGTCCTCAAATTAGGGCCCTCGGGCTGGATCTGGCCTGCCATAGATTGCCACACGTGCACGAAGCGAGGTGCTGGCTTGCTCACAAGGAGATCGTTTTGGACTCGTTGGGAGAAAATGATCTCTGCACATGCACGCCCCTGCCGCCACCGCCCCCCAGCCTGCACCCACGCCCATCCCTGACACCTTTCAACTGGCCCCCTATTAAAATGTTTGAGGACCCCTGGCATAAATGATCCATCTTGCTCTAGTTTTTTAATTAAAGAGACCACTACTGAGAATAGGTAGTCTGTTAAGAATAATGATGATGATGATGATGATGATGATGATGATGATGATAAGAAGCCTTCCCTTAGGAATAAAGATGGCTCTGTCACCCCTTTTAAGGCTGAGGTCACTATGTCTAATAATTTATCTCTCATAGAACTTTCAGCAAAACAGTTTTTCCTAATGCAAAATATACTCATGCATCTTAGAGGAATATTGAGGGTTTTAAACCAGCTATTCCTTATGCTCCAAGTGGAAGCTTAGTTCCCAGGGTTGCTACTGCCTCTGGTCAGCCTCCACTGTTGGCAGAAAAAGCTATCCTCTCAGTTCATTCCAAAGAAAGAAGTAAGAAACCTTACTGAATGCAGGAGATCATCTGGTACTGCAGCCAAATCAAGTTGCCCTAAATATATGTCCTTTTTTTTGGGAGGGGATGCCCTGTTGGGATTCCTCAGACAGTAAAACATCATTTAAGGAAATTACTGGGCCTGTAATCTATTGATTTGAGAGTAGCTGAATTTCTGGGGGATTTTTGTTCAATGTTAGAATTTTT